CAGATCGTTTACAAATGTATTATTTTTGCTTTGTCTCACACTTCCACACAGAGATGGGAGCGTCGCCGAACAGGAAGGCGCAAGCCATACTATTGAGCATGTTTTAGTGTAGGGGAAACCGGCTACGCCGGAGGACACTACGCATAACAGAGGGAGGAGTAACAGTGCAAACTCCACTCAGAAAGGCCCTGTTCGGCGGGATTGAACCAGGACCATCTTGCTGAGAGGCGAGGTGCTCTCACTCAGCCACCGTGCCACCGTGTGGATGAATGTGAAGTTTGGCTGGACATAAAACCTTATTTGAAGAAGCCGAGTAAGACACTAGATTAACATGATGCTGTCACCTGCACACTTACAAAACAGCTAAAGAATCCAGACGGTACCTGTGGAATCCTGATCCTGGCCAGCCTACGAAGCCAAGTGAGCAAGGCCTGGATACTGGCACTGGTACTGTAGTGGGAGACCTCTGGGAACACCAGGCACCACAATAGGGTGGCAAACTATTGTGTCCTGGGGCAAGACACTTCACCCACATTCCCAGGCGTGTGTTATGAGTCTTTCACCACAATGGTCTTTCAATACAGTAGTAGTTTGCCACCACTGTGTCCTGGGGTGAATGAATAATACCATCAAAACTTTCCCTCAAATAAGAACGCTCCTACTTCAAATAATAACACTAAAGCAGAACCAATATGGTGTCTGTAGTGGATTTGTTCGATGTTATTTTAGTTTTTCTTTCATTAATTCCAACCTGAGATGTCTTTCTTGACATTTTCCATTTGTTTCAAAGTTAAAGAAAAAATCTAAAATCCTGTCTGCAGTTTTGGAGTTGAGTGATTAAAGTAGTTTAAAAGTTTTTTTTGTTATTGCCAAGAAGCACCCACATACAGTACTTACAGAAGAAAGAAGACTTGGTTAAACTCTGTATTATCCCCGTGGCCACGTATCGTAACTTCATACGTGATCTCTCTCTGGATTATTGTTCAGTGCTTCCAGCAACAAACCTGGATGACAGGAAACTAAACAGGGGTTAATGTTTCCTCGACATTACAACGGTTTATCTTTCTATTCACGTAGTTTTGAGTATCACCATTCCCCAGTGTAGTATAAGTAGCAACAGCAGCAGTAGCAGCAGCAGCAGTAGCAGCAGTAGAAGCAGTAGCAGTAGTAGAATTGTCATGTCAAAAATTAAGGGACTCAAGCAGCAATCTCACGCACTAGAGTACTAGAAGTAGCAGTAGCAGCAGTAGTGGTAGCAGTAGTAGTATTCATAGTAGTATAGTAGTATAGTTGTAGAAGTAGCAGTATTAGAAAAAGTTTTAGCATGTAGCAATAGTATTAATAGTAGAAGCAGCAGCAGCAGTTGTAGCAGAAGTAGTAGTGTTAGTATTAGCAGTAAAAGAAGCAGCAGTAGCAGTTGTAGAAAAAGTAGTAGCAGTAGTAGTAGTAGTATTAAAAGCAAGAGCAGCAGAAGCAGAAGTAGTACAAGTGGCATTAATAGTATTAGTAATAGCAGCAGCAGTAGCAGCAGCAGTCGTAGTAAAAGTGGTTTCCGTATTAGTATTAGCAGTAGTATTCATAGTAGAAGCAGCAGCAGTAGTAGTAGTAGTAGCAGACTTTGTAGTAATAGAAGTAGCAGTAGTGGTAGATGTAGCAGTAGTAGTAGAAGTAGCAGGAAAAGAGGTAGACGTAGCAGTACTAGAAATAGTATTAGCAGTAGTTGTATTCATAGTAGAACCAGCAGTAGTAGATGTAGCAGTAGTAGTAGTATTTATAGTAGAAGCAGCAGTCGAAGAAGGAGTAGCAGTAGTAAGTGGTAGAAGTAGCAGTATTAGAAATCGTATTAGCAGTATTCATATTTATTGAAGAAGCAGCTCTAGCAGTCGTAGCAGAAGTAGTAGTATTAGAATTAGCAGTAACAGAAGTAGCAGGGGCCGTCGTAGTAGTAGTAGTATCAATAGCAAGAGCAACAGCAGCCGTAGTAGTAGAAGTGGCATTAATAGTATTAGTATAAGCAGTAGCAGCAGCAGAAGCAGTCATAGTAGCAGTAGTAGCAGTCCTTGCAGTAATAGAAGTAGAAGTAGCAGTATTAGAAATAGTATTAGCAGTAGTAGTAGTTTTAATAGCAGAAACAGCAGTCGTGGTAGTACAAGTGGCATTAATAGTATCAGCAGCAGCAGCAGCAGCAGCAGTAGTAGTACAGGGGTGGGGGCAGTCGTCGCGCGCGGGGGGAGGAGTGGGAGGACCTTGCGCGTCGCATCGTCCACTTTCATTGAGGACACGCTCGGCTCCGCGTTAACATCTATGAAGTGAATCTCTTCAACCGCCGCGTTACCTCGGACTCTCACATCAGAAACTCTCACGGATTCTTGTTTTTATCACGTTTTGGAGTCTATGTGGATCTATGCCAGGCCCACGAGGATTTCAACAACTCCAGTGAAGTTGAAGAGGAGGAATGTATCGTTTCTTTGTGAAACTAACATTTCTGCTTTCAGCTGTCGTCGCGTCAGAAGGTAAAATGTTTAAATATATGTAGTTTATGAATTGTTTATCTAATGCAAGACTGATGCAATGAGCAAGCGAGTTTTGTCAAGTTTTTAAAAAGTATACTAGTTTTTCAAATCATCGAGACGCAGTGGGTCTAATAACGTAAAATAAAGTTGTTCTGTGCACGTTGTACCATGTTTCTCTGTGAATGTTGTGATCACTTTATTTTAGATTTCAGTTTATTCCAGATTGAAAGTTATTTTTAAAGATAACGTTGATAGATTACCAAACACGCGCAGGTGCTCCTATCCAATCGTGACTGAGGATACAAAACACCACTTCAAAAACTTGTTAAAAAACTTTTGTGAATTCAGAACGTGCGCTACATCATTCAACTTTTATTTCACGTTGTATACCGTCTTTCTTTTTTTTCTGCGTGTGTGTGTGAATCGTGCTAAAACTTCCAAGCGCTTTTGCATAGGCGTCTTTTTGGAAGTGCGCGCACACAGGTTGTCCAGGGGCGCGCGGCGGGGGGGATGCGGGCCACCTTTTGTCTCGTGTGGGAGAGTGTCGCGGGTGGGGGGTGGAGGAGCCCGTCTGCCACAAACAATGCGCGAGGAGAGTGTTTTATGGCTCGTGCTGGACTCAGATTCTTTTGTTCCGCATCTGAGTCCAGCAGCTGCCGAGCTTTCCCCCCTATACAAAGCGTGTGTCTCCCCCCACCCCCTCATCCTCCGCCTCCCTCCCGTCCTGTCCCGTCCCCCCTCTCGTGCCCCCGTCCGAACCACGCGCTGTGGCTTCACCGCTGTCCAGCATTAGAAATCCCCAAAGACCTCTGTGGAAAAATCAATTATAAGATGATTGCATTAAGCTGTTACCTAATAAAGACATTGGTTCCACGTATAGTTTTGAATATGAATAAAGATATCCCCCTCACACACACACACACACACACACACTTATATCAACTCATATTTAACTATATATGTATAACTATTGTTCTCTATTTTCAACAGGTTTAAAATGCTCGTTACCAACTGAATCCTGCCTCAATGGAGGATGGTGTGAGCCCTCCAATGGGAATGGCGAGTGCAGGTAAAAGTCTTAAATGTTTGCGTTTTTAAAAGAGATTTTTTTCATTGCTGTGTCGATACTGTGATTGTTGCTGTGTTCTGGTGTCGAGGCACTTGCTAAGTTGGTAAAAAAGGGGGCCACACATTCCAGCTTTTCAGCAAGTCCCTGTGCGCAGCAACCGGGGGGCCCTCCAGGTTCTTGTGAGATATCGCCGAGCCCCTGTACCCCTCCTGGAGAAACTGTGCTATACTGGGGCTGCACATTCCACCAACAAAAAAGTTTCGAGGCAAAGTTTTAAAAAAAGTCCAATTCCAGAGCAGTGTGGTTGCAGGCTGTAATGGTGCCTGGACAAAAGCCCAAACCCTCTGAAAGGCCCCTTAATGAATGCAGGAGTCCTACACTGGGCGAAGTGAGAGGACGCGTTCAGTCTTAAATCTTGTTTTTCTGTCTTTTCATGGGTGACAGCTGGGGTTCGCCCGCCGCCCGTCACCCATTGTCCCGTAGTCGGAATAATGCTGCATGACTAATCTGAGTGGGGCTTCTCATCGTGCCACAGAACACTCCAAACTCACCCGCCATGACACCCACCCTGCCTGCCTGCCTGCCTGCCTGCCTGCCTGCCCCCCTCCCCTTTGTCCCCGAGCTTGAATGGACGAACCTTAACATCCACCCCCCTCCCTCCATACCTTATTTGCTTGTGATCTCCATTAGAAAGCCCAGATGGCTGTAAAATGTAATTGGATTTGATGTTGTCAGAATCAGATTAATTGCTAAAAAGTGTAAAACTTTGGGGCAAACAGGTGGGATAGTCTGAGAGACAGAGGGGAGTTTCATTTATTTAGGGTAATAAGTTGTGTGTTGAAATTGGTCATCATCTGCCCCTTATTGCCCCCAATGGCTCTATGAGTTTTTTATCGTTGCATTTCTTGTGCTTGAACTGATTTTCTGATCTTTGTTGCCGGATTCAACAGTTTTGTAAAGTCCTCCGAGATCACTACTATTGGGATTTAGAGCTACACAAGAATAATTTGAATTGCATTGAATTGAAATTGTGTATTGGCTATGGTTAGGCCTGCCTTCTCTTCTGCTTATGAACATGTTCTTTTTCATATTGGTGCACAAATATATCTGCATTGTCACCAGAGGATGCTAAAAGGTGGTCGGTCTCGCTCCAAGGCCTGAGATGTTAGTAGGCACCGCATGGTCTGCCAGAACAAGGCTGCCCATTGAGGAGCTCCTGCCCTGGGGCTACTGCCACACACCAGCACACACGTGCGCACACTGGGCACATACTCTGCCTCCACAAAGCTGTTATTGTGGTCCTCATCACTGCTTAGCCCAATTAAAAACAGACAAGATAAGAGCATCACATAACTCCCCTTTGAGCTTTCTCACTAATGATTTGATCCTGATATCTGTAGCCGAGTCCCATGTGTCCACGTCTGTATTGATGTCCAAAGTGGTAATTAATTTATGATATTACAATATAGCAGGACCATTAGCACGGTCATGAATGTCCCCTTAAATTATTTTCTCAACCATTTAGTGGATCACTTTTTCTACTTCTTGAAATCGACCTCATTGGTGCATCTCTATCACTTTGTTTTAGGCACTTTTATCATCAACCTGCATCTCAACCAGTTGGTAAAGGCCTATAATTAAACCGAACAGAGGTTGATTATTTGCATTATTAGTGCTGCTACATCTTAGAAAACTTACATTGCTTTCTCCAAGGAGTGAACATTAAAGGGCTTAAAGGAAAAACACTTGATAGCAGATGAAAACATACATCTTTAAAACACTGAAAAGGTCATCACAACAAACAAATGGCCATCTGGGGCGATATGATGTGCGATCGCATACGGTGACACAGATTTAAGTCGTAAATATATTTAAAATCCCCTTCAAGCACAGTTCCCACGACTGCGAAAGGAGACAGTGAAATCACTTGATCCCTCGGTAAATAACATTGATCGTACGCGGTGAAAATCAGACGCCTTTTGAATAGGATTATACAAGATTATGTTTTTTCCATTTCATAAATGTTTGTGTCTGCACGCCAATGTAATTAATCCAACATATCGTTCGTAATACCCAAATTGACTTTGTTTCTATCGCTCACTCAAATTAGATTTAACAATATTCAATTACTCAACAATTCTTCCTCTGTATGATACGTAATCGTGTGTATTTAAATGTAATATACCTCTAATGGGCTCAAAAGCACAAATGTCAAAATGGGTCCTATTTGTGGAACTGTAATGAGGACATGATGGGGTTGAAAGGTTGCTGCCCTCGGCCTTCCCCTGTTTCGCATTCCTCCCTGCAAAAATAGATGCATTTTTTGGTCTGAAGTGGGTGTTATTAATAAACCCCGAAACATCTCAACTGTCCGGCCACATGTTTGAAATTCTGCGAGATAGATCCGAGACAAAACTTGACTTTAAAAAACTTACTACGGCGATGATGAGACCCCCTATGACCTTGCACACAGCTGTCTGGTGTTGCATATTGATGATAAAATGTCTCGCCCATGCTGTGTGTGTGTGTGTGTGTGTGTGGAGTGAAAGCGGTGCCAGTGAGAGGAGAAGATGCCCCACTCTCCTTGAAGGAATGCTGCTCTTCATTCGTCCTCCTATAGGATTACGGGACGATCCACGCAGGCTTAAAAGAATCAGGCACATGCAAGTTGATGTTTGGGTCAAGTGTGTCTGTTGGTGTTAGGCTTTTATTGGAACCTTAAGCTGTAAGGCTGCCACTCCCCTGGTTAAAATCATTCCTAAAATACCAGGGCGCCTGTTGCATTGCCATAGGTTGGAAAGTAGATATGGAGGATGGCAGTTTGACAGATGTTTATAGACGTGGAAGTTGTAGAGAGATTATCAGCGTTTGGCGAAATAGATCAAATAACCCACAGCTACTCACTGTATGTATCAACCTGACTGATTTGGTTTGTGACTTGAGAAAATCCGACACATTATTTTTTGTATGATTATTGTCTGTTTTGTTGGTTTGATAAGTGCTTTGTGAAGTTGCTACAGTACGTGATTTTACTACATTTTGTCTCGTGTTCAATTTAGAGTTTTAAAGTTTTAAAGTTATCGTAATTGCCAGACTATGAGCCACTTCTTCTTTCATGTCCTTCAATCTCTGTGGCCTGTATAGCGATTTGACAATTTTGTATGTATTTTTACAGTGGTGGAGTATCTCCTGAGGCACTGGATAGAATTTGGTCACAGTTCTATCAGCTGTGGTTTATGTGAACAGTAGAGAGAGAGGAGAAGCAGTGAAATACGCAGGACTAGGACTGATCATGTCTGTTTTCAGAGCAGAATTGAAGGTCTTTTTATTTTGACTCCAAGTTTTAGTAGCTACAGGACGCATGTTTATTGTCTTAGATTGGAAAATTAGCTAGGTAAGCAAGCTAACATGAGGTTGTGTTTGTCTCCTTCTTACCTATCATTAAATCCTGTTGTGACCAGTTACAACAGTTGTTTATCGGGTTTGTTTGGCTCCATTAGTTGACGATTAAGTGTTACATTGCATTTCTTAACTTTTCAAATTTACCAATTACAGCAAACCTTCAACTACACACCCATTTCTCTTTTACTTTAACTGTGAACCAGAACTAATTTATGGCCAATACTTTTGATTTAAAGGCAGAATCTACTCTGAGTGTGATGCCATAGTGGTTCAATGACATCGTACTATACAGGAACTTTTAGACAGAATCGCCAGAGTTACATTTTTGTGCCAGAAGTTTCTGATACTAGCGTAGAGGATCTAAAAACCAGTCCAGATCTGTGACTTGTGAGAGAGCAATGTCTAAGTTAAAAGAAAAGAAAATGTCACCTTTTCATTGTATGTCTCCTTTAAATATTTTCTATTTAAACCAATATTTCAGGCTTTCTTCTGTTTTAGTGATTCATACTTTCCCTAAAATGTACATTACGTTTGCAGTTAATGATTAGTCAAATGTAATAAATAAATGTATAAAGTAATAATTGATAAAATACTGAAACTATTGATAGACACCAACATCTGGAGTAAAACACTCTATACATGTCCCAGTTAGTTAGTATTAGTATTTCCTAATAATAATTTGACCTCTGCTGTCTCCATATTTTACCTGGCGGGTCAGAAGTGGCATGTGGAGATCCTGGAGGGGGCAAGCCGATCAAAGCGCCGGGGGTCAGAAAAGATAAGAAACTATTTGGCTGTAGTGGGTGCTGAAAGTTCCCATGGACGCTGGCAGCCCGTCAGCAGGAGAAACACCAGCTCCTCTGACAGCTCCCGGGACCCCTTAAGGAGCCGAGGAGAATGTCCGCTAATATTGAGTATGTGTGATTTTTCTGGTTGTGTTGGGCTTTATCCGGCGATGTAGATTTGTTCTCAATTGATTTGTGACTTGACTCCCTGTATTGGCTTGAGGTGAAAGGTGGCAGATGTGTTGTGATAAGCATCTGAAGGAGCTAAGGGGACAACAGGTGTCCAAATAACAATTAAGAATGGGCTTTTTGAGTTGTGTTTGTGTCCTTTTGTTATTGTTGATGTTTGCAGATTGGTTCATTTACAGGGCTTAGATTTAGTAGGGCTGACAAAAGTATCTAAATACACAGATATTTGGGATACTATCACTGGTATTGCAACTGTGGTAGATACTAATTTCAGCAAGTATCAAGTGTAAGGAACTGAAAGAAAAGCTGATTTTAAACTGTAGCCAATTGTGACCAAGTATTTTCCCTTGTGGATCAAAAAAGTTTGTCTCAGTTAATGTCTAAAAATCTATAGCCTGAATATATTTAACATTATTATTATTACTATAGTCTCTGGCAGTCTGATTTGCCACATCATCACAATCAAAAGGGTATCAATTTGAGTATTTAGTGAAGTTAATTTTAACTTCTACGGGAAAATCACAGTTAAAAAATAGTAATTACATAGTTTAATTGATATTTGACCCTAGGCTTTCTACCCACAACATTGCATTTGTATAGAAATAGATCAAGCATAGATAGTATTTAAAATTGACTTGTTGACCAAAACAATCAAGCACAAAAAATAATCACCAGCAACAAAGAAGACAGAAAGAGGGGGGGGGGACACATTTAACGCACGCGCCGACATCATGGCCGACATGATATTACATTTTATCACTGCACTCCTCTTTACATGTACAGTGGCGGCATTTTCATTTCACAAAGGATCGTTTTATTTCAAAGCGGAGTCACCCCCGGAGTGGCAGATGGTAGATCCGACTCAGCAGGGAGAGAATAAAAGAAGGAGGAGGAGAAAGGGGGGGACCGCCCCATGGTCTCAAAAGTGCTTATGGTCAGAGGTCACAGAAGCATCTGCTGTGACCGGAGGGGACATTACACCGGTGGCCTGAGCAGGACCTGTTGCCGTGGTGTGGGTGGATCTTTATCTCAAACTAGACTAGGGACAAAGAGAATCTATTACAGTTAGCACGGGAGAGCTTTTTCACACATACGTTTACTCGGAAAGAGGAAAAAACAGAAAGCTTCAAAGGTGTCTTCGGGTTTTTTTACAATCAAACGCCAATTGCCGCTGTCTGGTCTCTCAGTGGGACACAGGGGGCTGTTAAAAACTCCCACATTAGTCCCGCCTCACAAAAGTCAACAAGGAAGTTTCTGGCACCTCTGTGAGACATACAAGCAATTCCTTTTTCAAACTGATTTGTTGGTCGTACAAATACACTGAGGGAAATTACTTGTTCTCTATTCATTCTACATAGACGTGCCACCTAAACATGTCGAAGAGGGGTTTTTGAGTCAGATATTTCTTTAATTTCTGCAGATTTAAAAGGCAAATGTGTTTAGAAAGTATATTCATTCCTCACAATTCCAAAGGTTTTACAAGACATTTCTATGAGGATGTTCTCCAGATGTTCTCTTGAGCTTTGTTTTGGTCAAATGTATATATATATTTTTAAAAATCCCATATTTATTGACCTGATAAATAGATCTCAGGCAGCAGCGATCTCACTTGTAACCCTCAGCTTTCCCATTTCCAAGTTCTTCCAGATAGAACAAAAGAAGACCAAGCTTTTTACATGACTTGTATCAATGCGTATAAGGACAGAGACGTCATCCTTGAGATAATAATGACGCCGGCGCTAAAGATATAGATACTAGTTGCAATGTGGGTTGGAACAAAGACGTTCAGTTGTTTAGATAATAAAGATTAGTAGCAATACACAAATAAGTTACCGTAATTACCGCCTGACAATGCAATCGTAGCTTTTGCAGCCAGTGTGGTGCATACAGTGTTTATACAGGCGGCTATCCCATATTACCTATGATAACAATTTATGAGTCCACATATGATAACTGTAAAAATATCATTGTTGGAAGCGTAACAAGAGCGTACAGGGGGATAGAAGTCGCAGCAGCTGACTTCACATGAGTTCTTTACGTCCCAGGGGAAAAGATTTGGCTTTTTAGCACCCCCGCATCTGACACGGGACAGAGGGATGGGGTATAAGGGGGGAGCTGAGGGGAGAGAGGGGGGAGGGGGAGGAGCCAGGCCCAACAGCTGCCCTCATTAACATGCACACCTGCTCCCAGCGGAATAACAGATGCCCTCCCTGCTCGCACAAGCCCCCGATTCAAAAATAAACAACTTTTTCCTTGCCTTTTGCTTTGTGTTTTATTGCACCGACACCAGTGAGATTACATTCACTACATCCCAGCCACACTTGACTTTCAAACTCTATTTTTGTACCAGCGGGGGCCATGCTTTTACTGATTTCAAGGGACAAAATAGCATAAAGATATCCCCCCTATCTCCTTCAACATGCCGTATATCGCACTTTGCTGGTCTTTTCTGTTAAACCTGTCTTTTAAACTAATGTTGCCGTGATTGTGACTTTATAGCCATCAATCAAATATAGCACAATTCATACAGCGTAATCCAAACTGCTTCACAAGTCTAAGTAAATACATTTGAATCAAGAAACAGACAATGTGCGATAGAAGCAGTGTAATTACATATGACACGTTTTGTATTGCTAAAATTAGTCATATATGCACAGCTAAATAAGACAGATTTCCACCTGGATTTAAAAATATCCAGGGATACTGTTCCAGATTTTAGCTCCATACAGTAAATATGAAATGCTGACTCCCCGTGTTTAGTCCTGACTCCGGGCACCAGCAGGAAGCCCGTCCCTGTGCTCCTCAGTTGCTTCCTATGGCACTAAGTAATGTCACGGATGAACTTTTGGAGAGACTTCTACACAAGCAGATCTGCCTCATCTTGTTTTGTTATTGTTTCCTTTCTTGTTTTGTGAAGCACTTTGACTTTGTCCTGTGTATGAATTGCACTATACAAATAAACTTGCCTCGCCATGCATGGTTTGTAGTTGTAGTTTCGTAGTTTTGTATGTCCAGGGCTTAGGATCGTAATACATTTAATACCATCCAGCATCGGCACTGTACCCCTTGATCTCTGGAGCTGTCTGCAATGTGTGTGGACAGCCCAGGGGCAAAGGTAGATGGGAACAGACTCCGATTGTCTATTTGGTGGCGTCTGTTGTCCTTGCAGATTGTGTTTTTAGGCTTCAGAGACGGGCTAATCCAGGGGGACATCCTCTAAAAACACCCCCCTCCCCTCCCTCACTGCACTGTGGGCTCGGCTGTGTGAGAAGTCCCCTCTCTCAACTCCCAATTTCCTCCCAATGGCCAATTCTAATGTGTGATTTCTATCTGCTTCTAGGTGTCCGAGCGACTATGTGGGCAACAGGTGCCAGTTCCCAAGTCCTTGCAGCCCCTCGCCGTGCCGGAACGGAGGTGAATGCCGTCCGGTCGTCCACGGCAACACTTTCGATTTCCACTGCGTTTGTCGAATGGGTTTCTCGGACCGCCTTTGCCTGACTCCTACCAACCACGCCTGCATGAGCTCTCCCTGTCGAAATGGAGGAACATGCGACCTCATCACCCTGTCGTCCTACCGATGCCGCTGTCCGCCCGGCTGGTCTGGTAGGAATAGTCTTTTTGTGTTTGTGTTAAAGCTGGGATACCTAACTTTCAAACCACAATAAGTTTAATAAAAATCATCGCTCTCAAACACCTTGGTTCAATCGCAAGTTTTTTCATGTTTTTTGGTTTCTATCACATCTTGAGATTAGCTTTTTTCCAGAGAAAAAAGTGTAAAGGAATCAGCTCTCAGACCAAAGTTTCGAATAGTGACTCACATGGCTCTAGGATGTAAAAAGGATAAAATACATTTCTGATAAACATATTCTGGACAAAAAGAAGTCAAACATTGCTAAAAAATTGGCACATTTTGACTGTTTTAAAACAAGATTTGCCAATGAGACAAAGCAAAATTATCTTGTGTTCTTGAAATGAGACTAAATGGCTTTTGGGAAATTGGGACATTTTGTTTTTAGACGATATGAATGTTCTCAAATTAAAACACAAATCACTCAATTCAAGAAATTATTACCTCATATTATGTTATTCGTTGATTGTTCACATTTTCTGCTTTGATAAGACACTTATAGATATTTTATGAATGGGGAAAAAGGTTTGATACCACGGTTTTAAGTAATTCATCTTGTTTTAGATTTGAGTTTAACATATGCTCTCTCTGCCTTTTTCTCAGGTAAAACATGCCACATCGCCAATCCCTGTGCCTCCAACCCTTGTGCCAACGGCGGCCAGTGCTCCGCCTTTGACTCCACCTTCATCTGCACCTGCCCACCGTCCTTCCACGGCAAAACCTGCAAACAGGACGTCAACGAGTGCGCTCAGATGCCCGCTCCCTGTCAGAACGGCGGCGTCTGTGTGAACGAGGTGGGCTCCTACCACTGCCGCTGCCCTCAACGCTATTCCGGCCCACACTGCGAGACCCTGTACATGCCATGCAGCCCCTCGCCGTGCCAGAACGGAGGCACCTGTGTACCGAAGGGAGAGACCACCTATGACTGCAGCTGCCTGCCAGGTAACAGGAAGTCGGGTTGTGCTTCTTTTGCTGTGCGTACAGTACTTCCTGGTTTATGAAGCGCACCTGTATATAAACCACACCTGCTACACTTAAAAAGAAAGTGAATATTGTCCACATATGAGCCGTGCTTGAATATAAGCTGCAGGTTTTCATGTTGGAATGTGACAAAAACCAACAACTGATAGAGCAAAAGAAAGCTGATAGACTGTTTTTGACTGCTCTCATTCTAACCGTATTATGATTCAGAGAAATCCCGCCAAAAAGTGAGTTCGTTTGCTTGGGTTTTACCTTCACTAACTTTTAATGAGTGTAAAAAAACTAGTTCGTATAACTGAAATACAGCAACGACAAAAAGTGGCAAAATGCTAACTGCGAGCAAGCAAACAGCCTGTTGCTATGGTAACTAGCCCTCATTCTGTTCGGGTGGAAAACCAAGCCAACATTTCTCGGAGAAACTACTCACATTTCAATATTATAAGGATAATTTTGCAAAGTTAAAGAAATAGAAACAAAACTACATATGGATACAGAAAAAATCACAACGTTATGAAGACCACAGATGCAATTACGCTTTCAACACTAAAAGCAGTCAAATTGAATGCTCTGGCAGTTCTAGTGTTGATGTCGAGGCACTTTTGACTCGTGATGATCAAATCTGTGAAAATAACAGAATTTTACTCTTAGGAGGCTAACTATAACTGTTCATGTCAGGTCTCAATTACCAATATTATTTGACAATCAACGTGTGTCCTACTCCTGCTAAACCTGGGTGGAGTCTTTAAATTCTGCTCTACTCTGTCACCACGTAAAAACAAGCCCCTTATTGTTTGTGTTTCTCATTGTGTCTCTCTGCTGTTCAAACAAACATAAACTACAGCTTTTGTCCAAAATCTTTCCTGTGCCCCAAGATATACAAGAGATACTACAAATACATACATCGGCCGCATCACCTTTTAAAGAACTTGAAAAAAGTCGAGGCTTAAAGTCCGGCAATTACGATATTTCCCTCTTTTTTATCAGTTGACCTAAAATCCGTTCCTTTTGTTGATGCACAATCCGAGTGGGAAAAGGCAACCCCTGATAACCCCCACATTTTGTTTGACAGTCGTCACAGGCAGGATGCAGTCACACAGACGCTTCCTTCTGATAGTCGCGCTGTTCTCACCAAAACAGGAATGTAAAATCTATAGACTGCAAAAACAGGCTCTGAACCTGCAGCTTTAAAGGTGCTGCCCAGATTGTTGCCATATGATAAAAGTTGATATATAATCTGTGTGTTGTAAAATGGCCACACCTGTTCTGGTTATCTGTGATATGATTTGACCTGCTCAGTCATTTACAGAGCATTAAAGCAAACTGGCACGTGTCAACAATCTTCAAACTGTGTACGGAGTAATAAAGGATGAAGGGATACGATTTAGACACAAGGAGAAGATTTATAAATTCTGGTCGCTCCAGGCCAGCCCCATGACCTCCTGGAAGCTTCAAGTCCTGGTTCCATAGCCTCGGTCCTGGTTCCATAGCCTCGCTCCTGGCTCTACAGCCTCGGGCCTGGTTCTACAGTCTCAGTCCTGGTTCCATAGCCTCAGTCCTGGTTCTATAGCCTCAGTCCTGGTTCCATAGCCTCAGTCCTGGTTCTACAGCCTCAACCCTGGTTCCATAGCCTCAATCCTGGTTCCAAAGCCTCAATCCTGGTTCTATAGCATCCGTCCTGGTTCTACAGCCTCAACCCTGGTTCCATAGCCTCAATCCTGGTTCCAAAGCCTCAATCCTGGTTCTATAGCATCCGTCTTGGTTCTACAGCCTCAGTCCTGGTTCCATAGCCTCAGTCCTGTTTCTATAGCCTCGGTCCTGCTTCTATAGCCCGTCTGTCTGGGGGCAGATCCTCTCCCAATATGAGCCTTCCTGAGATTTCTCTTTTTCCCTACTGTTTTTTAAATTTTTTTATTTATTTGTTGATACAGGAGGGTCAGTTATGATCTGGGACATTTGTGCACATTTTTGGACCAATGGCTCATATGTGTTTTTGAGTGGCCCAAATAGCAATTTTAATATTATTGTCATTATTTCATTTTCTGTGTTTTTTGAACGGCTTGAAACTGATATGTTGTTGGCAAATCAACAACTTTGTAGAGTGCTCCAAAACAACTGCTTTTGAGATTCAGGGCTGTACAGAAATAAATTGACTTGAAAGTTACCTTTATTAAAATGTGTCGTCTCCTCCGCAGGCTTCACTGGTCCTCACTGTGAACACAACATTGACGACTGTCCCGGCCACAACTGTCAGAACGGTGGAATCTGTGTCGATGGAGTGAACACCTACAACTGCCAGTGTCCGCCTCACTACACAGGTGCGTACAAATACTAATAGTAATATCTTGAGCTTTGATGTCAAGTAACCTCAAACTCACTTGTGTCTTGCCGGTGGTTTCTCCAGGTCAATTCTGCACCGAAAATGTGGATGAATGTGAGTTGATGCCCAACGCGTGTCAGAATGGAGGCACCTGTCACGACACTCATGGGAGCTACCACTGCGTCTGCGTGAACGGCTGGACGGGAGACGACTGCAGCGAGAACATCGATGATTGTGCCAGCGCTGCGTGTTATCACGGGGCCACCTGCCATGACCGAGTCGCCTCCTTCTTCTGCGAATGCCCACACGGACGAACAGGTTAGTTGGAAAAAGTGATGGGAAGGACATAAACAAATTTGAGCATATTTTGACTGCCTTAAAACAAGATGTGTCAATGGGACAAGCAAAATGATCTTGTTTTAAAAAGATACAAGAAATGTCTCCCTTGGAATGAGAAAATAAGGTAACAGTTCTTGAAATATGATTAGTAATCTTTATTTATATACCGCCTTTTCACTGCACATCAGAGTCTCAAAGCGGTTTACAATTGTTATTTTTGGGAGTGGGGGTGCCAGTACAGGAGGCACATGCTAGACCTATTGTACATATTTTCAGTGGTAGGGGAAACCGGAGCACCCGGAGGAAACCTACGCAGACACGGGGAGAACATGCAAACTCCACTCAGAAAGGCCCTGGTCCAACCGGGATTCGAACCCAGGACCTTCTTGCTGAGAGGCGAGAGTGCTATCCACTCAGCCACCGTGCCGATTAAATGGCTTGGTCCCGTTGGCAAATCTTGTTTTAAAAATTTCGGCTGCTGCTGTTGTGATTTATGGATATATTGTAGAAAGAGCAGGTATAGCACACCAAAAAATTCATTAATGAGGGTCAGATGCGAGAATCAAAATACCACAAAATACTTTTTATTTTATGTGGTCAAAAGAAAAAACATGATCTGATGAAGGCATAAAGCCGAAACGTCATGAATAAATGCGCTTTTGAACATCTGAGCTGAGTGTGCAATGCTACTCTGTTTCCTGTGATTTAGCGATATAACATATATAACAATTACAAATGTATGTCTCCAGGATTACTGTGCCACCTCGACGATGCCTGTATCAGCAACCCATGTCAAAAGGGCTCCAACTGTGACACCAACCCAGTCAACGGCAAGGCCATCTGTACCTGTCCTCCTGGCTACACCGGATCCGCCTGTAACTTGGACATCGATGAGTGCTCTCTTGGTAAATCTCCCCTCCAGCTGACTAAAAAAACCCACGTCTCTCTTCTCAATTTAAGTATGCATCTTTAACCGTTTATCTTTCAGGAGCCAACCCATGTGAGCACGGTGGTCGTTGCCTCAACACTAAAGGATCTTTCCAGTGCAAATGTCTTCAAGGATACGAAGGGCCGCGCTGTGAGATGGACGTCAACGAGTGCATGTCCAACCCCTGTTTTAACGATGCCACTTGTTTGGATCAGATCGGGGGCTTTCATTGTATCTGTATGCCAGGTAAAAAAAATCTATAAGCTTAAAACCATTTATTTGAGGCAAGACAGGTTCATTTTTATAGCATAGTTCATACACAAGGCGACACAAAGCGCTTAAAAACAAGAATAAAAACATTACATGCATATATGTATACGTACAATTTTGAATTTCCTGCTCTAGAATATACCGTATTATTATTACTTCTCTATTATGCTAAAGTTAGTTATTGTTCACTTATTTTTTGCTATGTGCTTCTCGTTCCTTCTGTTTTGTAACAAGCTGAAGCCTGTCTCACATTATCAGGAAGACTGTTTGATATTTTAGCTATGTTTAGGCCTGTCCCTGTGCTCCTCAGAGTCCCAGTTGGTTCATATGCCACTAACAATATCACAAATGCATTTTGGTTCAAGACCATGGAGACACTTGTCCACAAACAGTTTTTTAACATTGACGTAACTAAAAATCTCTCTCTTCTCTTCTTTGCATCATCACAGGATACGAAGGCGTATTTTGCCACATCAACACAGACGAATGCGCCAGCCAACCGTGTCTCAACAGCGGCAAATGCGTCGACAAGATCAACTCGTTCCACTGCGACTGTCTAAAAGGTGAGAAAACCCCCAAAAGTAATGTAGGCTCACTCAAGAGACTTTGTAATAACTTAATAATTAACTATGAGTGTGTGCGTTCAGAGAAGAGTGGTGAATGATTGACTGGTTCTAATGGTGCCGCTTGGAGGTTGCAGGGACATTAATTAACATATTTGGCGGCAAGACATTCTGCCAGGATTTTAAAGCGGGACAACTGGGGGCAGGGACTGGTTTATTGCCAGTTAAGCTCCAGCCTATTGTTTGGTCTGAAAGAAAAGTCCTCGCTGCACAGTCAGAGTAGAAGCAGGAGGGGGAGGGTTGAGAAATGCTTCATTAGTTTCCTAGACCTTCCGTTACACACTTTACACGCATTCTCTGCACTTTTTTTTCTGTCCCTAAAATTTATTTTTTTGTTTGTTTGATTGTCAGGTTTTTCGGGTCATCTTTGCCAAGTGGACATTGACGAATGCGCAAGTACTCCATGCAAGAATGGGGGAAAGTGCACGGATGGTCCCAATAAGTATACATGCGAGTGCGCAGAAGGTAAAGGACATACTTTTGTTTTTAACCCCAGAACTCTCACAGCAGTTAATTTGACGACTTTTGTTTTGACTTTTTCTGTTTTATGTGTGTGTATTTTTCTATGTCATAACTTTCATTAAATTATCTCTATCTTAGACTGGTCCTAGACTGTTTCAGAAAAATCTCAGCTTGGAGCAAGTGCTAGTTACTAAAGCAACATCAGTTAGTATTAAATTTGGCTATATTTCAGTTATATTAACCAGTGTTGGCATGTATGAAAGAAATAAAACCCAGTAAAAACTTAATTTGAATAAAAGTAGTGAAAAAGTAAAACTGCTTTTTGGGGATTTTTTCAGAAATATATTGATTTTTATGGGAGCTCTCAAAATGACTGCTCTGGGAGTCCTACTGTTCATGCAGGGTTAAGTGGTGATTTCACAAAAACTTACCATGACTCGTGGTTGTCTATAGGTTACACTGGACAGCACTGTGAGGTTGATATCAACGAGTGCTACTCTGACCCCTGCCATTACGGGACCTGTAAAGATGGACTGGCCTCATTCACCTGCTACTGTCGACCTGGTTACACTGGCCGCTTGTGCGAAACCAACATCAATGAATGCCTCAGCCAGCCATGCAAGAACGGTGGAACTTGTCAGGACAGAGAGAACACATACATTTGTTCTTGCCCCAAAGGAACCGCTGGTATGTGACTGTCACTGCAACACAATCTTAAAGAGAAATGTGTAAAGAGCCTCACTTCAAATCCATTTCTACAGGTTTCAACTGTGAAATAAACCTTGATGACTGCAAGAGCCAGCCGTGTGATTATGGAAGATGCATTGACAAAATCAATGGCTATGAATGCGCCTGCGAGCCCGGCTACACAGGTGAGCAGTGGGCGGAGCCAACAGGTGCAGGGGGCGGTCCCTGGAGATTAGTGTGAGGCAGGTAGAACAGGTGGCCGGCGGATCTGCTCTTACTGAACAATGGTGTCAGATGGCTTGTGTGAGATTGAGTGCAGAACACAGAAAAGAACACAGTCCTCAACCTGATACACACAAAACATCCACACAAAGCACCAACTTTGTTTGCCATTTGAAAAGGCTGAGATGGAGACCTTGGAAAGCGTTTGTAACGCGATACTTGTAAAAGAAAGGAGTCTTTTAATGGTGCAACTTGCGAGACACCCATGTTGCTGATCTTTGCGACCATCATTGAAGATTAGGAGGATATTTAGGCAACTGATTTATTTTTTGATCCTGAGTGGGAAGTAAAGGAGGACAAAGGACTATTGTACCCTGAGATCAGACAGTCCTTCCTCTTGATTGATTAAGTTGGGGACAGTTGGGGATTGAAGTGGGTCCAGTAAACTGCCCTCGGTGAGGTTGGCCTCTCCTGGATGGGGGATGTGTGTGAATAGGTGAACACCTACCCCCGCCCATTGGATCCAGCTGAGCCCTTCTTCTGGCTTCAAATGCCCCCTTTTTAGTCAATAGAAACATACCAATGGGCCCTCAGGGGCTCCTAGCCTATGTCCATATAAAGGGTTAGCGGCTTGTCTGTGAAGACTACTGATGGAATCTTTATTGTTGCCGCTACTTTTGTCCAAACGTTAGGATCTAGTTGCCAAAGGCAACTCATGTAACATCCTCATGTGTTCAAATGAGTTGGTTGTCTTCACCGCAAAGAAAAGCAAAATAAGTTTGGGCAAATTCACTTAAACTTAACTTTCTCCTCAGGCTCCATGTGTAACATCAACATTGATGATTGTGCCATCAACCCCTGTCACAATGGAGGCACCTGTATCGACGGCATCAACAGCTTCACCTGCCTCTGCCCCGAGGGCTACAACGATGTGACCTGTTTGTCCCAAGTGGATGAGTGCGGCAGCAACCCCTGCATCCACGGTCGCTGCCAGGATCTTGTCAATGGGTAATTGAACTTGAAAGAATTATATACAAAATGTTTCAAATAAAACTAGCTAATCTATAATGTCAAAATATACAATACTAAATAGTGTTTGTATGTCATTTTAAAGATACAAATGCACCTGTGACTCTGGATGGAGCGGACACAACTGTGACATCAATAACAACGAGTGCGAGTCGAACCCGTGCATGAACGGTGGAACCTGCAAAGACATGACCAGCGGCTACCACTGCACCTGCAGAGCGGGCTTCACCGGTCAGTACTATTCTCAACTCCAGAGTCCTTCAATAATCCTTCATGGCAAAGGCTTCACTAACTTTGTGTGTTTCACCATTTTAGGTCCTAACTGTCAAACTAACATCAATGAGTGCGCCTCCAACCCATGTCTGAACCAGGGCACGTGCATTGATGATGTGGCTGGATATAAGTGCAACTGTCTGCTTCCTTATACTGGTATGATGTCACACTGTGTTTGTTTGTTTGGCTTCATAACCACTGAGATTATTCCACATCATTCCCCAGTCGTTACCAGCACTCCGCTCTGATAATGAGAGGTGTCAGATTTGAAGCACTTTGTTTTTCTTACAACTAGCCATGTGGTTCAAGAATAACATTCCATAGTAGTCAATAGAATCTGGGGGGAAAAGTCATCCTCATTCCAGCTTCCTCCAAGTCTCGTTTCCTGTCTGTGAAACTACAATCGTAGGAAACGGAAAGGCCTTTCCTCGCCGCAAATGTCATGGAAATACAAATAAGATGTGTTATTTTGTGTGTACACATAAATATGCTGATGCAAGCTAACATTGTTTTTATATTGCCAGGCGACAATTGTGAAATCCTGCTGGCTCCATGCAGTCCCAGACCTTGCAAAAACGGTGGCGTATGTAAAGAAGCTGAAGACTATCAAAGCTTTTCTTGCATCTGCCCAGAAGGATGGCAAGGTACCCAAGTTCTAAATGGTGTTTGAGTCATTTTAAGTTAAGATTTCTTGTGCTAATGTATCTCCCTCTCTCTCTTTGTGTGTTTACAAAGGTCAAACATGTGAAATTGATATTAACGAGTGTGTGAAGAGTCCGTGTCGCAATGGAGCCTTCTGCCAAAACACCATGGGAGGCTATCAGTGCAAGTGCCAGCCTGGATACACGGGGCAGAAGTGCGAAACTGACATTGACGACTGCAAACCGAGTGAGTGAAGGTGTCTTTTGTTAACACCAGGACTCTCAGAGCAGTCAATTTGACGGCTTTTCATGTTGGAAGTGTACTGACTTGGTTTCTTGAATTTATTTCTATGTCATTCAAACTCTGAACTTTGTTAAGCACTTTGGGTGGCCTTGGTCTATAAAAAAATGCTTACTAATGTTTATGAAATTATCTCGATCCTAGACTGGTTCAGAGCAATCGCAACCAATCTCTAGTATTTAATTTTGTTTAATTTCAGTAATATTCACCAGATTTAGTATTTATATTTAAAAGTACCGTGTTTTTCCACACTATTAAGCGCAGAAAATAGTCTTTAATTTTAACAATGCGCCTTATAAACAGGTGCGCCTTATTTACGAAAATTAACCCAGAATTTGATAGTGCGTCTAATTGAGCAAAAAATACGCAAAAAAATAAAAAAGGCGGATATTTCAGAATTCTATTATTTTGAACGGGAGTCGTCAAAAAGACTGCTCTGGGAATTCTATCCCATATCAAAATTCTAGGAGTCCTTGTCTAAAATCAGGGTCTTAACTTCAGTATCTGACTGTCTCCTCTGCTTCCTCTTTGCCTCAGACCCCTGTAGTAACGGAGGCTTGTGCCGAGACGGAATCAACACGTTCACTTGCACCTGCCTGCCTGGCTTCAACGGGGGGCGCTGTGAGCAGGACATCAACGAGTGTGAGAGTAACCCGTGTAAGAACGGAGCCAACTGCACCGACTGCGTGAACAGCTACACCTGCACCTGTCGACCCGGCTTCAGCGGCATCAACTGCGAGATCAACACCAACGACTGCACTGACAGGTTTGAATTTATACATAATTCTCCCCAGTAATATGTATTGTATTATAAATAAAGATTACTACTATTACTACTACTATTATTGTTATAATTTTTCATTTTAATCGTCTGATTTTTGTTCAAATGTTTTGTTCATTATATTTTCTTCACATGTTTTTCAGTCTATTGTTTATTATTATTATTATTATTTTTTTTTTGTCATTATATTTCTAATTCATTGTTATTTTTTGTACTATTTTTTCATGTTTATTTTTCTTATTTTTTTCTCATTTGTCTTGTTTATTTTTTCATTCTTTTTTGTTATTATTTTTAAATTGTTTTTTATTATTCATTCTATTTTATCTCTGTATTATTTCAAGTATTTTTCACTGATTTCTATTTGTTCCTAATCTTTCAGCTCTTGTTTTAATGGAGGCACCTGCGTGGACGGTATCAACGCCTTCACCTGTCTGTGTTTGCCCGGCTTTACTGGCAGCTATTGCCAATACGACATTAACGAGTGCGACTCCAAACCGTGCTTGAACGGAGGCAGCTGTCTGGATAGTTATGGCACCTACAAGTGCACCTGCCCTCACGGTTACACAGGGATCAACTGCCAGGTAACCTCAACCGTAACCGTATTTGTCGGGTGCATCGAACCATGTGCACATTTATTAACTAGTCTTCTTATGTTAGAATCTGGTGCGATGGTGTGAGTCCTCTCCCTGTAAGAATGGAGGGTCGTGTTGGCAGAAAGGAGCCTCTTACACCTGTCAGTGTCAGACTGGGTGGACCGGGCTTTACTGTGACGTCCCAAGTGTGTCCTGCGATGTAGCTGCTAAACGGCAAGGTATGGAAATGAATCAATATTATTTTTACATTCATCAAAGTTTATTACAGACTCGAGGGTCCAGAATAACACAAATACAACACATACAATCAGAACAATTAGCCTCACTCCTCAGAGCAAAATTATTTCAATTCAATTTATTTTTGTATGGCCCTAACTCACAACAGTAGTTATCTCTGAGGACTTTGAAAAACAGTTGAATTCGCCAACAAAGATCAGAGAATCACAGACGGGCTGTAGATCCAGGATTCAGACTGTAGTCATTATTTCTTTTGTATTCATCAAACCTTATAATTCATTACAGACTTTTGGTCTAGAATAAGACAAATACATCACACGAAACAACACATACAATCAGAACAATAATCCTCACTCCTCAGAGCAAACAGCTGTACCGATGTCTCTACAGTTCAGACTAGAACCACATGGCAGTGACTTAGTAGAAGTTTGAAAATAATAAACTGTTTCTCTCGCTTCAGGAATCGACGTGGCTCAGTTGTGCAGAAACTCAGGCCAATGTCTGGATGCTGGTAACACACACTACTGCCGCTGCCAGGCAGGCTACACCGGGAGCTACTGCCAAGAGCAAGTGGACGAGTGCTCCCCCAATCCATGCCAGAACGGGGCCTCATGCACAGACTATCTGGGAGGTTACAGCTGTGAGGTAATGATGCCTTTGAAAATAAACCAAAAATGAATCAACATTTTAAATATCTTGAAAATGTCTTTTTCCATGTTTTTAACAATTTTTCCCCCTCTTTTTTGTCTCAGTGCCTTCCGGGTTACCATGGCGTCAACTGCTCCAAGGAAATCAACGAATGCCAGTCCCAGCCCTGTCAAAATGGAGGAACATGCATCGATCTGGTCAATACATACAAATGTTCTTGTCCGAGGGGAACGCAAGGTATGTTTCTGCAAGTAAAGATTAAGATAGAGCACAAGATAAATGAACAATCACTCTATACTAAAATAATATCTCTAGTTTTATCGTAATAAGGAAGCTACTCTAAAATCTCCAACTTCAGCATAATGAAGAAGCAAGAATTAAGTATACAATCTCTGACTTCAGCATAATAAAGAAGCAAAAAAAAATACTGTATAATCTAGTGGCACATTCTGACAATATTAAAATGTAGTTTTATGTTATAAATACAGACAACTAAAACATGTGGAAAACAAAAAATGAAACATGGTCTTTTTCACTTCCAAAGGAGTTCACTGTGAGATTAATTTGGACGACTGCAACCCTTCCACTGACCCATTAACCAACGAGCCCAAGTGTTTCAACAACGGCAAATGCGTGGACCGAATCGGAGGCTACCAGTGCGTTTGTCCGCCGGGTTACGTGGGAGAGCGCTGCGAGGGGGACGTGAACGAGTGCTTATCGGACCCCTGCGACCCCCGAGGTTCCTACAACTGCATCCAGCTCACAAACAGTTACCGCTGCGAGTGCCGCACTGGGTACACAGGTATGCACTACAGTCTTTTGGATATAACATTCAGTTCATAATGGACATACGTGGGAAATGCATTTTAAAACCTTCCTATTTTTGAACTCAGGTCAACGCTGCGACAAGGTGTTTGATGGGTGTAAAGGACGGCCGTGTAGAAATGGAGGCAGTTGTGCGGTCGCTAGTAACACTCCCCATGGATTTATCTGCAAATGTCCTCCTGTAAGTACACAGCCAAGTTGTCAATTTAATTCAATGTATTTATGTATAGCCCTAAATTACAACAGTAGATATCTCGGAGGACTTTACAATCAACCAATTAATCTGTATTTGTAGAGCACATTTAAAACAGCCTTGGCTTACCAAAGTGCTGTACAAACAAGTGAAAAAGCAGCAACAACAAAAACACATGAACATACAGAAATATATAAATTCATAAAAACTGTAAAATTGTCTTTTTCTACCTGGTATTAAAAGCCAAAGAGAAAAAAGTTCAGGGATTTAAAGTGCTCAAACGATGGTGATGTTCTACTTTGCAACGGTAAATAGTTTCATATACAGCTGTGGCGCTGTGGCAAGAATCAAACAGTTAAAACACAAGAAATACAATGATTAAAAAAATGTTGTTGAATGTCGAGTGTCCTGGATCATACCCAATGTCCCTGCCTTTGAATTATGTTCCTTTTTTTAGATTTTGCTTCTCACATTTTGTTGTCATCTCCCAGGGTTTCACGGGGTCTTCCTGCGAGTATGATTCTCGCTTGTGCGGCAGTCTGAATTGTCGAAATGGCGGTACATGCGTGTCCGGACATCTGGGCCCACGCTGTCTCTGTCCTTCCAAGTTCACTGGCCCCGAGTGCCAAACTCCCAGTGACAGCCTCTGCTTCTCAAATCCCTGCTACAACGGCGGAACCTGTCAGATCACACTGGAGGCTCCATTCTTCCAGTGCAGCTGCCCCAACCACTTCAATGGCCTCCTGTGTCACATCCTTGATTACTCCTTCACTGGGGGTTTTGGCCGGGACATCACTCCTCCTCCGGAAGTGGAGGTGAGCTGTGAGATTCCACAGTGTGATGAGTGGGCGGGAAACCACATCTGCGACTCTCTGTGCAACAACCACGCGTGCGGATGGGATGGAGGAGACTGCTCCCTAAATTTTGATGATCCTTGGCAAAACTGCTCTGCCGCTCTACAGTGTTGGAGATATTTTAATGATGGGAAGTGCGATGGTCAGTGTAACAGCCCTGGGTGCCTTTATGATGGCTTTGATTGCCAAGGACAGGAAGGCCAGTGCAAGTAAGTTTAAAAACAAAAAAACTTCTATTGTCTCATAATTACAATATCTAACTTTATTTTTTACCAATCTTTCAGCCCCCTGTATGACCAATACTGTAAAGACCATTACGCTGATGGCCACTGTGACCAAGGCTGTAACAATGCTGAGTGTGAATGGGATGGACTGGACTGTGCCAACAACATGCCAGAGAAGCTTGCGGATGGGCACCTGGTTCTGGTCGTCCATATTCCTCCGGAGGAACTCAAGAATCGATCGTCCACGTTCCTCCGAGAGCTCAGCAGTGTCCTCCACACCAACGTTGTTTTCCGACGTGATGCCAAAGGGGAACCAATGATCTTTCCCTATTATGGTAATGAGCAAGATCTGGTGAAACATAATGTGCTGAAGAGATCCACTGAAGGGTGGCCAGAGTGGACCTCTGTTCCTGCAAATGTCTTTGATCAAGTGACAGACAGCTTGTCCTCCATGGTCAACTCAAGAAAACGCAGAGAATTGGATCCTTTGCAAACCAAAGGGTAGGTTACAGTTCTTTATCAGGTGGTATTCCTTTTGGTTTACCTTCTAATAACCTGTTTTCCGTTGTTTTAATAGGTCTGTGGTCTATCTGGAGATTGACAACCGTCAGTGTTATCAGCAGTCCTCTGAATGCTTCCAAAGTGCCACTGATGTTGCAGCTTTCCTTGGTGCTTTAGCCTCAAGTGGAAACCTAAATGTTCCCTATATCGAAGCAGTTACAAGTGCGTATCTTATTCTTACATATACAATTATGTTTCATGTTGAATATGTGGATCTCATTATCCCATGTTTTTCTCAGGTGTGAAACCCTCTGCTCCGAGCTCTGAGCTCTTCACTGTGTACGTGGTGATAATGGGACTGGCAGCCGTAGGTTTCATCGGCCTTGGTGTTCTGGTGACCCGTAAACGGCGCAGAGAACATGGTCATCTCTGGTTTCCAGATGGATTCAAAGTTTCTGAGCCCAGCAAAAAGAAACGACGAGAGCCTGTTGGAGAGGATTCAGTTGGCCTAAGGTACCGTATAGTTACAATTAAAATGTGCTTTTATGATCATGTTTTTTGAGTTTGGCCTTATCAATATGCATGTTTTCTACAGACCAATGAAAATTGCTGATATAAACCTTATGGATGACAATCAAAATGAGTGGGACGATGAGGACCCAGACTGTCGCCGATTTAAAGTATGTATAAAATTTCAGGTGCATCAATATTGACTTTGGAAACCATTTCTAGATTGGAAGACTGTTCAATGTCTTAATTTTGCATTTTATTTTGTGCATTACAGTTTGAAGAACAAGCAATGCTAGATTTGAGTGACCACACGGATCAAAGGAAATGGACGCAGCAGCACCTCGATGCCGCTGATCTGCGTGTTGCATCTATCGCTCCTACTCCTCCTCAGGGAGAGATTGAAAACGACTGCTTGGACGTCAATGTCAGAGGACCAGGTTTGTGTTCTCAACAAATGTCTCATCACATGTACTGTGCATTAAAACGGGAGACTTATGGACGTTATTGTCACCTTTCAGATGGTTTCACTCCGCTGATGATTGCCTCATGCAGTGGAGGTGGACTAGAAACTGGTAACGAAGAAGAGGACGAGGATCCTTCAGCTGAGATCATAACCGACTTCATATATCAAGGAGCGAACCTCCACAACCAGACCGACCGCACCGGTGAAACGGCGCTCCACCTGGCTGCACGTTACGCTCGCTCTGATGCGGCGAAACGTCTCCTGGAATCCAGCGCTGACGCAAACGTTCAGGACAATATGGGCCGCACACCTCTTCACGCTGCTGTGGCTGCCGATGCTCAAGGCGTCTTTCAGGTAGATTTCCAGATTCAGTTTATTTGCCATTTGCAGTAAGCCCACATTGGCAAGATTTAAATGTTCCTCAAACATCTTTAGTACCTCTTTCTTATACTACATACGTTGATAAAGGCATGTTACTTAAAATACTTTTTTGTATGTACAGATTTTAATCAGAAACCGCGCCACTGATCTTGATGCACGAATGAACGACGGAACAACTCCTTTGATTCTTGCTGCACGTTTGGCGGTTGAGGGCATGGTTGACGAGTTGATCAACTGCCATGCGGATGCCAATGCCACTGATGACTCTGGTAACTATTGTCTTCAACATACTCTCGAATTGTACGTCAACAACTGTTTGTATAGATTTGTAGACTAAAGACACAATTGCTTCCTTTAGGTAAATCTGCTCTTCACTGGGCTGCTGCTGTAAATAATGTCGAGGCTGCTATGGTGCTGCTAAAGAACGGTGCCAACAAAGACATGCAAGACAACAAGGTGTGTGCGATAAACCATTATAAACCAGTTCATAAAGTTGTATAAAAACAATAGAAACACGCATTAACGACTTTATTCTGTGGATTCTCAGGAAGAAACGCCGTTGTTCCTGGCAGCCCGGGAAGGGAGTTACGAGACTGCAAAAGTTCTTCTGGAGCATTTCGCCAACCGTGAGATCACCGACCATCTCGACCAGCTGCCGAAAGACATTGCCCAGGAACGAATGCATCACGATATCGTCCGCCTTCTGGATGAGTACAACGTGGTCAGGAGTCCAGGTCTTCACAGTGCGCCCATGAGCAACGCCAGCCTGTCCCCGCCTCTTTGCTCTCCCAATGACTTTTTAGGCAATCTTAAGCCAAACCTTTCAGGCAAAAAGGTCCGCAAAGTTAACAACGGTAAAGGAGGCAAAGACGTAAACAAGGACAACAGAATTAAGAAGAAGAAATCTGACGGGAAGGGTAGCTTGCTCGACACATCTGCGGTGCTCTCTCCAGTTGAGTCTCTCGAGTCTCCCAATGCCTACCTGTCTGACGTTGCCTCTCCTCCCATAACGTCCCCATACCACCAGTCGCCTCCGCTCTCTCTCAATCAGCTGCAGGGAGAGAGTAACCTTAGTCAGATGGGACTAACCTTCGACGCAAACCCTCCACGTCTGTCTCACATGCCCGTGTCGAGTCCCAACGGTCAGGGCACAATGGGGGGTAACAGAGGAGGGCAGTGCGACTGGCTCTCCAGGATGCATCCGGGAGTGGGCCAGCAGGGCGGCTTCACTCAGTCACCTCAAATGTCTCACAATATGATGGGTGCAATGCATGGCGTCAACACCGCTACGCTGTCTCAAATCATGGGGTATCAGGGTTTGCAGAACGGCCACCTGGGCTCGTCCGTACACGCCATGCACACGGCTCAACTGCGGCAACTTCAACATCAAAACTCCAGCTCTGCCACCACGATTCAACCGCCGGGCCAGAACTTCCCCGGCCTGGAGTTGACTAGTCCCGATGTGCCAAACAATGCCCAAGGTCGCTCCATGACCATCCATACGGTCATGCCCCAAGAGACGCAGATTCTGGGCACGCAGTTTCTCACGCCTCCCTCTCAGCACAGCTACTCTGGCCCAATGGACAACACGCCGAATCACCAGCTCCAGGTGCCGGACCACCCATTCCTCACCCCGTCCCCTGGTTCTCCTGACCAGTGGTCTAGCTGCTCTCCACATTCCAACATGTCCGACTGGTCCGAGGGCATTTCCAGCCCGCCCACAAGTATCCATTCACAGATGAATTTGATACCAGAACAATTCAAATAGACTGAAGTTTATATAGTTTCACAATTTGGACTAATTTTGCCTTGTTATTTTTATGGTTATGAGAAGAACAGTTTTAGTATTTGTATTTATTTATGTGGTTTTGGGATCTGGATTATAAAGATTGTTTTATATTTATGCTTTTTATATTTTTTCTGACTTATTTGACAAGAGCAGATGTCTATACCAGACAAAAAGCCTAATAGATGTGTACACACTATTTATTTGACCTGAGTGTGTTCCAGTCTTCACGTGTATTTTATTTTTTGTAAAAAGTTTTTTTCTTTTTTTTTAACTTTTTAAATAATTATTTTAAATTACAGTATTAATTTTATTTTGAACTCATCTGTTACAGAGAGGGAGCCGTTAATGAACTGCGTTTCAAGTCTTATCACTGTTGGCAGAAGTGTATGAAGTACACGTTGCATAAAACTATTTCTACTGAAGCTTTGGGGCCTTTTCATAGAGCACATTGAACTCTACTTTTACAAGAGCTAAAGTACGACTGAAGTGTGTGTAATTTTGGTTTAACTTTTTACATTGACCTGAGGCACATTGTTCTGGTGTTTGCCACAGACTAAAATTGTGCCAGTTTTGTTTTTCATGAGAAAGGCAATGTTATTTGTAAAATTTAATGTAAAATGTCTTCAAGGTGAAGAATGTTTGAGAACAATAGGGACCTCTTTTGTCTTTAAGGATTGTCTGCACTTTGTAATGAGTGTATTTTAAGATGTATAAATGTCACGTTTTATAAACTATTTCAGAGCTAAGATTTTACAAAAAAGATGTAATTCAAAATCAATATCCATGCAAAGTTGTAGTTTGCAAAAAGTATTTCCTGCTGAGATGTCTTGTAAAATGTCTTCACAAAGTTGACTTAATAAAGTCTTTTTAACTTATGTTTTGACCTCAATTGTTGCTGAATTATACATAAAATAATGGATTCATTTTGGGTGTTTTTTATCCAATTATATAGAAAAAAGTCAGTATTAATTTCTGATGTAAAAACCTTAAATCTTTAGAGTAAATACTTTGTAATTTGCAGTAATCAATCACAATCATCCTCAAAGTGTGATGACCAAAACCATCCCCACAACAGTTTAGTTACAGCATCAAGAAAATAGAGTAATCCAGCGACCAGCCGATCAGCTCAATATGCAAAAGACATGTGTTTGACAAGATAAAGACGGCATGATTTGTTCACAAAATGTTACTCAAAGGTACTGTCAAGATTTTAGGCACACGCTGCTTACAGTTACACAACTTTGATTCTCTGTTAACATTTCTCATTTTCTGGCTTATTGTTCAGTGCTTCCAACGATAAACCTGGATGAGAGGGAACTAAACTAAACTTAACTAACTTCCTTCCAAAACCATGCCTGAAGCAGCCAAAAGACATGGCCAAGACCAAGACCTTTGAGAACAGTTGCGAGCGCACGTCCTAATATGTTGTTGACATGTTGGCATGTGCTGCAACCATAGTATGTGGATGGGCAATGCTAACCTGCTGGCTCGATGAAGCCCATTTGGGAAGTGCTTATAGACAAAAAAGTAAACTCCTCTAGATTAGCCCCCATTTTCGGCTTTAAAAAACTCTTTGATCCTGAAGGTTTTATTTTAAAATCTGTATAAAACCAGATATGAGCATGGATCTATTATGAACCACGTAAGGATTGACCAATCCGATGTCTTCATTCACAACTCTGGCTTGCTTTAGTAACCACGTAAGCAACATGACATTATTCTAGGTCCATGGTCTGCCCTTGTTCTGGCACAAAGCTAGCCCTGTCAGAACACATGCCCATATAAGGAGATTGGCTCCAGCTATCTTTAAATCCGGCTTCTACCGCATTCGTCAATCTCTATGGGTGACGTCAGCACTTAGTTAGTCCACTCCTAATATACGGTCTATGGATCTTCTGCTGCTGCCCTCGAGTGATGTAGATTGAAATCTGAAATATTCTAAAATCCTACATAAAGCAACGTAAACGAGGTTCTCAGTCGGAAGATACCTGCATGTAAAAGCCAGATCCAATTAGACCTCTGAAGCTAAGTAGGGCAGGGCCTGGTTAGTTCTGCAATGGGAGACTCTGAGTACACCAGGTGCCACTGTTGGGAAGTTGTGGTTGTAAGGTGCCAAACTGATGTTGTGTCCTTAGGCAATACATTTCACCAACACAGAATGAGTTTGAGTCTTGTGTGTGAATGGATGGTTGGTGGTGGTCGAAGGGGCTGATGGCACATACTGGCTACCTTGCTTCTGTCGGTGTGCCCCAGGGCAGCTGTGACTACTGTAGTAGTTTATCAACACCGTGTTTATGGTGAATAATTAATGACATGTGAAATGTCTTTGTGTCCAATAAGCGCTATATACAGTATGTATTGGTCCATAGGGTGGAGTTGACCGATGTTCATAAGTGTTTATAACTTTTTTGTTCGGCTTCACCATACTATACATCCACTGGACTTCATCCCTATCGCTGTCAGACTGTACAATAAGTCACTTTAAGTCACTAATGACCTGCACTAGGAATGAAAAACCAGCACTGCTATAGCTACTTTTTATTATACATAATATATTGCACAGACTTTATTTTTATCCTTTAACACATTTGCACAATCTGAGTGATCCTATCCATGCCAAATGTGACATGTACATTTCTTCATTGTGAGATCAATAAAGTTCATCTTATCTTATCTCCAACCAAACACTGTAATCAATTGAATGGGAGCAGCGCCCTCTGGTGGACATGCAGTGTAGTACAGCCGCACAGATCAGACGTCGTCATAGTGACAGGCTCCCTCTCTCTCTTTCTGGAAAAGGGCTTTCACGATGACACTAGGCCACCTCCTCATCCTCACGTCCAGCCACTTTTCTGTCGCTTCATTTTTCCTCGAAGGCAGAAGTTTGGCCTCATGCCACTAGACGGGGCGGAGTGGGCGTGTGTCTGCCGGATTAAGCACCGTGAGCGCCCGCGTTATCCTTATCCTGGGAGGCCGAAGATTTGCGCTGGTGGCCCGGGGAGGAGTCAGCCACTGCACCCCCTGAGCGTGTGCTGAAGCTGCCATGAACAATGCTAGATATTTGACCAAACCACTGCTAAAATCTGCAATATATATCACATTGGAGGTGAGGAGACAACGCAAATATTATTAACATGGTATACCAGCAACGACAGCCAATTATAGTTCATTAGGCCATTGCATGTGTTTGTGCATTTAAGAAAGCTATATGTTTTCTGACAATATTTTCTCAAAGCGTGATTATTGACGTGTTTTAGGCTAATTATGAAAAACAAAGTCCATCATGAAGCGTCACCAAATTCTCGCGTTGTCACGTCAGGCCTGTGTTGTTTGTGCTGATGTGAATGTATTGAGTGAATGTGTGTCTCTGCTCCTCCCTTGTCTTTCAGGATGGATGTAGCCGCTGACACTGGAGGGATGGAGGAGACCTGCGAGACGTACGACTCTGCAAGAGCCAAAGTAGCTGCGAATCTGCACTGGTTGTTTGTCAAGGCCTTTGGTCCAGGTATGTTACGACGGATGTCTGCTGACTTTGGCTTTTAGGGATCAAATGTCTTCTTTGTTTACTTCAGGGCAGTGGTAAAATGTAGCTCTCAACAGTTATCAGCTTTTAGTATAAGTGATGATTGGTTCTTAACATAACCACGCCTCAAATGTGTTGTTATTATTATTATTATTATTGTTGTTGTTGTTGTTGTTGGAGAAGGTGTGGATAGGAAAGTCTGGGGGTCTCTGCTTATAGTGCTGCCCCTACGATCTGGCAATGGACGAAACAGAAGAAAATGGATGATTATTATCATTATTATTATCTATACAACAAGTACTCGCAATGGAAGAGTAGTCTCTGCTTTGTTGAGACAAATGGATCCCAAGGAAATATAAATAAATAAATACTAATTTAAAATATTCCCTGCAAGACCCTTAGTACAGTTTGATTCACAAAAAACCTGCTCACGTTTTGGCAATTAAAGTTTACCTTTACATTGATGATAATATTTATTGTATTGATAATTCTATGTCATTTGTGTGATTGATAAATATACTTATATCCAAAGACACAGGCCCACGTCTAAATGTATTTATCAAAATCTATTTTTTCGTTATCTAAACGAAACAACAGGACCTACAGCAGGACGACAACAGGCTGTAAACTTTGTCTTTCTTTACAATGATTAGGATTAAGCTGCTGCAAACTGAGCCTTTATTGCATGGTATCTGTGTGAAGTTCAATAGTAGAGCGGCTACAGTCTCAGACACATAACCCAGAACCACAGCCCGGTGAGCCTGTCACATTAACACCAATGGTTTCCTTTGCAGGTCACTAAGCTCAGCGGCTCTCATGATGGAAATGAAAATGATTGCTCCACAAAGGCATGAGCCAAGACTTTAGTCTTTAAGAGTATAAGTCTATGTCATAAAATTGAAAATAAAAAACAAAGTTCATTAATAAAAATGTTGGCTGTGTTCTGTAAGTCAGAAAAGTGCTGAGCCACAGAAATATTGTTCTTTAATAGCACAGTTAGTTTTACACTCAGTTTATTATGATGATTCAATTTATATAAATAGCTTTAATCTGTGTCATGGTATTTGGTTTAAAGTACCACTGTTCTGTAACAACAACAGTTTCCATTTGTGTGTTGTCCCTGGTTTAACACGTTTGCTGCCTGTAAATAGAGGGTATTAGTTAATGGATAGTAAAGTGTCTGCCTCCAGATTAACTCTCCCTGACTTTAAGCTGTGGCTGTTTGCCTGCATGGTTTCTTAGACGCTCTAATACGGTAACAAGGACAGTGGAAACAAAGCAACTTATGTTACATAACAGAGGTGTTGATTTACAAATGTATTCTTTTATCTTCTGTGTCTGTAGATGACATTCCTGCAGATCTGCAAGACCCATTTTACACCGATCAATACGAGCAGGAGCACATTAAGCCTCCTGTGATCCACGTGCTACTGTCAGCGGAGCTGTACTGCAGAGTGGCTGACGTCCCGCATCATGAACAACACTCGTCCCTTCAACACCATCAGTCTGTCCTCCAGCTGCTGTCCAGGAAAGGCGTCTACGTCCTGGAGGACAACGAGACTCTCGTCTCTGAACTGGACCTGTCTTCTGCTCCCATTAAAATGGTGCGTTAACAGATCAAAGAAGACAATCATTCACTTCTGTTGTTTACATAATGTTTGTGTTTTAGAGCTGCCACATCCAGCTCATCGATGCCCTCATCACAGCTTACACCGAGCAAATGATAAGCATCGAAAAGGTGATGTCATCGGTCACCTGCTTTGTGGAACCCAGTGACTCTCTGTTGTCGCCTTTGGATTTGGAAGACGCTATGGTTTTATGGATCAACAAGGTTAAACATCCTCACTGCTATATGTCCGTTTGCAAATGGAATAACTATAACAACATTATAACTTACTCCAGGTGGTCATGAAACTCAGGGGGTCGACACAAAAGGAGCCAAAACTTAAGCATTTACTGGATTCACCGTGTAATCAGAAGGTAAAGATGATGATATGATTGTGACGAACTCAGTGATAATGTTCCCGTGTGAGATTCTCTGGGAGATACTAACTCCTTATTTAAGCTCAAACTTAATCCTCGTGTCCTGTTTACGAACCCCTGACCTGTGTGTTCTTCCCCTATCTCTCCACAAACTGTTTTACCCCTAGTGTCCTTCCAAATGGTATTGGAAACTCTTACCTGTAAGTTTTCAAAATTGTATTGTAATTTATAAATAGATTTAGGGCCATTTGTTTCTGTTAAAGCTGTTCTTGCTGTTCATGTTATTTTTTATTAACTACATTCCTTCCTTATTGTGCTGTATTTGCATGAGTGCGATTTTACAGTGGATTCTTTTCAGTCATTGAATGCAATTATGAGTTTAACAAACTTCTCTCCATTGGTTTATTATCTGGCCACTCCCACTTCTTGAGTTGATTAAAACGATGATGTCATTGATAGATGTTTTGTTTGTAGGTTCGTTATCGTAAAGATCAACTGTCTGGACGTTCTCAGCAACACTTCCCTGTCTTAGACAACTTGTCCAGTTTTGTCAGTATTGTGACGTCGCTGCTGGTCGTCGTTCACTTCTATTGCCCCGAGCTGATCAGACTCGAAGGTGAATACACATGAAGAATACAGTGTTGGTGGATTGTTGACTGATGACTGTTTGCAGACATCTGCCTCAGGGAGGTTCCCTCCACTGCTGAAAGTTTGTCAAATATTCAACTCTTGATGGAATTCTCCAATGAATTTCTGAACAAATGTTTCTACCTCAGCCCTGAGGACATTCTGTGTTCTGCTGCAGTGTTGAAGGTGATCCAGACTTTACACAGAGTGTATTTACTGCTACTGTCACTCTGTCTCACACACCTTTCTCATCGATAGATTAACATAATGCAGATTATTGCTGAAATGTTTTGGATTTTTGAAGTTGTGAAGCCTGACTTTGTGCAACCTCGTCAGGACATTGTCAAGAACAAAGACGGTATAGTTATTATTATTTTTTTATATCCTATTCATGTGTTTACCTGTATCTATCTTTTATTATCATTTTGTGACTATGTTTGTCTATAGTAAGAAAAACACAAAGCTCAAATTCACTGAAGCAAAGATTTTGGTCTTCAAACTCCATGGCAAAGTCCACTGGTCCTCAAAGATGGTATGTAATGCTCTTAAATAACATCACACCAGGAAGATAAATAATACAATAACTCTCTCCCACAGTTTGAAAGGCTCCAACTCAGCCGTTCTTCCACTGAGTCAGAAAGAGCACCGACTGATCGAGGATCACACTCTGGGTATGTCATGTTTGTCATGGAGAAAAGTGTCTTCATTTGACTTGTTGGACTTGTTTTGTTCAGGACAGAGACACAGGTCCAGCTCACTCGGACAGAGTTCTACAGACTTTGCTTGGCCGAAGAAAAGGCAAAGGTAGGTACAGAGCTCTGCCGATACTATTCCCATTCCTCAAAGATATGTTGCAAAATCGTCCTTTTTGTGTATTCTTTTGTTTTTACCAGGCCATTATCGCAGACAGTGCCTTACGCTCTACACTTCCCAATGAAGGAGAACGCTGATACGTTTAGCCTGGACCGCTCAATGAGTAAAGACAGTTTAGCAACCAACTACATGAGCACAACCCCAATCGACGTGGCGGGTCCAGGACATCCACGCAGACTGAGCGGTCAGAACCTGGCAAACTACATCCGCTATGAAGACGAGGAGGAGGAGATTGAGGAGGAGGAGCTGGTTTCCATCATCAATCCAACAACACTGTCTCGCCACCACTATCGGAGCGGAACTGAGCAGCAGGACTCTCTCTCGCTGTCTCACTCCCTGCATCCTTTCAGACCAATGAACAAGCACAGTTCTTTTGGTTTGGATCGATGTCTTGCTTCCACAGAGCCGTCGATGGAAAAATACTATCTAGAGCCTTTAATGCCTGCAATTCCAAAGCCAGCCAAAGAGAAAAGTGTGCAAGAGAATAAGAGGGAGGAGTGTGGTGAGTCGAAAGGAGCAGTGAGAAAGACATTTGCTAGCGGTGCTTCCTGTGGGGCGACTGCTGGTTTTTCGCTGAGATCGGCCTCACATGGCTCCACGGACGCTAACAGTCGCAGTAAAACAAAACAATCGGACAAATTGTTTCTTCACTTAAAAGCTGACAGACCTCTGACTTCTCTGGAGGCCGATAAAGACTCTGATGATGAATACTTCACCGAGGAGGACGAGCTGAATGAGCCCGAATCTCAAAGCTGTTACAGAAAAGAGTATCGTCACTTTGGAGAAGGGGAATCCATGAAACTGGGAGAGGACCAACAAGACTGTGAGTGGGACGACAAAGAAGATCACAGTGGGAGCTCCAGTCCGTGTCTCAGCTCTGCTTCATGGTCGAGCAGCGGGGCCGGAGTCAAAATGACGAGCTTCATGGAAAAGAAGCTGTTGAAACTTGGACATTATGGTGATCTTTCCAGTTCTAGCAGCACACCGCGGACCACACCAGACGATTCAGAAGCTGCTCTGTATCTACCCTGGCAGATGAAAAAGAGTGGCAGCTCCTATTCACTTGGTAAAGAGACAAGTTCTGGGTTAAGAAACAAAGTGAATGTCCCTTTAACCCCCGGTTCTATAATACCACCAGAACTCCTAGAGCTCCACATGCAGCTGGAGGAAAGGAGACACACCATCGAGAGTCAGAAAAAGAAGATGGAGACTCACTCAGCACAACAACGACTCAAGTTAGGAAAAGCAGCATTTTTAAACATTGTCAAGAAGGAACCTGGGAGAAGTGACACCCTCCCATTGCCCATGAAACAGGGATCCTCTGAGCGAGGAGCTTCCTCTCTAAGAGGACCGAAAGCACAGAACTGTTTGGATGATTCTTGTCTAGAGGTTTTGAAAATGAAAGAAAAATTAAATGAATGTGCACAGATCATAAAAACCACTGAGGTGTCCCAGGACTCAGGGCACTGCTCCCGCTCCATTGAAGTTCTGAATGAAGCTATTGCTTCAATACAGCAGCAGATAAAGCAACTGTCTCTACAACAAGATATACTGATCAAACACCGCTCTGTGCTTCCCCATGACCCTCAGTCAGATGTAAACACAACTCGAAACGCCACCACAAAAGAAAATCCTCCCAGCGCCACCCCACAGAAAGACCCTCACTCCACTGAGTCCAAAGCTTTTGTTGTAAACTTTACGAATGACGATGACCGTAGCTTCGGCTCTTTGAGATGTCCACCTAAACTCAGCTCCAGTCAGCGGAAAGCCTCCTTTCAAAAACAGATGAAAAACACTGGAACAGAGAAAAGAGAAGCCGTTGTGTCCAAAATGGAGCCAAACGTTAGAAATTCCTTCAGCATTTGTGATGATGCCCCAAAACAACGAGACACATTTGAATCTACACTACAGACATCAGCCAACTCCAACAACTCTGCCGCCCGCGAAGACAGGAACAGACCAGACATCCAGAGTCTTAGCTCAGAGGAAGACGAGGCTGTCGCGGACAACAGGACAAAGACACATCTCATTGAAGTAGATCTGTCAGAGATCAGGGAACAGACAGATCAGAACTCTGCAGATGGAGAAACTGAACAGAAGAATGCCCTGGGATTCTTTTTTAAGGTAAAGCAAACACATATGACATTACATACAAGCAAAATACTGAATTAACACTTTGACAATTTATTATAAGGATGAAGAGAGAACAGATGAGATGGCAAAGCGCCGGGCTGCCTTTCTCATCAAACAGCAGCGTAAAGCAGAGGAGGCAAAACTTCGCAAACTACAGCAAGAAGCAGAGAGCGAGCTGAAGCGAGACGAAGCCAGGTGGAGCTCACGTCACATTTACACTCTCAGATATTGGTCCGAAGTTTGTATTTGACCCAGTTTGTGTCGAATTTCATTCCATAGACGCAAAGCAGAAGAGGATCGCATTCGTAAAGAAGAAGAAAAGGCCAGGCGTGAGTTCATAAAGCAGGAATATCTGAGGAGGAAGCAGCAGATGCTCATGGAGGAACAAGGCCTGGTCAAGTCTTTGCCCAGAATAAGGCCCCAAAAGAACAGACACAGGTCTCTTCGTAAAGGATCTACCAGCCTCTGCAAACAAGTCACCACATGTATGTTTAGATCGTATATAATGACTTTGATTTTTATGTTGTTACCAAGCTGAACACAATTTTTCTGACCGTATCATCTAGCCGACCGAAGTGGGAGTCACCATGGATCATCGCAATCATTGGTCACAGAGGCTGACAGTGTATTGTCTATGGATTCTCAGCGGTAAGACGGTTTTACTGTGAAAAATATTATATCTGAGGTAATAAATGCTTGAATTGAGTGTTTTTTTTTTCCATATTTGAGCACATTCTGACTGTCTTAAAAGAATATTCTCCAATGGGACAAAGCCATTTAGCCTATATTTCAACAACTGCGGCTTTATTTTCTCATTCCAAGGGAGACATTTCTTGTGTCTTTTTGAAATAAGATCATTTTTTGCTTAGTCCCATTGGCAAATCTTGTTTTAAGGCTCAGTCAGAATGTGCTAAAAAAAAATCGATTTAACCAAATTTGAGAAATTTTTGAAGTATTTATTGTCTCTCTTTGCTGTGTTCAAATATTGTGCTTTGCCTTTAATTACAGCATATTTATTAATTGTATTTTAAATCTCCAGCGCTGACTCGGTGTGTTCAGGGGACTCTTTCCCAGTTGTGAGCCGGGCATCGAGCAGAAACATGGAGAGAGACTGGGAAATGGGCTCTATCGCCTCTTCAGTCACTTCAACAGAGTACACGGGTAAGCTCCATGTTTGGCTGATGAGAGAAAAAGGTTTCGATGACACTGCAGTGATTTTTTTTCTTTTACAAAACAGGTCCAAAGTTGTTCAAAGAGCCAAGTTCAAAGTCAAACAAGCCAATTATCATTAATGCCATCGCTCACTGCTGCTTAGCTGGGAAGGTCAATGAAACCCAGAAGAACGTCATTCTAGAGGTCAGTGCAATGTTCTATATGTGGAGATTATATTGTCCTACACTGCAAAAAGTTATGAAAAATAAGTTAATAACGGCTCAAATCTCGCCAAATGTATCTTAAATGGAGCAAATTCTGACTGCCTTAAAACAAGATTTGGGACAAGCAAAAAAATCTTGTTTTAAAAAGATGTCTCCTCAGAATGACTAAATGGGTTTGTCCTAAATCTCATTTTAACAGTCAAAATGAACTCAGATGAAGATAAAAACAACTCAATTTAGGTGATTATTTCTTCATTTTTTATCACTTTTTGCAGTGTACTTTAGTTGTCTGCCCCAATTAGTGTTTTCCTCAGGGTTAGTCCTCAGTCTTGATCTTTCTCAAGTGTGTGCGTGTGTAGTGTGCTCGATGGTGAATGTATACATTTTATTATTTCAATTTTTCACGGTTAAATTAAAAATAAAACTTATAATATTGAATTGTACTGTATCTGCCTTCTTAGTAAATCCTCCCTGTGTGCCTTTCTGTTAATTGTATTTCCTGAGAGATCTTGTATTAGTGCCACAGTGGGGAATTTTCAATGTTGCTGCGCACAAACAGGACAGTAGTAAGAGCACAGGGAGAACACGAAATATACAATATAAGTAGCTGCTATGTTTCTTAGCTAGCTGTCAATGCTTCAATATCAATCTTTCAAATTATCTCTGCATATAAAGTGCATATATAATTTTCTCTTTTTGTGTTGCAGTAGTGACCTTTCTCTTTCAATCAGACTGAATTTCTATATTTCTTCTATTAAATTTGCACCCTGTAGGAGCTGGACAAGTGTGAATCCAACCACTTGATCATCCTGTTCCGAGACGGCGGGTGCCAGTTCCGAGCCATTTACGGTTATTCCCCGGAAACGGAAGAGATCCTCAAACTGACAGGCACCGGGCCTCGCAGCATCAGCCACAAGATGATCGAGAAACTCTACAAGTACAGCTCGGACAGGAAACAGTTCAGCATCATTCCCGCCAAGTCTGTGTCGGCCAGCGTGGACGCTCTGACCATCCACAACCAGTTGTGGCACGCCAAGAGACCAGGAAGTGCACGCAGGAAGTAAAGGGACCAGGAAGTGAAGAGACCAGGAAGGGAAGAGACAAGGAAGTGATAAGAGCAGGAAGTGCACACAGGAAGTGAAGAGAGCAGGAAGTGAAGAGGACAGGAAGTGAATAGAACAGGAAGTACAGAGACCAGAACGTTCACGCAGGAAGTGACAAAACCAGGAAGTGAAGAGACCAGGAAGTGCCCACAGGAAGTAAAGGGCCCAGGAAATAAACAAACCAGGGAGTAAAGATGAATACTTCTGCATCTAGTCCAAGAGACCTGGAAGTGCACGCAGGAAGTAAAGACACTAGGAAGTAAAGGGACCAGGAAGTGCACGCTGGAAGTGAAGAGAACAGAAAAAAACTTACCAGGGAGTAAAGAGACTGATTAATACTTCTGCATCTAGTCCAGCGGTTTTTATAAACTGGGTCCAGAAAGGGCCACTGTGGCTGCCAGATTTCCCTTCCAACCAGAGCAGGAGCACACCAGGCTCCACCCATTTTCCCCAGGTCTCCAGGTTCAGAGTCTGGTCTAGTCTCTCCTACGTGCACCCCAGAAAGCCAAACTCAGCTCCTGTGCTGTGTATGCAAAGGGAAAGAATCTTTGAATGTGAATGGCTAGCTTGCACAACAAAGTAGCCTGACTCTGAAGTATAAATCAAGGTGGACAAGGGAGTGTTTGCAGAAGTGAAGAGACCAGGAAGTGAATAAGAAACAGGAAATGAAAAGACCAGGAAGTGCTGGAAGTAAAGGCTGATTTATTCTTCTGCGTCTAGTTGGCCCTTTTCTCCCTTGTGAGATCCATAAAGTAACTTATCTTATCTTAGTCTCTCCTAGGTGCGGGCCAGAAAGCCAAAAATCAGCTCCTGTGCTGTGTATGCAAAGGGAAATGGACCTTGAATGGCTGCACAAGAGACACAAAAGTATAAACCAGCCTTAAAATGTGGACCAGGAAGTGAGTGTAGACTAGGATCTCAGAAGTATTGGGCTGGACCCGATCGTGTCAATGAAGCCGTCTCGCATCAAATGACGACAGAAAGACATGAAAAAAGGATATCAACTTTTGTATTTATACTTGAATGTACGGAATCATGGTTACGTAAGGTGTTGTTGACGCGCTCGATGACTGAACGCTAGTATTATACATGTCCGCTACCGGAACTACACATTCTAACGCCGAGACGCTGTGAACACTGCCGTAAAGTGTTCACACATTTGGGGATAAACAGTTGCACTTTTATGTTATTTATTTTGTACAAACAAATTGGATTTTTTGTTTTTATTTTAAGCTTACAAGTATTTATTCAATGTTTTTATGTGAGTCCATTGTTGAGTAATTTATATGAAAAATAAAAAGGTAAAACCCACTTTTTCTAATGACAGTTATAATGCATTGGTTTTATATAGTGCTTCTTTCATACATATAAATCCATACAGGGATACATACAGATAATACATACAGCGATAAACTACTACTCGAGCCACAGCTGCCCTGAGGCATACCAACACCACCAAACATTCAACACACATCAGACTCATTCTAACGTGGGTAAAGTGTCTTGCCTGAGGACACAATAGTTTGGCACTTTACAGCCGTAGCTGCCGCACCTGGTGTTCCCAAAAGTCTCCCATCACAGTATTAACCAGGCCCTGCCCTATTTAGCTTCAGATGTCTGACCAGATCTAGCTTTCACATACAAGTAGCAGCTAATACTTTATAATTGTGAGCAAGTGATTGTTTATTAGGGCTTTGTTCAGGGTTTCAAGGTCTAACAGTTGTATAAAAACATTACAATTAGCATTTATAGAATGTAAAACAGACAATATGAAATGTTTATATCAGACTAATATAACGACAACACAGAATGAGAATCGGTCCAGTTCAACACAACTTATTTCTAAGCAAAAAACATTATGTACAAAATCTTATCTACAAAAATGAAAGTGCAATTGCATTGAATATTTCATAAATAGTCATTAAAACAAGAAACATGACAAAATCTCTGCAGTTTGAGGTGTAACTGTTGTGCCTTTAATAAGTGGCACGGTCCATTTAAAAACTTTGGACTATTCAAAAGAAAAATCTCAAGCTTTTTTCATCGAACACAAGTCACTGTTTCTAAAGGCCTACGATTGTCACAGAGTAGAATACGACCTGCACTGGAGGGCTGTGTCTGCTGTACAAACCACTGAAGCTTATTGAGGTTCAGGAGGAGCCGGGTGTGGTCAGGGCTGGGTGTTCTCAGAGCTGGGTGTTCAGAGCTGGGTGTGTTCAGAGCTGGGTGTTCAGAGCTGGGTGTTCAGAGCTGGGTGTGTTCAGAGCTGGGTGTTCAGAGCTGGGTATTCAGAGCTGGGTGTGTTCAGAGCTGGGTGTTCAGAGCTGGGTGTGTTCAGAGCTGGGTATTCAGAGCTGGGTGTGTTCAGAGCTGGGTATTCAGAGCTGGGTGTGTTCAGAGCTGGGTATTCAGAGCTGGGTGTGTTCAGAGCTGGGTGTGTTCAGAGCTGGGTATTCAGAGCTGGGTGTGTTCAGAGCTGGGTATTCAGAGCTGGGTGTGTTCAGAGCTGGGTGTGTTCAGAGCTGGGTGTGTTCAGAGCTGGGTGTGTTCAGAGCTGGGTGTTCAGAGCTGGGTGTGTTCAGAGCTGGGTGTTCAGAGCTGGGTGTTCAGAGCTGGGTGTGTTCAGAGCTGGGTGTTCAGAGCTGGGTGTTCAGAGCTGGGTGTGTTCAGAGCTGGGTGTGTTCAGAGCTGGGTGTTCAGAGCTGGGTATTCAGAGCTGGGTGTGTTCAGAGCTGGGTGTTCAGAGCTGGGTATTCAGAGCTGGGTGTGTTCAGAGCTGGGTATTCAGAGCTGGGTGTGTTCAGAGCTGGGTGTGTTCAGAGCTGGGTGTTCAGAGCTGGGTGTGTTCAGAGCTGGGTATTCAGAGCTGGGTGTGTTCAGAGCTGGGTATTCAGAGCTGGGTGTGTTCAGAGCTGGGTATTCAGAGCTGGGTGTGTTCAGAGCTGGGTGTGTTCAGAGCTGGGTATTCAGAGCTGGGTGTGTTCAGAGCTGGGTATTCAGAGCTGGGTGTGTTCAGAGCTGGGTGTGTTCAGAGCTGGGTGTGTTCAGAGCTGGGTGTGTTCAGAGCTGGGTGTTCAGAGCTGGGTGTGTTCAGAGCTGGGTGTTCAGAGCTGGGTGTTCAGAGCTGGGTGTGTTCAGAGCTGGGTGTTCAGAGCTGGGTGTTCAGAGCTGGGTGTTCAGTGTTCAGAGCTGGGTGTTCAGAGCTGGGTATTCAGAGCTGGGTGTGTTCAGAGCTGGGTGTTCAGAGCTGGGTGTTCAGAGCTGGGTGTGTTCAGAGCTGGGTGTTCAGAGCTGGGTATTCAGAGCTGGGTGTGTTCAGAGCTGGGTGTTCAGAGCTGGGTATTCAGAGCTGGGTGTGTTCAGAGCTGGGTATTCAGAGCTGGGGTGTGTTCAGAGCTGGGTGTGTTCAGAGCTGGGTGTGTTCAGAGCTGGGTGTTCAGAGCTGGGTGTGTTCAGAGCTGGGTGTTCAGAGCTGGGTGTTCAGAGCTGGGTGTGTTCAGAGCTGGGTGTTCAGAGCTGGGTATTCAGAGCTGGGTGTGTTCAGAGCTGGGTATTCAGAGCTGGGTGTGTTCAGAGCTGGGTATTCAGAGCTGGGTGTGTTCAGAGCTGGGTGTGTTCAGAGCTGGGTGTGTTCAGAGCTGGGTGTGTTCAGAGCTGGGTGTTCAGAGCTGGGTGTGTTCAGAGCTGGGTGTTCAGAGCTGGGTGTGTTCAGAGCTGGGTGTGTTCAGAGCTGGGTGTTCAGAGCCAGGTGTTCTCAGGGTTGGGTGTTCAAGCTTGGGTGTTCAGAGCTGGTTATTCAGAGCTGGGTGTTCAGAGCTGGTTATTCAGAGCTGGGTGTTCTCAGGGCTGGGTGTTCAGAGTTGGGTGTTCAGGGCTGGGTGTTCAAGGCTGGGTGTTCAGGGCTGGGTGTTCAGAGCTGGTTATTCAGAGCTGGGTGTTCAGAGCTGGGTGTTCTCAGGGCTGGGTGTTCAGAACTGGGTGTTCAGGGCTGGGTGAACTCCTTGTGGTCGTAGCTGAACTCCCGACGCTCCTTGAGGCTGCTGCTGTGAAGGGGAGGCTCCTCGGGCACATGGGCCAAAGGGTCAGAGCGAATCAAGTAACTGGACAAAAACCAGACAAGTTTAGACCAGAACATTCATAACAACATGTTCACAATAAAAGGTACCGTGAATCTACTCTGCAAAAAATGATAATATTTGAGGTAATAATTGCTTGAATGAAGTGGTTTTTCATCTTGATTTGAGTTCATTCTGACTGTCGGGACAAAGCCATTTAGCCTAGTTTTTTCTCACTCCAAGGGAGACATTTCTTGTTCACTGCAAAAAATGATCAAATATGAGATAATAATTACTTGAAATGAGTTGTTTTTATCTTAATTTAAGTTCATTCTGACTGTGTTAAAATAAGATTTTCCAATGAGACAAGCAATTTTGACTTGATTCAAGAACTATTGCTTAATTTTCTCATTCTAAGAGAGAATTGGTTGTATCTTTTTAAAACAAGATCATTTTTATTTTTCCACTGGCAAATCTTGTTTTAAGGCAGTCAAAATGTTCTCAAATTTAGATAAATTTTTGACAAATTTGAGCATTTTTTGTCTTTAATTCCATCATTTTTTGCAGTGTATCTTTTCGAAACAAGATAATTTTTCTTTGTCCCGGTGGCAAATCTTGTTTTAACCCTTTAAGCGCCAAATATTTTTTTCTCAAACGCTTGATTTTGACTTTCTATGACTGTAACGAAACTACGATCAGAGACAGGGGCTTTCTGAAAATTAGACATATATCAAGGATTGCCCAAAGATTGTGTAGGGATTAAATTGACCCATCTAATTTGCATATCATTACATCATATGGCAGTGGCAATCATGGATTTTAGAATTTTCATGAAATGTTTGTATTGTTTTTTAACTCACAAAGTTAGATATTTCTCACAGGGAAATACTGAAAAAGTGCAAATCATTACTGCCCTACAGTGAGCCGCCCGCCCAGACTCTGTTCCACACAATCTGCTGTTTTAAATTGTACCTTATCTTGTCGACTTAAGTCAATCGTGGCGCCTAGAGGGTAAAGGCAGTCAAAATGTGCAAAAATTAAGATATATTTTGCCACATTTTAGCAATTTTTTCCTTATTTTTCATGACTTTTTGCAGTGTTTTCATTCACAGTTAAATGTCTTGTGATTCTATTATATTTAGAATGTAGAAAACATGCTTACACAACGTCATTTATCTCCAGTCTTGTGTCCGGAGAAGGGTTTATTAAAACATATGACACGGTGTTCTGCTGCTCATTCTGCTCATCTGTAATGGAATCGTTAGGACAAGCCCAAATCTAAGTTCAATTCAAAGCGGTTGGTGGCTTGAGGAGCTTACCCTGGAGGTATCCCAGATTAACTCTGTTCATGACATCGCTGGCCGTCAGGTTGGTTAGGTCTTCTGAGCAGGCAAGGCAAGTTTATTTGTTTAGCACAGTTCATACACAAGGCAGGTCAAAGTACTTAACAAATCAAAAGCATCAACATCCTGAATAATCGCCCTTCAACTAAACAGAACTTTTTTTAACCTGGATTTGAACATAGTCAGAGTAGAAGCCTGTCTCAAATTTTCAGGAAGACTGTTCCAGATTTTAGCCTAGATCTGAAAGACTGCCTCTTTATGTTTAGTTCTGACTCTGGGACCAGCAGGAGGCCAGTCCCTGTGCTCCTCAGAATCCGAGTTGATTAATATGGAACTATGTCCCAGATGTACTTTGGTACGAGGCCTTGGAGAAACTTCTATTCTAGTCTATTCTCCATCCATCCATTTTCTTCCCATTAATCCATTTCTGGGTCAAGGGGGGTGGCAGTCAGAGCTGCACCCAGTACACATAGCACCAGCCCCTCACTGATCCTCCTGCAGATGGTGAGTCCACAGGAGGACGGCTGCTCTGTCGGTGAGAACATAGCCTTGATATTTCAGCGGGGGCTTCAGGCAAAGTGGGGTTAAGTGTCTTGCCCAAGGACACAACGACAGCAGACATCAGTGGGAGTCGGTGGAGAAGGTCTCATGGTGGTCTCAAACCCACGACCTTCAGACTCAAAGGCCATTGCTCTACCAACTGAGCCACTGTCGCCCCAAAGTCTATTCTATTCTAGTCTATTCTCTGAGCCACAGGAGCCAGTGCAGAGACCTGAGAACTGGACTAATGTGATCATACTTCCTGGTTCTAGTCAGGACTCGAGATGAAACATGATCATTCTTAGTGAAAGGTAACATTTCCAAACCCTCACCATATCCAGAGGTGGGTAGGCCCAGGTGCTTCATGCGGTTGCGGACCAGCTCAGACAGCTCCTCCCGCTCTGATCTTCGGTAGAGATTGAGGCGCTGCTGTGCGATGCGCTGGGCCTGGTCTTTGGTAGAGTCGCGGTTCATGCTCTGCCACTTGCTGCTGCGTCTGCTCAGCCGCCGCGCCCACTGCATGCTCTTCTTCCTCCTCAGCGGGTGCTCGCCGTGGTCCACACTCCGGGGTTCAAAGCCTCGTTCTTTAGTTTCCTCACTGTCGTCTGCGTTCATTGACACTTGTGACTGTGGTTAGAAAAAAATATTCAGATTTTTTATTTGATTTAATTTGCCCAAACTTACAAACAGGAGTCAATTAATGTAATTTCCGGAATTTCCATACATACGTGAACAAACATTCAAATACATACATTTAACTACATTTCCTAACTCTTGTGGCAATATCCAGCAATAACAGAAACCAGATTAGAACGCCCCCAATACCCTCCCTACTTTTTATGAATCTTATGTAAATATTGATTTGTGTTGTTTCCGAATAGTGCAATTTGTCACTTGCTAAATGGTTCAAAATAAAGATTATTATAAAAAAATACAATCAAAAATAAAAATACATACATTTTAAGGAGTGGGACGAAGTCAAACCTATAAGCTTCTGCATATACACCTACACACTTATACAGACATATCCATACATGTACACATAGATTTACACATACATTCATACATACACATATACACACACAAACACACACAAACACATGTGCCACAGTAAATAAGTAAAGAAAAAAAACACATTGTTCTTCCTATTATTATTACCTCAGTTGTAGAGAAAATGTGTGATTCCGCTCGATAGATTCCAATGGGAATTTCAGCACTGGAAGAGCAGAGCTTCTGAAAGAGCCGGCCATAAGTCCCGATCCAAATATCCTCCTCTGTCACTTTCATCTGTGAACAAACCACAGCACATTGGTAACATCAGAGACACAAAGATACTACGCAAAACATATTTAACACTTTTTCTGTCCTCGGGTCAAATTGATCCACCACAGTGATTAGAAAATACACTAAATAATTTTAAGCTGAATTTTTATGATTTTTCCAAACTTGAGCTGCCCTGGATCTTTTCAACGCTTTAGACCCTAATTTAGAGTATTTTTCTTCTACTGTTAATCACCCTAGAAGGACACAAGGATCAAGGTTCAAGGTGACTTTATTTGCACCTGTGGGTAAATTATTTTCGCTTGGCATCTATACAACAGATATTTGTAAAATCACTTTTATAAATACTCAAATAACAATAAATACTAGTGCTGTCCAACGATTAAAATATTTAATCGCGATTAATCGCATGAATTTCATAGTTAACTCGCGATTAATCGCAAATTAGTCACCCATTTGCGTGCTGTGTGCAATTTCTTTTTTTATTGAAAACAATGTGTAGTGTTATATTACACACTAACATTTGATGCAAAATCATCAATAAATGGATGACAAAATAAATAATTGGTAACAAAAAGCCCCTTCAATGTGTGTGTGTGTGTGTGTGGAGTGTGTGTGTTTATGGGTGTGGGTGTGTGTGTGTGTGTGGTGGGTGTGTGTGTGTATGTGTGGGTATAGACCATAGACTGTATAGAAACATCATGGTGTCATTATGATGATGATAAACAATTTTTTTGTAAATTTGTTCATGTAAATACTCTATAGTGTTTCTCTGTTTACTTTCGGTATATCTATGACTGTATACTGTTTGCTTGTATTGCCTTTTTTATTAACCCCTCCCCCCCATCTCCCACTTCATGTCCCCCCCCCCCCCCCTCCTATGTGCCCTTCTGGGTTTCTTCTTTGGCCCCCTGTATCTCCAACTACATATTGTTTGTAATCTCTGTCTACAATGTATCTTAACTAGTCCTTTTCTTTGTGTCTATTTTTTTTCTGTATATGTGTTTGTCTGCAATAAAAAGTAAAAAAAAAAAAAAAAAAAAAAAAAAAATTGTTTTTTTTTTTTTTTTTTTTTTTTAATAATTATAAAAAAAATTAATGGCGATAAAAAAAATGACGCCGTTAATATTGATTTGCGTTAACGCGTTAATAACGCGATATTTTGGACAGCACTAATAAATACACAACAGATTAATAAAAAAGGAAAAAAATAATAATGATAACAATAAGGTAAAAGGTGAAAGTGGTCAAAAAGGTACAAAGTCAGGACTTAGAGTAATATTTACAGTCTATGGTAAAAACCCAGGATAAGAAAAGTGCAACCTGCCGCTGTGCAAACTAAAGCCTGTTCAATAATTAGGGATATACTAACATACCACAACCAAACGACAGCACATTAGTATGAGAGACCTGAGTCGGTACAAAGTTACTACACATAACATACACACAAAGTATAACATACTCACAGCACAAAGATATCCTGAACCAGGGGTGGTGTCTAATCCTAAAAGCAGCCGAGCGATCAGGATCATATAGTCTTTCACAAACGACTGAAACGAAAGAAAAACAGAGAAAAGGATTGACACAAGAGAATTATTGATTATTACTATAGTTTATATCGCTAAGTACAACACAAACTGCTAAATATATACTTCTAAAGTACAACATAAAACTCTGTAAATACATCAGGATGCTGCTAACTAAAGTGTATTCTCCAATACTGACTGATGCTTGAACCAAAATGTGTTATTATTCTTATTCTAAACAAAAAATCTGATTATTTTTGGTATAGTCTGCTGTAAGGGAACAGGGCCCAGGAGTGGAGTTTGCATGTTCTCCCCGTGTCTGCGTAGGTTTCCTCCAGGTGCTCCAGTTTCCCCCAGGTGCTCCGGTTTCCTCCAGGTGCTATGGGTTCCGCCAGGCGCTCCGGTTTCCTCCAGGTGCTCCGGTTTCCTCCAGGTGCTATGGGTTCCTCTAGGTGCTCCAGTTTCCTCCAGGTGCTATGGGTTCCTCCAGGTGCTCCGGTTTCCTACAGGTGCTATGGGTTCCTCCAGGTGCTCCAGTTTCCTCCAGGTGCTATGGGTTCCTCCAGGTGCTCCGGTTTCCTACAGGTGCTCCGGTTTCCCCCAGGTGCTCCGGTTTCCCCCAGGTGCTCCGGTTTCCTCTACCACTAAAAACATGCACACAATCCTCCAGCTCTGGTCCTGACCAAGCAGACGCTGTACTACGGCGACCACTGCCCCTGAAAGAGGCCCTAGCGCAGGTGTCTCCAAACTTTTACACACAGAGAGCTACTTTCCCGGGATAACAAAGACAGAGAGCTACTTTCCCGGGATAACAAAGACAGAGAGCTACTTTACCGGGACAGTAAAGGCAAAGAGCTACTCCTTTAAGCGACCCTGGGAATTTGTTTTGATATATTGGTGTGAACAAGTCTGCTTTTGGGTACAGTTAATATTTATCGTCGCATATTTGTTACAAGTGCAGTTACAGTAAAAATATGATAATGAATAATACAATCTGAAATATAAAGTACGTTATGTGATTTGTTGATTACTGAATCCTTGTCGAGCTACCTGCAAGCGGGTGGTGAGCTACTGGTGGCTCACTAGCTACAGGTTGGAGACCCCTGAACTAGTGCCTTTGCAGGATGGGTCAAATGCAGAGGACAAATTTTCCAACGGGGATCATTAAAACACATGTATTTGTATTTTAATGTGTGCAACGATGACATTGAAATTGCCCTTCTGTGCTTATCTTTTCTTTGAACACAAGGGGGCGCCAAATGCCCAGATAATAAACATATATACAGGTTTGAGAGAGGCAAAGGCTGAAGAGTGAACCTGATAGAGCAGAGTGTCCAACATGCTGATGCTGAAGACTCTTCCTGCAGCAAATGGAAGGCGAAACATGAAGGCCAAGTTGGAGCCTTTATCTCTCTCTTTCTGCCACGAAAACACACATACACTCAATACTTTTGTGTGTCATAATAGAATAAACATGAAGCTGCTTTATTATCACCTTCTCCAGTTTGGAAAGAGCCAGAGAATAGCAGTCTTTAGCTCTAAACTGCATAAACCTCATGTTGGATGGATGAGTCAGCTCCGTGATGATGCTCAAACTGGGAAACAGCCTGGAGCACAGACATGTGTTTATGAGAAACGACCATATGGATACACGTATGTCTGTATCTAGTTATTGTGTGTTTTATTGTGTGTATTTAGTTGTGTGTTTTCATGCATATGTATGGCCATGTCTGTATGTATATGTGTGCATGTGTATGTGTTTGTACTGTATATATCTACCTATATTCATGTAGTGTATATGTATGGCACATATTTGTACGTACGTGTGTGTATGTGTGTGTCTGTTTGTACATGTGTGTGTCTGTTTGTACATACGTGTGTGTGTGTGTACATGTGTGTGTATACAGTGCCTTGCGAAAGTATTCGGCCCCCTTGAACCTTTCAACATTTCGCCATATTTCAGGCTTCAAACATAAAGATATAAAATTTTATTTTTTTTGTCATGAATCAACAACAAGTGGGACACAATCTTGAAGTGGAATGAAATTTGTTGGATAATTTAAACTTTTTTAACAAATAAAAAACTGAAAAGTGGGGCGTGCAATATTATTCGGCCCCTTTACTTTCAGTGCAGCAAACTCACTCCAGAAGTTCAGTGAGGATCTTTGAATGATCCAATGTTGTCCTAAATGACTGATGATGATAAATAGAATGCACCCGTGTGTAATCAAGTCTCCGTATAAATGCACCTGCTCTTTGATAGTCTCAGGGTTCTGTTTAAAGCACAGAGAGAACCATGAAGACAAAGGAACACACCAGGCAGGTCCGAGATACTGTTGTGGAGAAGTTTAAAGGCGGATTTGGATACAAAAAGATTTCCCAAGCTTTAAACATCTCAAGGAGCACTGTGCAAGCAATTATATTGAAATGGAAGGAGTATCAGACCACTGCAAATCTACCAAGACTCGGCCGTCCCTCCAAACTTTCATCTCAAACAAGGAGAAGACTGATCAGAGATGCAGCCAAGAGGCCCATCATCACTCTGGATGAACTGCAGATAACTACAGCTGAGGTGGGGATGGTGTGTTCAGGGTGATGAGCTGTGTTGCTTTTACGGCAAACATATCGTTTTGCATTGTGGCCAAAAAGTTTGATTTTGGTTTCATCTGCCCAGAGCACCTTCTTCCACATGTTTGGTGTGTCTCCCGGGTGGCTTGTGGCAAACTTTAAGAGACTTTTTATGGATATCTTTGAGAAATGGCCACTCTTCCATAAAGGCCAGATTTGCGCAGTGCACGACTGATTGTTGTCCTATGGACAGACTCTCCCTCCTCAGCTGTAGTTATCTGCAGTTCATCCAGAGTGATCATGGGCCTCTTGGCTGCATCTCTGATCAGTCTTCTCCTTGTTTGAGATGAAAGTTTGGAGGGACGGCCGGGTCTTGGTAGATTATCAGTGGTCTGATACTCCTTCCATTTCAATATAATTGCTTGCACAGTGCTCCTTGAGATGTTTAAAGCTTGGGAAATCTTTTTGTATCCAAATCCGGCGTTAAACTTCTCCACAACAGTATCTCGGACCTGCCTGGTGTGTTCCTTTGTCTTCATGGTTCTCTCTGCGCTTTAAACAGAACCCTGAGACTATCAAAGAGCAGGTGCATTTATACGGAGACTTGATTACACACAGGTGCATTCTATTTATCATCATCAGTCATTTAGGACAACATTGGATCATTCAAAGATCCTCACTGAACTTCTGGACTGAGTTTGCTGCACTGAAAGTAAAGGGGCCGAATAATATTGCACGCCCCACTTTTCAGTTTTTTATTTGTTAAAAAAGTTTAAATTATCCCATAAATTTTGTTCCACTTCACGATTGTGTCCCACTTGTTGTTGATTCATGACAAAAAAATTAAAATTTTATATCTTTGTTTGAAGCCTGAAATGTGGCGAAAGGTTCAAGGGGCCGAATACTTTCGCAAGGCACTGTATGTCGGTTTGTACGGTGTGTGTGTGTGTGTGTCTGTACGTGTGTTTCTGTTTGTACATACGTGTGTGTGTCTATTTGTGTGTATGTGTGTGTGTCGGTTTGTACATACGTGTGTGTGTGTCTATATGTATGTACGGGTGTGTGTCTGTTCGTATGTGTGTGTGTGTCTGTTTGTATGTACATGTGTCTGTGCGTACATGTGTGTGTATGTGTCTGTTTGTACGGTGTGTTTGTGTGTGTGTGTGTGAGAGAAGTTAGGTATATTAGGTTGGAGCTTATAAGTTTGACTTCTTCCCCTCCTTTTTGAGCTTTGACCAGAGTGAATGCATGTTAAACAACAAACGTATTTTTGTATTGTGTACAACATGTAATTGCTGTAAATTACATGCATTTATTCATGTTTTTAAGCTTGAAATAAATAAATAAAACCAAAATAAATTGTCATGAAAACAAATCACCTGAACATGGTCTGGACATTGACGATGGTTTTAGCATCGGCCATGTAGTCTTCTTCAGCACTCATGGTACTTTCCTTATCCACCACGACCAAATTATCAGCATAGATGATTCCACACTGCAACAGGCTGTCCAGGCTGCAACACAACACACACACAACCCCTAGACTCAAAGTCTATTGTATGTTCGGGCAAAACAAGGATAAAATGTGACGATTTGATAGTATTGCGTTACTTATAGTCACAATTCAATATCTTTGCGATTCTACAAAATGTATCTGAATTTGAGCACATTCTGACTGCCTTTAAACAAGATGTGTCAATGGGAAAAAGAGCAAACTGATCTTGTTTTAAAAATATAAAAAAAAATGTCTCCTTTGGAATGATCAAAAAACAACAATAGTTAAAAGTTCTAAATGGTTTTGCCCCATTGGAGAATCTTGTTTTAACACAGTCAGAATGGGCTCAAATTAAGACAAAAACACGTGATTCCAGCAACTATACCTCATATTTAATCATGTTTTTGCAGAGTAAACTCAAAAGTGAAACCAAAAATTATTTCATTAAACATCACAATACTCTGCTCTACTGTATCGATGTAATTGCGTGCACACAATATCACAATACTGATCAAAATCGATTTTTTTCCCCCACCAGTATTGCACGTGCACTGCAGTCCTTTTCCCACTTACTTGTCTATAGAACCAGCCATGTAATACACCATCGGGAAGCAGCAGATCGCCTCCAGAAAGTGATTATCAGGCCTGTAAGCAGCAGAAGAGTGAGCACATAAGAGTGATTGAGAACATCTGATTCATGGACAGTCGTCACTCTTGTATCTAAGCACCGGCGGAGACATTTAGTTCCTATTATTATTATTAGATGTCTGTCTCCATCCATCAAGCATGATAGAAGTGCAGTCCTGCTGACACACGGCTCAAGGCTGCGCTCGCACTGGAAGCATGAGCGTGTGGGCGTCTGTACGTGCGACAGAGGAGAAATCGCTACAGGGCACATGGAGGATGTCGTTTTTTTAATCCAGCGGATGAAAGAAAAGACAAAAAACAGGCCCTGAAAATAAAAAAAAAAAAGCTTGCATGGCTTTTCTCCCATTTGTGTTATTTTTTCACTAATATATTTTTGGTATTGAAGCCCTATCAATATATATGTAATCAAAAGTTCAAGGAGAAGCAGGTTGCCATGGTTACAGCCCTGCCGCTTGAGAGAGAAAGAGAGAGAGAAAGAGAGAGAGAGTGAAAGAGAGAGAAAGAGAGAGAGAGCAGTATTTTCTTTTCTTTGTCACTCAAAAAAAACACACACACACACACACACATGCTGAGCCGCAGCTGTAACCCAACATCAGCGCTGACAAAGGCGGCCCACCTCCACAGCCTTTGCCTAAGTGCTCTGCTGACGTGAGCTTTTAGCATATACACAATGTTCCCTGTCATGACATGTGAGCGAAATGTGAAGGATATTTAACTCACGGATTATCCAGCAGCAAGACAATGGGGTTTAGCTCTTTCCTGGGTCTGTAATAAGCTCTTAGAGGAACTATGAAGTTATAAAGGCCATTCCCGGCCGTTTCCGCGGACACGATGATGAGCTTGTTTTTGAACCCGTACGCCTTGGCATCTTCGAAACTGTTGTGCTGGCATCCCTGTGTGACATAACATGGGAGAAATGCTTATGCAACGCGCCGACAGTGACTAAATGAAATGATTCAGTACAGTATATAGGCCCACCTGGTCGAGACGCAGACAGCAAAACGGGGCTTTCGCTGCTAACAAATGGCACAATGTGGGCGAGCTGCCGATGTAGGGCGAGTTGGGAGGGTAACCTTTCACGTACCTGAGACGAGAGGAAACATAAAAAGTGCATTTGTTGGACTTTACAAACAACAAATCTATGTGTTTGAATATATTCTTCACAAAAAGTGTGGAGCCTGTGAAGAAGTGGTATTGATTTGTCGTTCTTGTCGGTGAAAGCAGGACTCGAGACTTCTATTGTGAAGTCTGTGTAAGAAAGAATGTTTTTTAAAAGAAGTGCAAAAGTGAATGCTTTTATGCCTATGCTAAAGGAATACTTTTGTAGGTTTAAGTTTTAAGATTAGGAGGTCCTTTATTTTTGTCTCACAGCGGGGAAATGTCAGTGTTGCATCACCAGTTGTAGTGCAGTGAGAAGGAGGCGCACACAGCAAAAGATAATTGAACAATAACTCTGTACTAACATAAACAATCTCCAGTCTATGGATCTTTTATAACACTTTTGAAGTAACTGTGGTTAAAGTTGAACTCATTACTGGCAGCTGCTGATTGGAGCGTCTGATTCCTCCATGGTATAAAATCTCATGCAAATATTTGGACGTGCCTCTTTGAAACATCAATATAACTTGTCTTTTGCCTGCAACACTATCCCAGCCCCTGTGCCATTTTCTTCAAGTCCCTTTGGTCTTCCTTGGGTCGTGCAGATGGACCAAGCAACCAATTTCTTCCTGTCTAAAACCTTCAAGGAGACACTGGAGTTTTATTCTTTTCACCTGTGTGTGTGTGCTTTGTGGTGTTGGTGCCCCTGGTGTCTCCTGTTTGTATTCCAATGTAGTTTTTTCTGAGAATGGCAAAAAATGGATTCTGATTCAGAGTCGATTGGGGTTGCTCATTCTGTGGCCAGTGCTTCTCCCACAGAGTCTCAGGGTGCATTGGAACGTTGGCACCAGACCCTGAGACAAGTTCTGCTTTGAGACTGGCACAGACTGGGTTTCTCTCGTACTGTTGGATATCAGAGACGCCACTCAAGAGTCCCAGGGTTTCAGTCCAAACTAGTTCATGGTCACAGTATACGTAACTAACACACATCAAAACTACATCACTGTTTCGATGTGGTCCATCTCCTGCTTGTCACAATGAAACAATGAAGGATGTATCTGCTTTCCTTCACTATGGTACTAAATGTTTATTCTTTAGTATGGTAAAGTTAAGTTAGAGATCTATACTTACTTTTTATTATGCTAAAGTCAGAGATATTATACTTAATTGCTTCTTCGTTATGCTAAAGATTGAGATTTTTTATTTGCTTCCGTATTATGCTAAAGCTAGAGATGTTATACTGTACTGTAGATTATATTGTATTAATCTTTCATCTTTAGGCTCAAAAATTCTGTGAATGGACTCTGCAGATATGGTAAAACCTGTATTTAAAGCTGAGGCGCCCAACTTTCAAACCATAAAAAATCAACAATGTAATAAAATCCATATAAACAGTTTTCTTCCATCACTGGTTTTCACATTCAGGTAATTTTAGTCTGTCACATCTTTAGATCAGCCTTTCCACCCACATCCCAGCTCCCAGCTCCCAGCCTAAACCCTCAAATAGTGACTCACAGGGCTCTTACAAGTATGCAAAAAAATCACACGTTTTGAAAAAAAGTTGAAGACGGTCTGCTGTGGTCTGATTTGTTCATAAACCTTTACTTTCACAAACCTCTTCTGTTGGGACAAACACCGTGAATGCTTTGTGATTTGACAAGTTTAATGCCTGTACACAGTTCTCTCAGTTGTTGATGTTCAGTAATGATGACACATTTATGCTTCTCTGTGAATTTATGTGAACAGCAGAGACAGAGACGACACCAGGAAAAACAGGGAAATACACAGGACTCCATCGAGTACTAGTGGGGATGGGACGGACTGGATTTAGGGACCGAGCCACGGCCGCAGCTGCCCCCGCTCTCCGGAACTCACTCCCACAACCTTCAGAAACTCAGACTCACTACCGATCCTATCTCAAAACCCACCTGTTTCAGCTTGCCTTTCCTTAATTTTTGTTCTTCAATGGTTATTTATCAGTGTTATTATTATTATTTACCAGAGTGCTTTGATGATCACGAGTCAACTGTGTATTTAAACTTGTAACGTTGTGTGCCATCGACGCATTAATATGTCAATTGCGTTTTCCGCTATTTTCATGTTCCCAGACGTCTATAGTATCTAATATGTATGAGGATTGGCTTTAGAGCATATTTTATTGAACCAGCAGGTGGCACCAGCGCTGCCTCTGGATGTTTTGAAAATGCACTTGATGCACCTCTTTTTCTCAGCTTTTTGTCTGAGACTGGTGATTTCAGTAAAACTTCCCTCTACTTGACTGAGGATTACAGGGGAACGAAGCAACCTAGAAAATAATTTTTGCTGATGAAAGTAAACAGTCCATTCTTTTAGAATGTGGATTTCAGATTGTCATAGTACACAATATTCTGTGGGCCTTGAAAAATCAATAAAAATCATCAGAAACAGCTGGCAATATGGGAGCACCTGTTCTGAAATAGGCTGGCAGGCAATGAGTGAAGTCATGCTAAAGGGGAGTCGTCTATAAGCATCTGTTAGCTTTCTGCCTATTCCTTTTTCAGACCTTATTTTGACTATTTTTTTTTTTTCAAATGCCTGAACTTTTTTTTGAATTGTCTAAAATGTTTGAGAATAATTGATTGACTCAAACTGAACTGAAACTGTTATCCACCCGTACATCCATTTTCTTCTGCTTTCTTTGTTGCCGAGTCGCAGGGAGATGCCCAGACTTCCCTATCTACACACACATCCTCTAGCACACACACACACACACATCCTCTAGCACACACACACACACACACACACATCCTCTAGCACACACACACACACACACACACATCCTCTAGCACACACACACACACACACACACATCCTCTAGCACACACACACACACACACACACACACACACACACACACACACACATCCTCTAGCACACACACACACACACACACACACACACTTCTCCAGCTCAAAGCTAAATCCTGTTGTGACCAGTTAAAACAGTCATCTATCGGCTTTATGTTTATCAGCAGTTGTTTCAGTCCTACATTACAACATCAAAACTAGTTCCTTATACTCAAAAGCAGCCTATACATGGACAATATTTGTGGTAATTTATCTGATGTGGTTTTATATCTAGATGCTTTAGTCCAGCAATTTTCGTATATTGTCAATGTATTTATTGTACTTGGCTACTTTTTGATTACATTTCTAGTTGGTGGTGAGACTCAGGTTTTTATATGTGGCTCAAAAAGCATGAAAAACACGAAAACACTTTAGAATCGCCCTCTCTAATTAACAGCTAATTTAGTGCTAATTAGTGTAGTGTCTATAGTGTACCCTTGCTGTGCTTATAATTTAGGGATTTTATCTTCACTCTTTTTAATGTACTGTGGATATTTATTATGTTAATGCCTTGTATTGTTGAGCACTTTGAGTTCCCTTGTGTATGAACTGTGCTTTACAAAATAAAAATGCCTTGCCTTGCCTAACCCTATCCCTAACTTTAACCCACATGGGAAATTAGATGTAATTTAGTAGGTAATTCAGTGTTGAATAAGGCCATGTAGAATTAGGAATAATACATGCTGATTAAGAGATATTTAACCATAAATTATACACTAATCATCACTTAATTAGCTGTTAATTAGTGAGGGCTAAACTAAAGGGTGAGTAAAAACACTATTTTGCAAAGGAGGACACCAATAGCTCGACTTACTGGGTCTGCTCTGTGGATCCTTGGTCTTTCTCATCGATGAAAACGCTGTCGTCCTCAGACTGGTCACTGAGCAGGTCGCAGGGCAGGATGGTGGAGGAGTCTGCGATCTCCTGGACGGGGGCGATGCTCGGCCGCCGCCCCCCCGTCCCGTTCACAGTGGGAGGCGGGATGTGGCTTCCAGATGTGGGTGGGCTGGAGTTCTGCAGATCAATCGCAACTGTGCCTGTTTTACATGCGATGGGGAGACACACAAACCAAAAGATACAATGACACGTGCAGGTGAGGTTGAAAGTTTGCACACACACACACACCCACACACACACACAGAGGCACACACACACACAGAGGCACACACACAGAAGGTTTTGTGTTGAAGAAATTACAAATTAGGAGGTTTTTGTCAGGTGATTGCAGAAATCTCAAATGTGGAGTTCATGAAAGGCAGCCCAGGAATTTACAGCAACTGGAGGGCTTTACCATCAGAGAAGATCCAGAACCACAAAATAAGCTGTCATAGATGTTAAAACATAGACGATACATCTGGTTGACAATAATTGGCTCCACACAACCACTAACACTGAGTGAGATATTTGTGTTATCATTCATAATCTCATTTTTATTTCTGCCTGGGGGGTTAACTTTCCAGCTCAGCGGTACTGGTCTGCGTACCCATGCTCGCAATGATGCTGTGGACAGGAAGTTGTGAGGGTCCACCGAACAGCCCCCCGGTGGCTTTGCCCTTCTTCTCCTCCTGGTTGAAGATGAAGGCAGAGTTTTCTTCTTTGGTGATGTTGATGTAGTAACAGGTGTCGGTGGCGGCCATGATGTGGCGTGGCCCTGGGTTTAACAGGATGCTTTTGTTGTCTTCTTGCTTTATGCCGATCAGACACACCCCATACCTGCAAGATAGATACTGTATAATTCAACAGTTACCGCAACTACCGGACCGTAAGCCACAACTTTTTTCAAGCTCTTTCCTCTCTGCGACCTATAAAGCAATGTGGACAATGTACTGTATGTATAATAATAGTAGAGTACATTCTGTGGCCTGGTCTTACCGTACCATTGTACTCATTTCATTTCGTACATTGGTCTGGATCATGGACTGTAATTATAAACAGACATAGTCACGCCTATATCTGCCGTTAAAACGAATGTGCCACCGCTTTTTCCTTCTGTGGACGTTTTCAAAATGTGAGGACAGGAAATTGTGAAAAGACGCATTTGCGCATGTGTTAGCTGCACCTTCTGAAGTCCATAGCGGCTAAACTAGAGTGGTCCCAAAAAAAAATACTCCCCTCAACATTGATCAACATGTGTCTTTTGGAGTCAAAATAAGACGAAGTCAAATAAAAAAGCGGATTTATGTTTAAGTGAACAGCAGAGAGAAGGATGTATCTGCCCCCCGCCCTCCCCCCCAGACAGGAGGCTACAGTTCGGACCAGCACATCCAGCCATAAGAACAGTTTTTCCCCTCTGCAGTCGAACACTTCATAACTCATCAATGTCCCCTAACCCTTTCTGACCATTCACTCTATATACTACTGTCACTTTACTGCACTGGAGAATGTCTATTACACTGGAAAAAGTGAACAAATATGAGGTAAGTGCTTGAATCAAGTGGTTTTTCTCTTAATTTGAGTAAATTCTGACCGTATTGAAAGAAGATTCTCCAATGGGACAAAGACATTTAGTCGTATTCCAACAACTGTGGCCTTTTTTTCTCATTCCAAGGGAGATATTTTCTGTATCTTTGTAAAACAAGATCATTTTGGCAAATCTCGTTTTACGGCAGTCAGAATGTGCTTAAATTAAGATACATTTTGAGCAATTTTGGGAAAAAATGTCATCACTTTTTGCAGTTTGTGTACTTATTGCACTTGTATTCAATAGTAATTTTCTGAAATTATCTGGCGATGTTTCAATGCATGTCTTGTATCTATTCCCTCTAACAATTTGTTTGCACCTTTGAGCAAAGCAAATTCCCAGTTTCTTATATTTTCCTAGGTCCAGCCTGGTTCGTGGTGCGTGCAACCATCAGACTTACTTCTTGTGAGCGTGGAAGGACGCGTACGTGAAGCTTTTGCCGCTGTATTCTCCAAAGAACTTGCTGTCGCTCAGTCGGATGTGGTAGACCTCGTTACCGGAGCAGCATCCATACATCCTCTGCCACTGCTCCGGAGACTGCTGTCCTTCTCTGTAAGCAAGTTGTCTTTATTTAAATAGTGCATTTCAGAGACCAAGGCCAAACAAAGCGCTTTCATATTACAAGGCACCGGGAAAAAAAAACAAATCATAGTTATTATTTTCTTGTGTATTGGCAGAACTGAAGTAAAAAATCTTGTCCTGACCGCTGTTAGCTGCTGAACTCTCTGTAGCTGAAGATTATATGGATTTGTGTGTGTTGGGTATTGTTGTGTTGTTGTATTGTTGTGTTGTGTTAATGGGCTCCACTTCACTTCATATAATATCATAGCACTTTTCCTCAATTTTGAAAGAAACTCAATTTTAATTTCTTAATAACTTAAAAGTGATTAGAGATAGAGGCTTTACGTAAATCAGAGAAATTATGAGGATGGCCCAAAGTTTATGTAGGAGCTAAATGTATCCATCTATTTAGCATATTATGACTTTTATGATATGTATTTTTTTGTATTTTTTTTTTTTACTGGCAGTAAATCATTGTGTAGCAGGGAGTTTGACTGAATTTTGACATCCTGCATCGGCCGTTTTAAACAGTACCGCATTTTGTCGACTGGAGTCAATTGTGGTGCCTACAGGGTTGTTACTGTTTGACATTGCCTGTGATTTTTTTATTTTCTATGTTTTTATGCCCTGTGCTGCTCATAGAATTGCTTCTGGTGGGATAAATAAAGTCTGAATCTGAAAGAGCTTTTGACACATGTTATGTTGCTGTGTTCTTTGGCCTCATATGCTGAGGCCACTGCACAAATAATTCTGTATCCAGCTTTTGCAGCAGTTAATAATGCTTTGTTCTTCAAGACAAGAAGAATAGAAAATGTCCACTCCTTGAAGAAAGCTATATAAATGTTACTTGTTCTGATTTTCTGATGTCGAAGCACTAAAAAAACAATAGATTACTTTAATGTTTTTTGTTTGTTTTTGTTGAACCCCTAGTTTTTAATTATAGGCCTTTACCAAATAGTTTAAATCCAGATCGATGATAAAGGATGCAACAAAGAGTTCAGAATAAATTGTATTGTAAGAAGTAGATTTCAGTTCCAAACTACAAGTAGATATAGTCTCAAAAAGTGATCCACCAAATGGTCGAGAAAACCATTAAAGGTATATTGGGATTTTCCCAAATTTGAGGAAAAAACCGCCCTCTCCACTTTTTAAACTCTGGGTTTATAGTCTAAATCTAGTCTAAATGTGAACGTTATTATTTATATACATATATATATATATATACATTTGTTCTTGTTGAATGTTGATATGTCTGTTTTGTAATCTTTAATAAAGGGGGGGAAAAACTCCCTGGTCTTAATTGACGAGCACGTATCACCAGAATGATTGACAGCTGGAAGGACCAATAGTCTTGATGATCCACCCGGAAGTAGAAAATCCTCCTTCATACCGTTAATTTCCAACCTCTAGCGATATTTTCCAACAAGGTTTTTATTCCTTTTCCATAAAACTGTACGAAAGTCCTAAAAGCGCTGCTGCAATGGATTTTGTTCTGCTCCCGTCTCTTAGCAATTGATAAACCATTGGAAAGCGTAACGGCGGCGTGCTGGCAGAATCATTTTCACATTGCACATGTTATACTCTGGTTTGAGGAACAGAGCCTTTTAGCCACAGACGCTGCTGCCTTTCAGTCGATGCACTTTCCCTCTCGCTGCGGACCATAATAAGCTCGACTTTCTTTTTCATTTTGTGCCTCTGTGTCACGTCCCCGGGGGCAGGTTGTAGACATTACAAAGTGAAACACACTGAGCAGAAAATAAAAAGTCCCAGAGGCGCTTTCAAGCTGACAAACCGTCCACGTGATGTGTGCACGAGCAGCGTGACCAGAGTGGAGGTGGCCGGGCACACGCAGTTCAGAGCCAACATGGCGTACTTGAACTCTTCCTCACACACGACGTGATCTGGAACCACACAGACACAGAATATCAAGGATTTCATTGGATTGTTGTGAATGCACTGGAAAAATACCTTGAAAAAAATCAGAAGAAAATGTATGAAAATAAAAGTAATATAGTGCTTAAAATAAGAAAAATGTTCTGCCAATAGAAGAAAATATGACTTGACAAGATTTCTGAAAATAAGAAAATAATACTAGCTTCAAATGACTTGATTCTAGTATAAAAACATACATTTCAAGTTTTCTTAAAATATAGCATAACATACTTTAAAAAAAATCTAAACAACAACATTTGTCTGAAAATAAGAAAAAAAAAACTCAAAAACTCACTGCTCAGACTTTTTTCTCTGATAAGATTATGAAGTATCTTAGTCAAATAATCTTATGACAAACTCCATTCAAGCAAAAAAAAACTTGCCAGTAAAAATAAGCATTGTTTTGTTATTTTTAGTAATGAAATCTGGTGTGGACTTTTTGACCTGGTTTTATTTTACTATATTCGTTCTCTTGTAGTTTGAGTTTGCTTCTTGTCTGTCAATTGTTTGTTCAAGAATTTCATTGGATTGTTAAGATAAGATAAGATAGAATTTATTGATCTCACACAGGAGAAATGTACTAAATGTCGTTTAGTTTCATCTTTGGAAAAGTGCTAGAATTAACCAATGAGTCTGTACTTCTCAATGTACATTATGATCAAAATGTTACTTAGGCCTTCATAAATAAGAAAGTAATCTTGATTTATAATTAACACATTTTATCAGAGTCACAAAGCGCTTTACAATCGTCATTAGTCTCTCACTCCACACAGAGATGGGAGCGGGGTCACCATACAGGAGGAGGGTAGGGTATCAGTATTGGATAGAGGTAGAGGAAACCGGAGCACCTGGAGGAAACCTACACAGACACGGGAGAACATGCAAACTCCACACAGAAAGGCCTGGAGGGGGAATTGAACCCAGGACCTTCTTGCTGTAAGTTTTGAACTTTATAAACATTTATAGACATTGGATAACTACTGATTTAGGGCAATACAAAAATTGAATTGAATGGATACACAAGGCACTAACCACTGCGCCACCGTGATAAAACATAAATACAAAATGATTGACAACAGAATGAACAATGTCTCACCTGCAAACTTTACATGAAACTTGTTTTCTGGTTTGAGGATCTGGACGTAAAGTGGACAGTTCGGAGCAAAGTCTTTCACGGCCCAAGCCCTCAGTATCGTCTGATGATCCTGAAATGAAATATACACTTCTAATACACTTTGTCCCTTAGACTAGGGAGAGTGACCAGAGAGAGAGAGACCTGAGAGAGAGACCAGAGAGAGACCAGAGAGAGACCAGAGAGAGAGAGACCTGAGAGAGAGACCAGAGAGAGACCAGAGAGAGACCAGAGAGAGAGAGACCTGAGAGAGAGACCAGAGAGAGACCAGAGAGAGACCAGAGAGAGAGACCAGAGAGAGAGACCAGAGAGAGACCAGAGATAGACCAGAGAGAGAGACCAGAGAGAGAGACCAGAGAGAGAGACCAGAGGGAGAGACCAGAGGGAGAGACCAGTGAGAGAGATCAGAGAGAGACCAGAGAAAGAGACCAGAGAGAGACACCAGAGATAGACACCAGAGAGAGACCAGAGAGAGAGCAGAGAGACCAAAGAGAGAGACCAGAGAGAGAGAACAGTGAGAGACCAAAGTAAGACCCCAGAGAGAGAGACCAGAGAGAGACCATAGAGGGACCAGAGAGAGAGGCCAGAGAGAGAGACCAGAGAGAGACCAGAGACCGATGGCTATATGTGTTTTAATCAATGCATTTCTTGTGTTTGAACCGTTTAATTCTCTGATCTGTGTTGGCGAATTCGACGGTTTTGGAGTTATCAGAGATAACTTGTATTGTGATTTAGGGCTATACAAAAATACGTTTAATTAAATATTCATATTTTTCACTAAACTATTAAGTCTCTGTGAATGACAACATTAATCCTTTTTAATTTCAAAGAGGATTTTGTTGTTGTTGTGATAGATGTTTTCATACCGCTGCAGTACGGTCCACCTCGTTACGACTGCTGAGAATAAAGCAGGCTTCAGCGTCATCCATCCTGAAAATACATTTAAAAAAAACTCAAATAAAACATTGTGTTATGAAAAAAAGAACCTCATGATCAGGTTTGAATGACACACAATCCTCCGAAGCTGCGCTAGTTTAGTCTGCGTCGCATTTGATTAGAGGCGCCAGTCGCTACAGAGCAAAATGCAAAACAAGTGTGGGCGGATTTGAAATGAAATGCCAGATGTAAGATGTGAGTCTGACACATTTTAATAAATCAAATCCAAATAAGCCGTTCAGGAATCGACACAGCGAGAATTTCTCACAAAACGTTGAAACACGGGCAACGTTTTGTTTGGTTTTTCTTGAGCCAATAATTAGACAACACAAGATTTCTATAACAATAACAGTGACTAGAGCTTTTTGATAGTATAAAGAATGACTGAGCTCAGATACCAGGGAAGATAATAATGTAAAAATAATTCGACAAAGGATTCAGACGTTTTACTAATCCAGGTTGTTTTTGTTAAATACACAATGTGCTTAACAAAAAGAATTCTTTCTTCAAAATTAACAGATTTTTTTTAACTTGAATTTTACCCACTTGGAGCTGGGGTACGATAACAACAACTGCAGGCTTAGAAGGTTCCTCATAACAAAAAAAATCTTAAAAGAAGCTTGTATTTACCACATGTTTTTGCGGTAGACTTCCGCCTTCGTGAGAGGAGAAATGTTATGGTGTGCATTTGGATATTTACATGACACTTTGAAGCAACTGTGGTTCAAGTTAAACTCATCACTCTAAAAATACGCACAAGGCAGTATTTTTTCTCTTCTTGTTTAGGTTTTCTCAACGTTGAAGCTACTGGCACGTCGGCAGCTTCTGATTGAGCGGTCTATGATTCTTCCTGTATAAAATCACTTGCATTCTGTAACCTCTTTGTCCGTGCCTGTCTCTACCGTCGACAATAAAACGTGTCTTCTGTCTGAATTAAAGACACGATCCCAGACTTTGTCATTTTCTTCATGCATTTTACAGACCAAGGTCAGCCAAAGACCTTTACAATGTTAAGAGGGCAGATATTCTCCCGACAGAAGCGAGACGCCGGACACACTGGAGCCTCAAATCCTCCAACCGACACCTTTCATTCACTCACTCATTACATTCAGACCGATTGTGCATGTTTTTAGTGGTAGGGGAAACTGGAGCACCCGGAGGAAAACTACGCAGACATGGGGAGAACATGCAAACATGGGGAGAACATGCAAACAGCTGTTGTTACCGGACGCAGTCAGTTCCAAGTGTGAGGTAAGGTGAAAGCCCCCTCGTCTCGGCTCATGGTCCATGCACCCGCTTCCTGATTTCAATCGCCTCTCGTATCCATTCTTTGTATTTACGTTCTTCTGTTCCAACTAGAGAAGCTTCTTTACACTTTTGTCTTTTTATAAGTACCTTTAGCCGCGTACATTTCCTGCATCTCCGTGTGTAATTTCAGTGTTTAAAGCCCGACACTTACTTGGCTCTGAGCAGATCCTGGTCTTTGAGCACAGACCCTTGTAAGTAAATGACTCTCTGAGACCAGAGTGGGATCTGCAGCACTCTCCGCACCTGCAGGTCCATCTCACTCGGGCACAAAATCACCACATAGTAATCCTTAGAATGAGAAAAAACAAATATTTTATTATAAAAGCTTTGTGACATTTACAACAATGCATAGTGTGTCAACTTAAAGCAGGAGTACCTAAAATAAAACGCTTTTTAATGAATAAGTTTTGTTTGTCCCAACAGATAGTAACATTTTGGGAACAAATAAGATCACAGAAAAACAGTGTGGAATCTGCTATTATTAATATTCTTTTATTCTACATAAATATATGTATGTATCTTCATATGTTTAAAATTGTGTTTTGGACAATGTGAGCACTTAATGTCTAAGACTGCTGACCATTCTCTCCCAGTCATGAGGCAGACATGTGAGCAGCACTGATATCATTACAATGCACATGGCTGTCCGTATGTATGGTTTGTTTTTAATGGGTCTTGTGACTGGGTTTTATGACTTCTAAAATTCTATATAGATCCTAGTGCTCTGGTGTTTGGGGTCATTTCTACCATCCTCATTCTTGGAGCTGACCCAGGCTGGTAGCGCTAAGCCTGCATTTGACTTAATGCTATTCTGATTGTGCCATTAAACCTCTTTCTTTAATAAATACTGTAACTCAGATTGCATTCCTTCTCCAACACTACACTGGTTTGTGCGAGGAATCCCATCTCCTGCTGAGGAGAAGCTACAACAACAGCTACACAACAAAAATGTAATTGAAATACATTTGAATTCTGTCTTTATCTTATTTAATCGTTTACATATAGAGAGCTGATTGGCTGAGTGACTGTGGTCCTTTTTCACTTTTCTGTTGACAAAACTGGATCTAAATATGTGACTGAGGCTAAAAGTGCAAAAATGTGAAAACTAGTGATAGAAGCAAACTAAGAAATAGGAACAAGTCAGATGGATTTTGCACCTGTAGTCTGGGATGGGCGTAAAACTCATTGAGAAAATCCATCAGCAAATCAATCTTGAGAGAGCTGACGCATAGCACCACATGTTTCTCGGTCTGCGCTCGATGACGGCTGTAGTTTCCCCCAGATTTTTGTCTCTCCATCCACAGATAGATCAACTCTTCGAACTGTCGGAACAAGAAGCATGCGTGACAAAAACGGTTTCAAAAGGTCTGAAAATTTTCAATAAAAGTCTCCACGCAATCTAATGACTGGAGCCTTCAGGTTTGATCACAGCACAATCTTAGTAAATATAATCGCTAACGTATATACTGTATTAGAATGCTTTTAGCAGACGTAAGTACAGCGAGTGAGTAATCTTCATTTATTAAGAGCATTTCGCAGACCAAGGTCACACAAAGCGCTCGAAAATGTTTAGTCTGTAATCAGAATATCTAGTTCACATTGAGGATTCTCTCGACTGCAGCAGCACGAGTCCTTTCATTTTTGCAGCATATTTGAACCAAAGACAGTATATTAGGAATGGCCTGACCGAGCACTGACGTCACCCTGTTAGCATGTACTGAGAGTAACGCATTACTCTGTACTTTACTCGGTTCAAAGGTTCGTAGCCAGATTGTGTTTTGTTTTTAAAGTCCGCCACCGTGAGATCAGCAGAGGAGAAGAAATCTGCGCCAATAGTACCAGCCTAGACGTTTTTTTTTCCTTTCTGGTAGAAGATGGCTGAAGCTGAAGCAGAAGCAGGTACGATTCAGTAGAGCTGCACAATATATCGAAAAAATATTGTTATCGCGATATTGGCACGTGCGATATCCATATTGAAAAGATGCGCGATAATGTTTTTTTTTCCGCTTTATTAAAGACAACAAAACAGACAGACCCATCAACATTCAACAAGAACAACAAATAAACAAAAAAGTAAATAAATATATGCATTTGAATGTTATTAATGTTGTGCTTATTTTTTGTTATTTGTCTCTTGCGTTTCAAAACAGATAGCAATTTTTGGTGAAAGGCAATAATATCGCAATAATATCGTTATCGAAATACTAAACACTCATATCGAATATCACTCTAATTTCCCAAAATCGTGCAGCCCTACTATTCAGTCTATAATTTAATCATCGTGTTTGAAGATTATGCTGCATGTAACAAAATCAAATGTTGTGGTCTTAAAAAAACGAATGAAGGTTCTTTGTAAATGAGCCCATATGGGTCCAAGAACATGTACATTTCTATTTCATGTATAAGCATGGCTGTTCCCTGCGCTCCTAAATGCATCTTTGGATCTCGATAGAATCCGGTTTACATGCCAGAGAACAAGGATCAGAAATAGATCAATCCAGTTAAGCCAAACAAAATGGAATTTCACACCTCAATCACAGCACACACATTTACATTTACAGCTAGACATCAAATAAAACCAGGCGAGTTATCCAGTTTTTTACATGTGCTTGCCATGTGCTTTGTATGTCATTACAGGGTATATTTTTTAAAACTACTTTCTGGATGTACTTTCTAGACTATAAGGCGCACCTGTGTATAAGCCGCACCACCTGAATTTACACAACATGATTTAATGACGAGGTGTTGAACCGATAGCTACTAAAACTTGATAGAGTCAAATAAAAAAGTCCATATACTATGCTCTGACAACAGCCCAACACATATTAGCCGCACCACCATATAAGCCACAGGGTTAAAAGAACGTGAAAAAGATTGCGTATTTATAGTCCGTAAATGTGTCCTCAACTCCGATCATTTTGAAAACAAGCTTTTTCAAAATTCTCAAATACAAGACTGCAGTGCCTCACATTACCTGCAGGGGGAGCACCACCAGCGCCACACAGATCATGATGACCACCAGCAGCTGAGACGGCCAGATCCGAGGAGTGACGTCGCCGAAGCCCACGGTGGAGAAGGTGACAATGCAGAAGTAGAAGGAGTTGAAAAGAGACAGATTCTTTCCAGCTCGCTCCAAATGCTGGATCCCACACGTGCTGCTCGGAGGAAACACACAAAAAACGAGATTTCGAGACTACGAGATTACAAGAATACGAGAAAAGAATAACAAAATACCCAGAGCTAGCAGTCACCTGGACGAGAGGTCAGTATCGGGGTTTTTTTTCAACGTTTTGAGTAATTTTACTTACAGGTCAATTTGTTTCCATAAATAAAATGGAGGTTGGTAGCTAATGCTAAAGGGCTAGTTCAATTAATTCTAAAAAATGTAACACAAAGGGCTATAAAGTATGTAAAATAGTTTGCAACTTGGACATTTTTAGACATTTTTACCACAAACTTTATATAGATGGAAAATGCCAACCAAGCTCTAGCTCAATGAAGCCCAATATGGAAGTGCTCATGAACGAAGTTTTGCTCCAACTCACTCGGGCTCCTATTGACTTACATTGTTAAAAGTAACTCAGTAACGGTTTTTGTCACACTCACCATTTTGGGTTTAATAATCCATGGTTTAACGCTCTTTATGTTGTTTTTATGTTTGTTATTTTTTTTTATATTGTCTTTGTAAATCCAGATATGACCCATGTGAGTAATGAGTAATCAGATGCCTTCTTTCGCAGGGGAAACTTGCTTTCGGCACCATTTTACGAATACGTTAGCAACCCTGTTAAATGCCCATATTAGGAATTGGCTCCAGCTATCTTCTGTTCAAATCGCCTTCTTCCGCATTCGGTCTATGGTTATTACATAATGTCTTGCTGGATATGGTTGGGAATAGGCTCATTTTAAAGAAGAGAAGAAACCTGCAGACACCAAGATACCCTTTGTATTTATTTAAGGTTTATTTAGAGTTACTATTATGCATCTGTAGTTTGTTTATTTTTACCTTTTTAAAATATGGAGCAGTACCACAGGTTTGGATGTGATTTTTTGGTAGTTTTTTAATGAAAATTTTGCTCCAATTGATTGATTGAAACAAGACTCAACCAAATGTAAAGAAAGCTCAGTCTTGTAGATTGATTTGTGGATTAAACATTACTGTACGCTTTTAGGATCTTGTTGTTAATAGTAAAATAAACTGGAAGAGGTGAACTGATGGCCGATATCTGTCTGTCTGAGAACTTTAAATTCACGCTCTAGAGATCTCAGTCCTGCCCAGAGGAAGACGACACTAAACTAAAGTGCTCTTTCTAGCCCTAACCTTGGGCTGAAACTGCGTCCAGATGACAGCTTTTGAAACTTGCCTTTTGCGATGTACGAAGAATGAAGGACTACATACATATTGTACATAATTGTATATTTCAAAAGTCCAGTCTTACCCAGTGAAGACCAGGCAGAGCAGAGTGCAGATGAGAATGAGGACCTGATTAAACATGGCCGAGTTTGTCCTCTGAATCGCTCTGTGCACATCGTTCTAAACACAATAGAAAAAAGGACACATGTTATGGAATATACTGTACATACAACAAAATACTAACCACAATTATTTTAACATAATTGAAACCAGATCTATTTCAAGCAATACTTCTGTCAAAAATGAACCTACAAACCAAATCTGGGTGTCTATAGAGGGTTTTTCCAGTGTTATGTTTTCACCAGGGTCTGTCTTTCTGTCTAGATGATTCAAAAAGCTACGGGCTATTTTACAAAATGATCAGGAAACCTAAATTTTATAAAGGAACGGAGGTCTGAGCTCTACGAGTGCTTTTTCAGTTGCATATTATCAATTTAATGCAACGTGGTGGCTGAGTGGTTAGCAATTTTGTTGTTTGGTAAGAAGGTCAACGCAGGGCCTGTCTGAATGGAGTTTTTTTTACCCCGTTTCTGCTTCAGTTTCTTCCAGGTTCTTTGGTATTTTCCACCACTAAAAACCCTCCAGCTCCGGCCCTAAGCTCACTTTGTTTTCTGTTTGTATTAATTCTTGCTCTCTGGAAAATGTGTAAATGGAAAGCGGGGGTGGATTAAATAAATTCTCTTCTTCCCACTCTCTTTCATGCAAATTCATTTATACTTTTTTTTTTTTTTTGAGATGTCTATTATGTTTAGGAATTGTGTAAAATAAATGGAATCAATTAAATAAAATATAACATAAAATAAAAAGAATAAAATAAATAAAGTGAACTAAAATAAATAAAATAAATAAAATAAATAAAATAAATAAAATAAATAAAATAAATAAAATAAATAAATAAAATAAATAAAATAAAATAACCAAGAGTATCAACATCTAGAGCAGGATCATTGGGCGACCACTGCTGCAGACAGAGGCCATATAAAGAGGCTGTAAAAATGGGTCAAATGCAGAAGACAAATTTACCTACGGCGAGAATAAACCAAAACGTCACATAACTTAACTTAATCTAGACATTTTATGCCTGCAAGTCCGCTCTTTTCACTCGAAGTTCCAAAGCTAAATGTGAACAAGCTTTTGGTGACAACAAATTAGCGTGAGTCACAGGGGCTTGATCTAAACTCAGTGGGACAGGACGGTTTAGCTTCATACGATTACTCACTATCATGTTTTCCAGAGCGCATTTGGCCAACCAGCAATTCAGAAACACAGGGATGAAGATGTTCCTCACAGACGGCCAGAAAATCTACAAAAAGAGAGATTGATCATTAAACGCTCCCATTTTACAGGCAAAACATCTAACCACCATTTATCTCTGCTGTTTTAAGTGCTAGGTTTCTATTATTGCTTACTTTTTTACTTCATGTGATGTGATAATATGTGTTATAAATATGTTGTAATTATTAGTTTTGCACCAATCAAGAAGCGGCTAATGAGGAAAAGTCTAAGAAATACTGAATGTAGACAACTATAGCAAGCTGAACTGGCTGGAATTCAAAGATGAAATCATACGTCGGTTTGACGCTCTATTTGTTTGCGATTAAAAACTCTTAACTGCTTTGTGACTTAGGGCCAGTTTTGCACTAGTCTGACAATTGTATTCTATTTCTTACATTATACACTATTGTGTATGGTATTGTACTTGTACTACAAGTATTTCGGAAAATGTCCTACTTCGTGGATGATCAAGACTAATGGTCCTCCTAACTGTCAATCATTCTGGTGATATGTGTTCATCAAACAAGACCAGAGAGATTGGTTCAAAATGTGGAGAGGGCAATTCTCTCTAAAAAAAATTGGGAAAATCTTCTTATATACCTGGAATGTAGGATGTCACCATTTTACATTCAAGAAATATCATTTTGGACCTAAAACGTGGCAGAAGTGGTGTAACATTTGTCGTATCTGTAGCAGTAATAAATCATCTTTAACTAACTTCATGTATGCAGATTGTCTGTTTTTTGCAACAAGGGACTACTGTTTAGCTAATACTGGCACATTGACAGTCATGTAGATTCATGTGTACTGTCCCTATTCAAATAAACTAACACAATGAAATAAACTGTAGGTATAGGTGTTTGTGTCTCTGGTCTCTCTCTTTGGTCTCTCTCTCTGGTCTCTCTGTGGTCTCTCTCTCTGGTCTCTCTGTGGTCTCTCGCTGGTCTCTCGGGTCTCTCTCTGGTCTCTCTCTCTGGTCTCTCTCTGGTCTCTCTCTGGCCTCTCTCTGGCCTCTCTTTCTTTGGTCTCTCTCTCTGATCGCTCTCTCTGATCGCTCTCTCTGGTCTCTCTCTCTGATCGCTCTCTCTGATCGCTCTCTCTGGTCTCTCTCTCTGATCGCTCTCTCTGATCGCTCTCTCTGGTCTCTCTCTCTGATCGCTCTCTCTGATCGCTCTCTCTGGTCTCTCTCTCTGATCACTCTCTCTGGTCTCTCTCTCTGGTCTCTCTCTGGTCTCTCCCTGGTCTCTCTCTCTGGCCTCTCTCACTGGTCTCTCTCTAATACTGGCAGATTTACTGTAATTTTTATTCACGTATACCGTCCCTATTCAAATAAACTAGCACAATAAAAGAAACAGTTCATGTTTTATTTTACCGTGATGATAAACGGGACGGTGTTGATCATCTCCAGGAGGAAAGAAACCTGGAAAATCTGCTCCCAAATGTTTCCCTGGAAAAACAAAGACATTTTATAAAAACACCTGAGTTTCGAGTTCCCACCGCCATCTCCTCTGTCTCTGTCTCTTTCTGATGGCTCTCTTCTTCTTCTTCCTCTGTAATTACTGTCTTTAATGCGGCCTTTACAACAATTGAGAGTAATTGCTCCACTTGTGGATTGGCAGCAGCGGGACTCAAAGTGACTAATTGTGCCGAGAAGAATAATCAGGCAGAGGAAGTCTCACCTTGTAACTCAGATACATCAGGAGCATGGTCTCCAGAAAACTGATGATGGCCACGATCACCTGCAACAAGTCAGAAACTAACCATGAGCGATGCACTAGAGCTGACAACAGAGAGACGTGTGTGTGTGTGTGTGTGTTATTATGTGTATGTAGATGTAGGTGTTTTTGTTTGTGTGACTGTGTGTGTGCATGTGCAAGTATGTGTGTATTTGTATACTGTATGTGTGTGTGTGTGTGTGTGTGTGTGTGTGTGTGTGTGTATGTGTACGTGTATTAGTTTGTGTATGTGTGTGTGTAGATGTAGGTGTTTTTGTTTGTGTGTTTGTGTGTATATATGTGTCTGTGCAAGTATTTGTATAATGTATGTGTTATTGTGTGTATCTGTGTGCGTTTGTGTATGTGTGTGTGTGTGTGTGTGTGTGTGTGTGTAGATGTAGGTGTTTTTGTTTGTGTGTACGTGTCTACAGTATATACTGTATGTGCATGTGTGTGTCTGTTATTGTGTATTAGTGAGTTTTTAGAAAGTGTTTTAAACAAACCACAACATGCTTCTTCATCAGATTACAATCTTTTACCACTTTTCCGTCTTAAAACTCTGACTTTAAGATTTTTAGGCCAAAAATACATTGGTTTATTCAAATATTCAATATAGATGTTATTGTGACAGATATTATTGTTACTTACTTGAATGGCCCAGACTGGAACTCTTCTATCCACCCAAAAGATAAGCTCCCTATCACAAAACAAACATAAGAGTAAAAGTTTATTTCAAATCATAAAAAATAAAAAAAATATAAAATCTGTATTTGATTTTTCACCAATTAATAGCATTGTCTTGAGCCGATGCATTAGACAGACAGTCGATGCTACATGTTGGAAAAAGACAGTTACAAAGTTAGAACCCAAAGGCCAGGTACTGTATTTGTTCAGATTCTCCTATTATATATTTACCATTTGGTGTTGGTTGCCGTGGCGCCCTGAACGCCGCTGTGTCCGCTCAGGCCGCTCTGAGCCGGGTTGTCTGTCATCACTCTGATTATGTACAGCAGACATGTGAGCAGCTTCAGACAGAAGTTAAAAACACGGATCCTCAGACCTGAAAGAGGAAGGAATTATGGCTTATGAATTATGATTCGATAGTGTTGCGATATATGGGCCACAAGTAAGTAAGTATATTTGGGCCACAAGTAAGTAAGTATGTTTGGGCCACAAGTAAGTAAGTAATCTATATTTGGGCTACAAGTAAGTAAGTATATTTGGGCCACAAGTAAGTAAGCAAGTATGTTTGGGCCACAAGTAAGTAAGTATAATGTGGGCCACAAGTAAGTAAGTAAGTATATTTGGGCCACAAGTAAGTAAGTAAGTATATTTGGGCCACAAGTAAGTAAGTAAGTATATTTGGGCCACAAGTAAGTAAGTAAGTATATTTGGGCCACAAGTAAGTGAGTAAGTATGTTTGGGCCACAAGAAAGTAAGTAATCTATGTTTGGGCCACAAATAAGTAAGTAAGTATATTTGGGCCACAAGTAAGTAAGTAAGTATGTTTGGGCCACAAGTAAGTGAGTAAGTATGTTTGGGCCACAAGAAAGTAAGTAATCTATGTTTGGGCCACAAATAAGAAAGTAAGTATATTTGGGCCACAAGTAAGTAAGTAAGTATATTTGGGCCACAAGTAAGTAAGTAAGTATGTTTGGGCCACAAGTAAGTGAGTAAGTAGGTTTGGGCCACAAGAAAGTAAGTAATCTATGTTTGGGCCACAAATAAGAAAGTAAGTATATTTGGGCCACAAATAAGAAAGTAAGTATGTTTGGGCCACAAGTAAGTAAGTATAATGTGGGCCACAAGTAAGTAAGTAAGTATATTTGGGCCACAAGTAAGTAAGTAAGTATGTTTGGGCCACAAGTAAGTAAGTAAGTATGTTTGGGCCACAAGTAAGTAAGTATAATGTGGGCCACAAGTAAGTAAGTGAGTATGTTTGGGCCACAAGTTTAGTTTAGTTTAGTTTACTTTATTTATTTGATCAGGGACAATGCACAAACAACATTAGTCTAAAAAAGAAGAGATGTCATGTGCCAGGTTATAGCAAAAATGCTAATTTCCACCCGCAGTCCCTGGACAGGTTGATGTTATAATTAAAAGAATTCATAAAATATATACAGAATAATACATAAACGCTTACATCATAAAAGCACTTTCTATCATTCACTCTCGCTCACAGTTTACAGCGTTCACAGTCATTCAGTGCGTACAGGTTTGCTTTGATAATAACCACTGTTTGGTTAGACGTGTAAATGTGCTATAATTTGTGCATGAAATAATTTCATTTGGAAGAGTGTTCCAAAGGCTCGCTGCTTTATAAGAGAATGATTGTTGACCATATGCAGTTTTGCGTCTTGGAACGCTGCACTCTCCTCTGACTGTTGACCGTGTGGTTCTAGAGATTCTCTCCGAATTGAGTGTAAAACATTTTCTCAGAGGGGGAGCAGTGATGTTATAGATTATTTTAAACAGAGCAGAAATTTGATTATATTTAATAAGGTTTTCGAAACTCAGAAAGTTATATTTACTTTGTACTTTACAGTGATGATACTTACGAGGCTTTTTATCATGAATTTTTATGGCCCTTTTATATAATGATTCAAGTGATTTTAACGATGTTTTACACGCCTGAGACCAACTAGACATGCAATACAGAAAATGTGGAACAATCATAGTGTTGAGGTAAGTATTTGAGGCCTCTGTAGTTAATGAGTTTCTAATATGTTTAAAGTTCATCAAGTTAAATTTCAGTGTGTTACCAAGTTTTTTTATGTGACTTTTAAAACCAAGATTCGAATCAAGTATTAGACCTAAATATTTTGTTTCGTTTACATTTTTAATTTTTTTTCCATTTACTTGAATTTCTTGAGTTTGTTGTAATTTACGTTTATTCGAAAAAAACATTGAAACCGTTTTATCAACATTTAAGGTCAGGCAGGACGTCTGCAACCATTCTGCAACTTTTTTCATCTCTTTTGATAATTTGTCAGCAACCTCCAGCTCGTTTTTCCCAAAAGTGAAGATAACCGTATCATCAGCGTACATGATCAAGTCACTGTCAGAGCACACTGTAGGGAGGTCATTTACATAGATGCTAAAAAGCAAGGGTCCCAAAATAGACCCTTGTGGCACTCCCATTGAGGTGGCTCTAAACGCAGATTGGATGTTATTTACTCGTACACACTGATGTGGGTCGCTCAAATAAGATCTTATCCAGTTTTGGGTGTGCTCAGAGAGACCATATTGATTTAATTTACTGTAGAGTATCTGATGGTTGACGGTGTCAAAAGCTTTACGCAGATCAAGGAAGACTGCTCCCACCACCCTTCCCTGATCCACATATGCCCTGACAGTTTCCAGGAAGTAGCAACAGGCAGAGTCTGTTGAATACTTCCGTCTGAAACCAAACTGCATTGGGTTTAAGAGCGCTTGTGAGTCAAAGTGGGCGGTAAGTTGATCCGCCACTGTCTTCTCGAGCACTTTTGACGCTGCTGGAAGGATGCTTATTGGACGATAATTGTTCATTTCTTGTTTGTCACCAGACTTAAATATAGGGGTGACAATCGCAGGTTTTAGTCACAAGTAAGTGAGTAATCTATGTTTGGGCCACAAATAAGAAAGTAAGTATATTTGGGCCACAAGTAAGTAAGTAAGTATGTTTGGGCCACAAGTAAGTATATTTGGGCCACAAGTAAGTAAGTAATCTTCACACAACACAGAAGAACTGTCCATAATGGTGCATTTACAAAACTAAATATATCTGGTTTGGTTCATTGGTGCTGAACAATAGAACGGGCCATAGATATACTGTATGTAAGTAAAACAGAAAGGAGCATTAATGCGCTTACTTGATCTTTGGTTTTTGATAAAGAACAGCTTCAAACGTTCTTTAAATGTGTTTTCATTCACATAAAACTCCACCTGAACCCTGAAAGAAACAAGCGAGAAACAGAGAAAGAGCCGTTAGCACAGGACATGAATGTTGGTGTGAGGGAGGCTTTTCATTATCATGTTTTTTTTTTTTAAGCTCCGTCCTCACTGAAAGGCTTTTATGAGCAGACGTTCCATGGATTACAGATAGATTATTGTTATTATTAATAGTTATGTCGACCTATGTTCAATCATCAGGCAGCTCCAAAGCGAAATGGTTGCATGCGGAGAAAATGGGGCTGAATACTTTTGCCGCACTTGTCAGTTTTGTTTTTAAAAACAGAGAATGTATCATTTTGCTTTCACTTAACAGTTATCTGCCACTTTGTGTTGGCCTCTCAAAAAAGTCCAAATATCCTCATGATTGTGGTCAGAACGAGACAAAATGTGAAAAGGTTGAATAGTTTTACAAGGCAAAAAGAAAGGTATGTGTGTGTGTGTCAGATGGAGTGACTAAAACACTGAAAAGTGAGTATAGCCTGAACTCAGACTTATCTAAGCACAAGCAGGAAGAGGATTTAGCGCCTGGAAGATCACCAAAAGAGACACGTGCCCAGCTCCAGGTGCCTCATGTGCAGGTACAGTAAAAGGCCACACACTGCAGCGACTCTATGATTGAGGACAATGTTCAAAGACAGAAACTAAAACTGTGCCGTACATTATATATTTAATATCTTCATGTCAAATGAGGAAAGCCATGTTTATACTTTTGGTAACTCTAAGAATCTGGAGTCCTACCTCTGTCCACACTCACTACCGAGAGCCTCCGATCTCCACGTCCCCGCGGTTGTACTGACCCAGGTCGGGATGACTCCAGGATCCATATGAAACAGCACTGGCCACCGCAGCTGTGTTTTCTTAATGCAGTCTTGGCTGAAATCTTTTTGTAATTTCAACTGTTTTCCTTCCTTTCTAGCAGTAACCAACGATACACGCAGAATGCATTTTAGAAAATTGCCGTTTATGTAAACAAGTTTTTTTTTTTTCCTCCCTCTCCCACTTTCTCTCCTAGTCTGTTTCCACAGCAACGTTTCAAAGAGGGGAATAACCAGTGTGGATGCAGTTACATGGTAAGCACTTTCTGAGGCAGAGAAAGGGCTGAGCGATAAGTGGATGGCACACAAATACTTCAGCGGCCGCCAGGTGCCGCAGGTCACCCGCACCGGGCAGTTGACAGAGTTTCTGCATCCGTCTATCTACAGAGATGCTCAAACGTACTGTACATGTCTCTCTTGTCTCTCTACAACCTCCGCAGCGACAGGATTATTAGACTCTGAGGAGCACAGAGTCAGGACTAAACATAGAGAGGCTGCTTTTCAGATTCATGCAGCAGAAATCGTCTTTTTTACATACTTAACTTTCGAGTTTTTTGGCTTTAGAATAAAAATGATCAGAATGTCATAGTTCAAAATGCAAAGCAAAGGAAAAGATGACAATAATACTAATAATCAAGAGAATTAGAATAATAATAATGATAAATAAATCAAAGACAAAAAGGAAAAAGAGGAAAAGAAAATCTTCTTTATTCTATTTTTTATATATACATATTAATCTTATATATGCAGCTACAATCTGGTCTGTCTGAAAATGTAAGACAGGCTTCATCTCTGACAATGTTTAAATCCATAATAAAAACAATTGAGGGATTTTATCTTCACTCCTTTCAATGCATTGTGCTTATTTATGATTTAAAGCCTTGTGTGACCGTCTCTATCTTGTTTTGTTCAGCACTTTGAGTTGCCTTTTGTATGAATTGTGCGATACAAATAAATGCCTACTTCACTTCAACACAAAAACACACTCCTGACCAAAATATTTCACTGCATCTATATATAATCCAAGCTCCAGGATCCAACATTTTTCAAAAACCGAAATCTGCACAAATGTGAAATTCACAGTTTCTCGCAGCGTCATGAATCCAAACGGAAAAAAATCTAAAATCTTCTTGTGCTGAACACGAGCGATCAGCGACGGCCTCTCGCCTCTCGTCGCTGCTCCGGTGGCACACAGACAGTGATCAGACTTTCAAAGCCCTGGTCTCCTTCAGCCTTCAGTGTATTTACTTTACGGCAAAACATGTGACATTTAAAAGATACACAATCACACGTTTTATTCTCTGATGTGAAAAACCTCAACAGATGGTTCCAATGTTACTGGAATGAGCAGGAGATCTCACTTAAGACTAAGGTATGCAAATAAGTAGTAAGTAATCTTCATTTTTAGAGCACATTTTTACAAACCAAGGTCACCCAAAGCGCCTTTTTATTATTAATTTATTTGACAGGGACATTGCAAGTCAACATAGAACAAAACAAGCTTGCAATGACGCGATGCAAAAAGAGTTTATAGCTATTGCTCATTTTCAACTCCAGTCCCTGGTTGGACCTTTCTACACTACATTAAAATTTCAATATAATCTTAAAAACTTACCTAAATACACTGTTTAAATCAAATGTTCAGAGTTCAGATATTTTTCCATTCTCTCCACACACGGTGATGACGGAAGCGAGACTGGGGCATTAAAACCCCCAATCAACACCATCCATTCACTCACTCATTACATCCAGACCTATTGTGCATGTTTTTAGTGGTAGGGGAAACCGGAGCACCAGGAGGAAACATACGCAGACACGGAGAGAACATGCAAACTCCACTCAGAAAGGCCCTGTTCTAACCGGAATTCGAATCCAGGACACCAGCCACTGTGTCACCCGGGTAAAGGTGCATTTTATTTATCCTCTGCATTTGACCCGTTCTGATGCTTCTACAGGACGTCTGTCAGGAGTAGTGGTTGCCGTAGTAACAGCGCCCGGGGACCCATCTCCAGATGTTGATGCTCGGCTCGGTCAGGACCAGAGCTGGAGGATGTTTTCTGCATAAGACAGTGGAGGGGAGGCCAGCATACTGTGAGCTGTGGGGGCTTTTCCTTCATTAGAATGGGGCTAAAGGGGGACTATGGGGGTCAAACTGTTCCTCAGGGCTCTGTGGTAATGACTGGGTTTTTTGTGAAAGGTAAAAAATATAGTCTGTGCAGGATATAATTATGTACACTAAAAAAAGCAGCAATAAAAGAAAGAGTTGCAATAGCAGTGCAGGGTTTTTTTCAGTCCTAGGGTCTTTTTCGGAGGTCTAATTTCACTCTTGATATTGGGATTATTAACAGTTTATCACATTTTTTCCAAATTTATTTTCATTCCGATTACTGTTTTGTTTATGCACTTTATATAAACATAGATACAGTTCCCATTTTTCCCCGTCGTTATTACTGGTGATCAAAATAGTGAAAAGGCTGCCTGCTGTGGTGTCAATGTGGCCCTGGACAGACAGATGTTTACCTGAGAGAGAGGGCTGTTTTTGTTGTTGTTATGCATGCATGCCTCTGCTCAGGGAACATCTGAACTTCGCGCAGATGTGGCCAGTGACATTTTCAGTTGAGTCACAGCAGTGAACAGTCGATCTGCCTCTGAGCATAAAGTCCACCCCGAAGCCCACAGAAAGCACTAATACTGACACTCAATGAAGAAATATGTTTTTAGGGATTCTAAGAAGTGGGTAAGGTGAATTAGAAGCAGATTTCACTCTAAATATGGGTCTCCCTGAAGTTTCTTACTTTTTTTCCGCAGTTTTTTTTTTTGAGTTGTTCCTTGACAATGCAGGAGAGTCTAAGGACAGTGATTATCCAGAAAATGAAAAGAACATTTATGGACATTTGTGGACATTTATGGATATTGGTCAAGTCCTCATAGACGACTGCTGTTGCGATTTTGGTTCAATATAATAATACACTGAATGGAATTGAAATGAACAGTTTTATAACATACTCAAAATCACTAACACGGTAACTTCAGAGTTAATGGGATCAAGTCAAGTCATACTTAACCACGATTATAACTTTGTTTGGACATTTTTGCAGGACAAGAGCGCAAACATGACAGCCTCTTATGAATCTAATGCTGCAAACACAGACGCTGCAATTTCAGCACCACGGACAGCACCAGAGTCAAAGTGGTGCTAGAATAGATACATTTTGAACACTGTTGTGCTCATGAGAGGAATGAGGGGAAATGCTACTGTGTATCGTTCACTTTTCCCAGACAATGTTGTTGAAACCCAAATAGCTTGTTTTTATATTTTTCATTTGACATTAACAAAAGTGCTTGTCATGTATTGCCTTGTACCATCAGTGTATTGTAATGACATTTTCCCACTGAGGGACAAAAAAAAGTTATATCTTATCTGTTGAAACTTACTACATGGTATTTTTCTTATTTTGTAACGTATTGTATTGTGTGTCTTGTTTACTTGAGTTGGGACAGATGCAGAAAACATAGACATACCAAAAGTCCAAATAGAAGCTAATTCTCTGCACTTGTCTCTAGAATTTGACATTTGTGTGAGAGAGGAATGGGATAATATATATATACGTTTGCTTCATCCAATCCCTTGTAAACCCTGGACCTGTATTATATTGTATTGTGTTTTTTTCTCAGTGAATAATTGTCGCGACGTGCGCAGGTTTGAAAGTTATATAAATCCTTCACACTTCACCTTCCAGAGATTTATAGTTTCTACACTCAACACTCCCACTTTCTATTATACAAGAACCATCCCATTATGGAATATAAACATAAAGATAAAGATACAGAGAGTTGAAACAGCGAGTTTACAGGAAGGCGGTCCGCAAGCACAGGTATCACAGAGGGTTCTTGGAATGATTATCAAGTCATTTTTACTTGGTTTAGGTGTGCTACCACGACATCATTCTCAAGCTAATTCTAAAAAAACAACCATATAATTAATTTCAAGTTTCTATAATTTCTTTGCCATTTGCAGTAAAACCACATGCAAGACTGTGCAAGACTACCCCAGTGTGCACCAGAGCACACACCAGAGCTCCTGCCTGCATTTAATTATTATCATCATATCAATTATAAAAACTGAGGCCATAAGGCAATCAGTAATCATTTTTAAGTCTGCAAAAACAATAATTTTTGTCCAGTGCATGTACAGTACAGATTAGAGAAATCTAAAGCTCAAGTGAAATAAAGCATCCGTTGGTCAAAATACCAACGTTATGTAAAGAAAAAACCATAATGAAATAACCTCATGCAAAAGATGAGCATTCCCGTTTCAGAAAATCATATATTGGTCTAATATTCCAATTCATTATTCACCCACCACCACCAACCATTCACACACAAACACACACCAGACTCATTCTAGACAATGTAGGTGAAGTGTCTTGCCGCAGGACACTACAACAGTTTCACACTAACCCTACAGCTGCAGCCGCCCCACTGTGCCACCGGGTGTTTCTTTCCCAGACGTCTCCCATCACAGTACTAACCAGGCCCTGCCCTGCTGAGCTTCAGAGGTCTGATGAGAATCTTATTTGTGTAGCACAATTCAGACACAAGGCAAAAAGTTGTGGCCCTCAAACCATCGTGAGTTTGACGCTTGGTGCCTGAGAACGGAGACACACGGAGGTTCTGAACTCACCGGTCGTCGTTGGGGAAGCTTTGGTCTCCGAGCAGCAGATCCCGGAAGCGAAACCGCGGCGGCAGCGGCGGCACCTCGCTCTCCACCGGCTCCATCTTCACACCAGAGCTGTTCAGGACGAGCCCAGTGTTCCTCTGAGCCGAGGAGGAGCTGCAGCACACACACACATACACACACACACAGTATCAGGACACACACTATCAACACACACAGTATCAGGACATACACTATCAACACACACAGTATCAGGACATACACTATCAACACACGCAGTATCAACACACACAGACAAACACACACACACACACAGTATCAGGACACACACTATCAACACACACAGTATCAGGACATACACTATCAACACACACAGTATCAACACACATAGTATCAGGACATACACTATCAACACACACACACACACAGTATCAGGACACACACTATCAACACACACAGACAAACACACACAGTATCAGGACACACACTATCAACACACAGAGACAAACACACACACTATCAACACACATAGACAAACACAAATACACACACTATCAACACACACACAGACAAACACACACACACACACTATCAACACACACATTATCGGGACACACACCATCAACACATACACTATAAACACACACACAATCAAACATGCCGTATCCAACTACTACTCAAAGAAATGCATAAAGTCCTATATGAGTACAGGGACTGGCCTCCAGCTCTGACTCTGAGGAGCACAGGGAGTGGCCTCCTGCTGGGACTCTGAGGAGCACAGGGAGTGGCCTCCTGCTCTGACTCTGAGGAGTAAGTAAGTAATCTTTATTTATATACCGCCTTTCACAGACCAGAGTCACAAAGCGGTTTACAATTGTTATTATTTTTGGGCATTTATCTCTCACTCCACACAGAAATGGGAGCGGGGTCGCCAGTACAGGAGGCGCATGCCAGACCTATTGTGCATGTTTTTAGTGGTAGGGGAAACCGGAGTACCCGGAGGAAACCTACGCAGACACGGGGAGAACATGCAAACTCCACTCAGAAAGGCCCCGGTCCGGCCGGGATTCGAACCCAGGACCTTCTTGCTGAGAGGCGAGAGTGCTATCCACTCAGCCACCGTGCCGCCCACGGTAGCACAGGGACTGGCCTCCAGCTCTGACTCTGAGGAGCACAGGGACTGGCCTCCTGCTGGGATGCTGAGGAGCACAGGGACTGGCCTCCTGCTCTGACTCTGAGGAACACAGGGACTGGCCTCCTGCTGGGATGCTGAGGAGCACAGGGACTGGCCTCCTGCTCTGACTCTGAGGAACACAGGGACTGGCCTCTTGCTCTGATTCTGAGGAGCACAGGGACTGGCCTCTTGCTCTGATTCTGAGGAGCACAGGGACTGGCCTCTTGCTGGGACTCTGAGGAGCACAGGGACTGGCCTCCTGCTCTGACTCTGAGGAGCACAGGGACTGGGCTCTTGCTGGAACTCTGAGGAGCACAGGGACTGGCCTCCTGCTGGTCCCACTGTTTGTTACCAGAACAAAATTAATAATGACTTTCTACTTTTCTACTTGAATTTCATGTAACTATATCTGATCTGATCATGTTTTAGAATACATGAAATGGCATTGGTTGTTCAGATGAGGTATAACATGCCATGGTAGCCACTTGAACATATCACCATCAATGCTGCAACGTAATCACAACAACTAAACTATGAGGTGGTCTTTTTGAGCGTTACCATGGCAATAAAACAAGGAAATGTAGGAGCAAAGATGGGATGGATATCAGCGGAAGCAATGGAGTAAGAGAGAAACGCAAAAATTCTCTGTAATACACTGTAAAACACACAATATAACGGTTTTATATTAGATTTATATTTATACTATATATTTATACACACAAGTAAGAAGTAAGTATGTCTTTGCACTGGAATTTATACCATTTATGTGCTTGCGTTTTAATATATTTGTTGTTCTTTAGCTAACGATGAAGGGGTTATTAAAGCATACAATAAAATGTGGACATATACAAAACAATCATTTGTGTGTGTGTTGTGTGTCTCTTCATTCCAACTATTTTGTAACTTGTGATGCAACACTGAAATCTACTTTTTTCACTATTGTGTCGTCACTTTTTTCCCATTACACATACAAAGTAACGAGACACATTTTACCAACTTTATCCTTTTTTTCCCCCACTATGCTCCTCTTGTGCCAAAAAGGTCTTTCTTAATCTTAATCTTAAACATAAATATGAATAAAATCAATAATACACAAGCTCATTCAAATAATAAATTAATCTTTTAGTAGATTTCAGATGAATGGACTTGGTAGAAGAATGTAAGAATTTGATAAAACTTTAAATTATCCATGCTTTGAGTGAGTTAGATATTTACCTGGGTAATTTCATGATGGCGTTTTATTTTATAAAGGACACAGCCTGGGTGCAGAGAGAATGAAAAAGCACTTTTCTACAAAGCCTGAACGAGAAAAGCACAACACACAAAATACATTACAGCTGCTTTTATGGAATCTGTTCATTAAATACAAGATCATTTAGCAGCGAAGTGAAAGGGGAAAAAACACAAAAAATAGCCACGCACAAATCTGCATAAATAAATAAACAAATGGCAAAGTAAAAAGGCTTATTGATAGACTTGGTTGGTCTTACCGCGGCTTGTGCTGGTTCACGGTCCCATCATCGTTGACAAAAGACTGGTTCACGTAACATTCACTGCACATTTTGCCCGGAGAGCCGCTGCTGACCTCCGGGTGCACAGCTGCAGTCGTGGGCGAGGGATTCCCCAGGTCCAAGTCTTCTGGCATCGGACTGAGCGGGTCTCACCTACGGGCGCAGGTACGGGTCACCTCCGGACCGAGCGCATCGCAGAATCCTGGTCCCTGGATGTGGAATCAATCTGCTGCTAAAGTTTCAGAGAGAAAATTGAACTTCTGGAGTCGTTCTTTGCCGATGCAGACTCTCCAGACTAGAGGATTTTTTTTCCGACAGGTATTTGAGAGATGCAAGTAACTGTTGAGTTATGTCCAACTCCTCGTCAGAAGAGGAAGAGACTGGCGCCCCCTGCCGTCACGCAGCGGGACCTCACGCTGCGGATGAATAACTCGCATGGATATCTCTTTACAAAGGCTCAACATTTTTATATATTAATTTTTTTGTTTATCTACCTATCTACACATACAGATATATACCTACAAACACAAAACCACAGTTTAAAATAAAAATATTCAAATAAATATTGGAAAAAATAAACAAAAAGAGGAGCATTATCTTTAAGAGCAGGTCAATTTGAGTCTATTGTTAATTGCTTGGGAACAAAACACATTACCTAGAGCAGGTCATGAGAGGTTTAAATCAATTTGGACCATAGTGGATAATTTATAGTTTATAATTTATGAATATTTTTTTTAACTGCTTGTTTTAAACTTTACATGTTGTATTTTACTGTTCCACATTGACTTTGTTTTCTACTGCTTTTTTATTTATTTCTATCTACTGTTAATTACTGTTTTATTGGCTATTTTTATTGATTATGTAAAATCTGTTTTTCTATAAATAAAGATGTATTATTTATCTATTTAATTTCTGCATTTGCAAGGACTACCATGGAACAGATGTGTGTTTGTATGGTGTTGGATTATTGACCTAAAAATATTTATAATTTAAAAACAAGACATTTTGAGATAATTAAAAACAGTATTTAAGTAATAATAATACATGAGTGTAAAATTGTTGATGTTGTGAATAGGACAATGAGTTACCTGATGCGGTCTGTGGTGAGGGGCGATGTTGGAAGTGAGTTCAAGAGGGACAAAACATACATGATTTTTTACCCCCTTCTCTTCCTGTTTGTTCATAGCACATGGATGCATATAAATAAAACCTATATAATGCACATATGACTTTACAAAATGAACACAAGAGATATAAGGAGAATTCTTATGGTTTGTCAGTGTTTGCACCGGCCTCACATCCTACATTCGAGATTTAACACATAATATTGTTGATAAAGGTGCCAATGGCCGCGATGCCCTGGAAATATCTGGAGATGGGTGTCTGTAGAAGAAATGGGTGATGATTGACTGCTGGCTGTTTGAAACGATCTGTTTCTTGTTATTTATTTATTATTAGGGAAATGTGGTATGTGGGCGGTGTTATGAATCATCAGTGAGAGAGTGACCCAAGGTTGAGAAAAGGTTCCAGTGCATTAGTCGCTCCACAGTCGAAACAGTTAATGGGAAAAATGTACTGCAAAAATATTTCACAGAAGACTAATATTTTGTAATGATTAGCACTGAAAGAACATGAATATTCCGACAGATTATTATTATTATTCATACAATGTTTCATGGAGAAAAGTTTGTTTTTTGTTTCGGTGATAGGCACATGATGCACTATTTTTGAACTCACAACTGGACATATGCAAGGCAAGTTTTTTGTATAGCCAAGTTTACACACAAGACTAGAGTTTTGACCAAGAAAAAAGAAATTGAAATCATAATCACAGTACATTCAAATAGATGAGATACAATCCTCCAGTTGTTTGCACAGCTAAACAGAACTGTTTTAAAGCTGGATTTTAACATTGTCAGAGAAGACAATCTCACGATTTAGATTTTAACAGCATAAATCTGAAACACTGCCTCCCTGTTTAGTCCTGATTCTGGCACCAGCAGGGGGCCAGTCCCTGTGCTCCTCCGAGTCCGAGTTGACTCATATGGCACTAACATGTCACAGATGACTTGAAACAAACAGAGCTGATTTAAAGTCTATTTTCTGAGCCACATGAAACTAGTGCAGAGACCTGAGAACTGGACTAATGTGATCATACTTTCTGGTTTCTATTCAGGACTCAAGCTGCAGCTGTCCATTGCCAATTGAATTTTAAACTTCGTGTTTACAAAAATGATTTTAAACATTGAACCAATCTATTGACCCATTGAACACGTACTTTGTCAACAGAATATTCACAAGTTAAAGGAGAAAAAAGACGGTCCAAGGCACAACCGACTTTAAAGTATTAAAGTAAAAATCAGGTGAAGATTGAAGTGGTCGAAACGCATCTCCGGATATGGCGTCCAGATGATAAAGGATTTTTACTTTAAAGTCAGTTGAGCCTTGGACCGTCTTTTTTCCCCTTTAATATAAACCTTTTTGCGATTTAATGACCACCTGTCCATCTATACCCTACTATGGGAATAAGAAACACTGATACAACTTCCTTCTTATCTGTTTATTATTCGAATGCAAATGACAAAATGACAAATGAGAAAACTGTCAGGATACAAGATGGTGGCAGTGACGCACATGGACAAACTTGTGATGAATGTATTTTGTGGTTCGCTAGTTAGCACCTTCTGTGCCAACCGCAGCCACAGCGGTGACATAGTACGGTCCTTCTCTCAAATACGTCTTCAATCGCAAACAGTTCTGGCTGCCGAGGATTTCTGTCGCTGATGATGAACTTACAAGCTCCCCCACCAGTTCAAACTTTGCATCTTTGGCGTCCTTGCTTCGACTTGTGGAGCGATCCAAAACAAACTCCATGAATCCTGGAGTGCTCATCATTAACCTCTGGCCCCACGGTTGAGAAGCAATGGCCTAAAACACAGGAACGTTTCATTATCAGATGGAAAGAACATGGCGGATGCATCTAAGGCCCTGTCCACACGAAGTCAAGCTCAGGCCTAAACGCAAAAATACTTTATCAATCCAGTGTATCGTCCATACGAGGCCAGCGTTTTGGGGGGGTGTAAACGAACATTTTTGAAACTAGGTCCCAGAGTGGAAAGATTTCAAAACTCCGTATATGCCGCTCCGTGGTTACTGCCTCTCCGCAATGTATCTGAGACGCTTGCGTCATCGCCCCGCCTCTTGTTAAAGCACGCATGCGCCGCACTCAGAAAATAATGACAACAACAATGTAGCTTGTTGGTTTTGTAATCCAGTGTGACCCGAAGCAACAGTTCAACCTCATCGTCCGTCCATACTAATGTAGTACCAGCTCGCCCACTCGCCATGTTGTCTGTTTACAAAATTCCGCGCATGCCCACGGAAGTTTGGGCTTGATCCCGTCATTGCGTCACAGCGCCACCAACAGGTCTGGCATAGTTTCACAGCGTTTTCAGGCGTATTGACTACATTCATATGGACGCACACATTTACTGAGCTAACTCCGTGTTTACAGAAAAAGTTTCTGAAATTATAAGCGTTTTGTCTTCGTGTGGATATAGCCTAAGACAGGGGTGTTGAACCAGTCCTCAAAGGGCCTGGTGTGGCTGCAGGTTTTCATTCCAACCGAGCAGGAGCACACCAAGGTAAAAGGTAAAGGTGCACCTTAATAATCCCTGTAGGGCAATTCATCCTCTGCCTTTGACCCATTCTGATGCCACTAAGGTTTGTGTCAGAAGCAGTGGTCGCCGTTAAATAGCGCCCAGGAACCCATCTCCAGAGTACACTAGACTTCGCCCACTTCCTCAAAGGGGTCCAGTCTTGACCTGAAGGTTTGAGGAAATGGAAGCAGTCAGGCGGGGCCCCTGCTTATTTAAAATGTTTAACCTTCGAGTTATCTTCGGGTCAAAATGTCCCACCACAGTGATGAAAAGTAGAAGAAAAGTTCCGTATATAGTATGGGCTGAAAGGGTCTAAATGTCCCAGGACCGATAAGATTATCAAAATTCAACTCCAGGGTATTTTTTTAATCACTGGTGTGGCAATTTGAGCAGAGGATAGTACAAGAGTTAATTAATGTACATATAATTAAAAAAGAAAACCTTGTGATAAATTAATTATGGACTAATTATATTTCCATGATCAGCATTGGAATTTAATGCCCCCTCCCACCACAATCTCTAGTTATGAGGGAAATGTTCTCAGGTGCTCTTTGAATACCGCCAATGTTTCACTAGAGACACGACCTCTGCATAATGTGGGCACTGGGCACTGTCCCATCTGGAAATGCACTCGGTACGGTCCCAGCGCTGCAGGCGAGAGTCCAAAGCGCAAAGTTATGCCGAGTTTGCTTTGTTGGATTAAAAACCTGCAGCCACAGCAGCCCTTTCTGGAACCAGTTTGAGACCCTTGATCCATGACAGAAGAAGAAAACGACTCTTACAGTGAATATGCGGAGGGCACAGCAGTGTAGCTCGGGGAACGGCTGCGTGCTGATCTTATGAATCATGTCCATGGGGTGGTTTGACAAAAGCAGGAACCAGGACTCAGTCAGGGCCAGGAGGTCGTCTGTCTGTTGCTCTGGCTGCAATAACGCATCAGTAGCACAAGCAAAAACAATTACACCACAACAAAAGTGACAGCAATTATACATAATTATAGTTCAAACGAGTACCTGCAGAGAGAGCAGCTGGGATATCGCTTCAAGGCTTCGAACTCTGAGCTCTGTCGCACCAATACTCGCATGATGGCTTATTCTTACCAACACAGACTTGAATTTTTCCCCTATGAAAACATTTAAAGCAGTAAAAAAAGGTGATGGAAATGTTGTAATACGTTTGTAATACGTTTAAAATACCTGTTTTTTGCAGGACCTGTTTGCCTTCAACTGTAGAGCCAAGCAAACCCAGCGTGTCCAAACCCACACCGATCATAGCCGGGTCTGAATCCAGGGCCATCTCAAACACCTTGCTCTGAAAAGCCGGGTACGTTTCACAGACCTGCTGCGGACTGTCCATTATGGCCACGTTGCCAAAGAACTTCACCAAACCTATATTTAAAAAATAAATTTTCATAACACTCTAACCCGCAGGAATCGTGCTAAAAACAGCTTTGAGTAAACAAACATTTAAATTCAATTATCTTCCTATAATTCCTAAATCAATTTCTAAACATTTTACCCATTCACAAGTCCATACAGTTTCAGTTTGTACTCATCCGTTCATTTTCTAGTAGGTCTCAAAAACACTAATGCAACTTGTATCCATAGCAACACACATGCTGTATAATACATTATATTATTCATGTGATAGTAAACAACATTAATACCTTTCAGATTGTTTGTTTATTGGTTCAGACTTTTGAGTTCATTGTGTTGCAAAATGTTTATACATTGTGTTAAAAATACATTGTGTGTTTAAATGTTCGCATTTAATGAAATTTCCCCACTCTGGGTCAAATAAAGGATCTCTTAATCTGAATCTTAACATCCTTATATACAGTATGAGGGCCGCCATTGTTCTCCTCTCAGTCCTCTGCCGCCACCTTGCATATCCCACTTGGTTTTTACTTACTTTATTCATCATTGTTCTTTTCTGATTCTGTATGAATCTATGACACTAGGGCTCATTGTAATATATTTAGCATTGAAATTGAAGAGTATTCAAAATCAAAAAGTATATCAAATCATATCTGTGTAATTCCATATTCAGTCCAACCAGAAGGATCTGTACTCTGCCCAGAGGGAAAAACGTGCTCCCATGAAAGGCCTCGCTCCAGCTCCAAGTTAACTCTTCGCATTAATTTTCTTTGAGCAAAAATGGATGAACATGGCTGCTAAATCCCCCTTGTGTCACATATTCAAAGAAGCCAAGTCAAGTCTCGGGTGCAAGACAGTACAAGTGACTCAAACATGTATGAAAAGCTCCAAGAAAAGTTTGAGAAATCTTTTAATAATAAACACTCACCTGGAAGGTAAAGAGAAGAGAATGGATCCGTTTCTGCTCCCCTGATCATGTTGGAGATCTGGTCCATTATTCCTTCATGTGTCAAAAACTGCCGGCCGTGAAGGCTCTGTGCCAAGGTTGTCACCATTTCAACAGCAGTCACTCTAAAAACCATAACCAAGAAGTGGTTAAATAACACACTGAAATTCAAAGACTCCTCCTACTTTGTCTGTCATCCTTATGACTGTAGTCTGTTCATTGCTATTCACCCGCTAGACTCGTGAGCTGCGTCCCCGCCTGAGAGCCTCTTCAGTCCTGCACCTCGTGGCCTCAGTCCTGGGGCTCTACAGCCTCAGTCCTGGGGATCTACAGCCTCAGTCCTGGGGATCTACAGCCTCAGTCCTGGGGATCTACAGCCTCAGTCCTGGGGCTCTACAGCCTCAGTCCTGGGTATGGCTGGGCAATAAATCGAATTTTGGCAATTAATCGGCTTTTGAAAAAATCGAATTTGTGAAAAATGTGAAAATCGTGAAATCGAATGAGGGATATTGTGAGAGTTCCAGCTGCACATCAATTATACTTGCGATATCAGCAAAGTCTGTACAAGACTTTTATAATATGTATTGGGGGAAACAAATAAAAAATAGTTTTGAAACTTAAATATTGAGCGAGAAGATAAAAATATTTTAAGGGAAAAGTCTGTCTTTATTGAAAATCGATTTAAAATCGACATCGTCCAAAGCAGGAAATAAAATCGAGATTTTACTTTTTTGCCATATCGCCCAGCCCTAGTCCTGGGGCTCTACAGCCTCAGTCCTGGGGCTCTACAGCCTCAGTCCTGGGGATCTACAGCCTCAGTCCTGGGGATCTACAGCCTCAGTCCTGGGGATCTACAGCCTCAGTCCTGGGGATCTACAGCCTCAGTCCTGGAGCTCTACAGCCTCAGTCCTGGGGATCTACGGAGGAAGCTCATTTCGACCGCTTGTATCCGCGATCTCGTAGCTGAGGGAGGGAACGAAGATTGACCGGTAAATTTCGGCTCAGCTCCCTCTTTACCACAACGGTACGATACAGCAACCGCATTACTGCGCACGCTGCGCCGATCCGCCTGTCAATCTCACGCTCCATTCTTCCCTCACTCGTGAACAAGACCCCGAGATACTTGAACTCCTCCACTTGAGGAAGGACCTCTCCACCCACCTGTAGAGGGCAAGGCACCTTTTTCCGGTCGAGCACCATGGCCTCAGATTTGGAGGTGCTGATTCTCATCCCAGCCGCTTCGCACTCGGCTGCAAACCGCCCCAGTGCATGCTGCAGGTCCTGGTTCGTTGGAGCCAACAGGACAGCATCGTCTGCAAACAGCAGAGATGAAATCCTGTGGTCTCCGAACCGGACCCCCTCCGACCCCTGGCTGCGCCTAGAAATTCTGTCCATAAACACAGTGAACAGAACCGGTGACAAAGGGCAGCTCTGTCGGAGGCCAACATTCACCGGGAACAGGTCTGACTTACTGCCGGCAATGCGAACACAGCTCTGGCTCCGGTCATACAGGGATCGGATGGCCCTCAGCAGAAGACCCCCGACCCCGTACTCCCGGAGAACCCCCCAAAGGACACCCCGGGGAACACAGTCGAACGCCTTCTCCAAATCCACAAAGCACATGTGGACAGGTTGGGCGAACTCCCATGAACCCTCGAGTATCCGATGGAGAGTATAGAGCTGGTCCAGTGTTCCGCGACCGGGACGAAAACCACACTGCTCCTCCTGAATCCAAGATTCGACCATCGACCGTAGCCTCCTCTCCAGTACCTTGGAGTAGACCTTACCGGGGAGGCTGAGGAGTGTGATCCCACGATAATTGGAACACACCCTCCGGTCCCCCTTCTTGTAGAGAGGGACCACCACCCCGGTCTGCCACTCCATTGGCACCGCCCCCGATCGCCACGCGATGTTGCAGAGACGTGTCAGCCAAGACAGTCCTACAACATCCAGAGACTTTAGATAGTCAGGACGGATCTCATCCACACCCGGAGCTGCCAACCACCTTGGTGACCTCAGCCAGGGAGATGGATGTATCCGCCCCAACATCCTCAGCCTCTGCAACGGAGGACGTGACGGGGGATTGAGGAGAACCTCGAAGTATTCCTTCCACCGCCCGACAATATCCTCAGTCGAGGTCAGTAGCTCTCCACCCGCACCGTACATGGTGTTGGCAAAGAACTGCTTCCCCCTCCTGAGGCGCCGGATGGTTTGCCAGAATCTCTTCGAGGCCGACCGATAGTCATGCTCCATGGACTCTCCGAACTCCTCCCAGTCCCGGGTTTTTGCCTCTGCAACAGCCCGGGCCGCGGCACGTTTGGCCTGCCGGTACTGGACAGCTGCCTCAGGAGTCCCCCGAACCATCATGGCTCGATAGGACTCCTTCAGCCTGACAGCATCCCTTACTGCCGGTGTCCACCACCGGGTTCGGGGGTTGCTGCCGGGACCAGCACCAGAGACCCTGCGACCACAGCTACGAGCCGCCGCATCGGTGATTGAGGCAGAGAACAAGGTCCACTCGGACTCCATGTCCCCCTCCTCCGCCGAGACCTGGGAGAAGCTCTCCCGGAGGTGTGAGTTGAAAGTCCGTCTGACAGGGGGCTCGGCAAGACGTTCCCAGCAGACCCTCACTATACGCTTGGGTCGGCCAGGTCTGACCGGCTTCTTCCCCTGCCAGCGGATCCAACTCACGACCAGGTGATGATCGGTTGACAGCTCCGCCCCTCTCTTTACTCGAGTGTCCGAGACACGCGGTCGAAGGTCAGATGATACGACAACAAAGTCGATCATCGACCTCCGGCCTAGGGTGTCCTGGTGCCACGTGCACTGGTGGACACCCTTGTGCTCGAACATGGTGTTCGTGATGGACGAACTGTGACTGGCACAGAAGTCCAACAACTGAACACCGCTCGGGTTCAGATCAGGGGGGCCGTTCTTCCCAATCACCCCTCTTCAAGTGTCACTGGCGTTTCCCACATGGGCGTTGAAGTCCCCCAGGAGAATAACGGAGTCCCCGGGCGGTGCACCGTCCAGTACCCCTCCCAAGGACTCCAAGAAGGCCGGGTACTCTGCACTGCTGTTAGGCCCGTAGGCCGTCACAACAATGAGAGACTTGTCCCCCACCCGGAGGCGGAGGGACGCGACCCTCTCATTCACCGGGAAGAACTCCAACACGTGGCGGCTGGGATGGGGGGAATGAGAATGGCCACCCCAGCTCGCCGCCTCTCCCCGCGGGAAACACCAGAAAAGTGGAGCGTCCAACCCCTCTCAAGGAGTTGGGTTCCAGAGCCCAAGCTGTGTGTGGAGGTGAGGCCGACTATCTCTAGTCTCGCTCGACCTCCCCCACGAGCTCGGGCTCCTTCCCCCCCAGTGAGGTGACGTTCCACGTCCCAAGAGCCAGATGTTGTGTGTGCGGACTGGGTCGCCGAGGTTTCCGCTTTCGACTGCCGCCCAGTCCTTTTATCACCGCGCCACCACGGACCCCTCTGCAGGTGGTGGGCCCACAGGAGGGACTGCCCACGTCGTCCCTTCGGGCTGAGCCCGGCCGGGCCCCGTGGGCTAAGGCCCGGCCACCAGGCGCTCGCTTGCGAGCCCCGACCCCAGGCCTGGCTCCAGGGTGGGGCCCCGGCTACGCCATGCCGGGCGACGTCACGGTTTTAATATAGCCTATTTAGAGCTATACAAAAATACATTTAAGTTGAATTGAATGAAACATCTACCTAATCAACACGTCCTCTCCAGTCAGTTCATCGAGCAGTCGTGAGATGAGGCCACTGTTGACGCAATATCCGAAGGAAACGGGAGAAAAAGATGAGACTCCTACAACCAACTGCATGCAAACAGAAAAATCAAATTGATCTTAAACAATTAGGAGACTATTGCCATTTTCACACATATCACTGATTTTCTCTTTTCCCCATGCTCTGTACACCCCACATACACCATAAGGAAGTTGGCTCCAGCTAGCTTATGTTCAAATCAGCTTCTTCCACATTCAGGCTAACACTATGCTAACACTCCGAATATACGGTCTATGTCTAAAACACTAAAGAAATCTCACCTCATATATTCTGTATCTGACAACATCACTGACCCCCATCACGTCTTTTATAGTTTTCAAGAGATCGGATTGAAACAGTTTATCCAAACCAGCTTTGGAATGACTCAGTTTAGACAACGACTGAATAGCCTGAAAACAACAAAAATCAGCAATAGTGAAAAAAATAATACAATACAAGTACAATTGCTGACAGGTTTTCTAACGATCACCTGTTTAGCCACTGAAATCTTCTCCTCCCCAATGGAGTTGATGACCGCACAGAGGAGGTCATAGTTGTTCAGGATTTGAGTGACAGCTTCTGGATGTTCCACAATTCTCCCAATCTAAAAACAAAACATGATTGGTTTTCATTCAGCAAAACAATTGGTTTTATTTGAAAGAATATGCTTGTCTAATTTGTACCTGTGTCAAGGCCAGTATTTTAACAGCTTCACTGTTGTGCTGCAGGCCGCCCTGTAGCTCTGCTCTGTAGTTAGTGGCCACATGAACTGGACTTAAAGCCGTTAATATTCGCTCTAGGATCTCCACACATAGCTCAATCTGTTCCCTATCAAGCAGAAGATACACGGTTAGAAAACACACGGTTGAATCGAATTGTATGATGAAATATAAGGACTAAATCCAAAGCGGTTAACAGATGTAAAAGTATTTTGAAAGGGGAAAGGTTTTCACAATTTGTTGACTGTTATGTGAACTTTAGGTCCTCCTCATTTGGTCTTGCAGGAGTGAAGCTCAATCAAGTCTGCTGTCAATAATCAGATGTAAATAATTGTGTGTTGAAGATATTGTATCTTTGTTGTTAGAGGTGTATCTTACCTATATTTTAAATGCTAACTATGCCAATCAATATATGAATTATTTGCACACTGTAAACGTCACACGTTTATTTAATTTAGTATTAAGAGTTATTATTCACTTGTCTTGTGTGCTCCTTCTGCCTCGGGACTATGAATGAACACTACATCTATTGTGCGATGTCCCTGTCAAAAAAACAACTGAATAAAATACATTATGAAAGCAAAAACTTAGCGTTATAGCTACTTCTCAAACATGCACATGCAATCCACCAATCAATATACAACCAATCCACCAATCAATATACACCACCAATCCTGAAATATATTGCACATTTAAACGACTATTTTTAATTCAAGGCGTCATGACAAAGACAGCCCCACTGACTCAGCATCCTGATCATAATAGACACTTACTAGCTTGTTTACTAGCATAGCATACCGGGAGTTTGAGTTGAGCAGAGTAAAGATGACCCCCAGGCGCTGCCCGCTCACAGAGTCCCTGACAGCGGAGAGAGGGACAGAGAAGAGGGCAGTCTTTAGCCTCTGCAGCGGCTCCACAGGGTCCTCCACACGGGACACTTCACTCAGTAAACTCTCGATGGACGCGGCGGCCATGATGAGCGCGCGAGTGTCAAACTGCTTCTTCACTGAGAGGCTGGGGCTGGCGTTGCTTTGGCGCCATCGCGTGGACAAATGAGGTATGATAAAATAAAAATAAACGTTGTTGGTTAAGATTAAGATCTTGTATTCGTCCCACAGTGGGGAAATTTCAGTGTTGCATTACCAGTAAGAGAACAGTAGGAATGAGGAGCATACAGCACAAAATAAGTGAACAATAACTCTATACTAACATAAAATACAATCTCAAGCTATAGCAAAATAATGAAGCAAGTATAAAATCTCTGGCTTTTGCATAATAAGGCAACTAGTTCAAAACATCTGGCTTTAGCAAAATGAAGAAGCAAGAAATAGGACCATTGATCGATTATAGATTAGGACTCAATGAAGATAGGTACATGTTACATTTCAATTACTTCAATAAGATCCCTCAGGGTGTGCAAACAGACAATAGAAATGTGAAAAAAGTGAAAAAATATAAGGTATTGTATGTACAACGGTGAACTCACACAAATTGAATTACACACACACACAAACACACGTACACAATATAACATTACTAATAATGAATGAAGGACTTTGTCTGGGGGAAGTGTGCCCCAGGGTATGCACATTATACCTTCTTTCTGTGTTGAATTAGAATGATCTAGAAATCTCTGATTAATGCTCAAAGATAGCGTTGCAGCGCCAAAGTTTTTAGGATTACCCTTTCATATAAACAACTGTAAAACAACGTATCTTAAACCTAGACGAGTACAAAAGGTGAAATCTGGTTCAAACTCAGAGCCACTGAGTGATTTATTACAAGCGGCTTGTACGAGTCACTTTACGGATGGCGTTGGGTGGAGACGCGCCCTGTAATAGATTCAAGCACTTGTCATTATGGGCTTGTTCTGCAAAACACGGATGAGTTCTCCTGTGGTCGTGTTGTGCCTTTCATACGCACAGCCGCTCCCAGATGCAAACATCTGCGAACATTCAAGGAGGTCAATATTTCTCTCATCTTATGGTGAAATAACATGAGCGTCTTAGATAAATAGTTATTTACAAATGTATTCATGGGTTTCAGCAAATGCACCAATACGATTTGAGTACGTATACAAGTATTTTCAGTAATTGCCAATAGCAACAGTTTTTCTCAGTCACACTCTTTTGAACAAATGTCAAATGCTTTTGACTGCTGTACATGTCACATTTGCTCTGTGCCTAATGTGACATGTACATTTCTCCAATGTGAGATCAATAAAGTTAGTCTTATATATCTTATTAGACCCCTCAGTACTATTCTAGAACTTTGTATGAGTTCTAGAATAGTAACCACTTTCTAGAACAAGTTCCACAATTCTATAGTGTTACTAGGTTACCATGGTTGCTATGGAAATAGAATTCTTTGACATCATCAAAGAATTCCTCTATTTTACTGGCTAGGGTTTTGTCAAAGTCCAATAACTCATACCTTTCTGAGAGGAGGCCTTTTTTGGAAAATAAATTATTGCAGAGATCAACTCAGCGACTTACGAATCCAAGTAACATGGAAAAGCCTATTGAAGTCCACAAGACTGACCTGGAGATTCTGCATGAACTGGCAGAACTCCATGGGAAACTTGTACTTTTTAATGAAATGGGAGAGGAGGGTCCAGCACATAAGCCCACTTTCCAGATAGAAGTGCGAGTGGGAGACTTGGTCGGCTTCGGCTCCGGCCCCACCAAGAAAAAGGCGCGGGTACACGCAGCTAAAGAGGTCGTGAAGGCGTTGTCCAAGCTCCCACCGCCACAGGGAAAAACTCCATATTGGTGCAAACCCCACGCGGACCTTATGGACCCTGAAGAGCGCAAGTACTTCTTCCACAATAAAAACCCGATCACCGCGCTCACAGAAGTTCTCATGATTAGGAAACAACCCGCGGCGAGTTTTAAGGTTGTCAACCTTGAACATACCCATGACAGGGATTATACGGTTGTGTATTGTATGGAGGTGACAGCTGGGAACTTGTCTTGTCAAGCTTTCGCCCCCAACAAGAAAGAGGCCAAGGTCATGGCGGCAGAGAGAATGTTGGAGATGATGGGATTCAAAGATCAGCTCCAGATGCAGAACCCACCGATGCAGCCGTATGAGAGCCAGATTTTCCAACAGAAAGTCTATGAAGAGCAAGCAAAACAGCTGCGACAGCACCAAAAGGCTGTAAAGGCTCTGCAACGTCTCACAGCTACAGAAGAGACAGTAGAGGAACTCAAACCAGAAGAGACGGTAGAGGAACTCAGACCAGAAGAGACGGTGGAGGACCTAAAACCAGAAGAGACGGTAGCGGACCTCAAACCAGAAGAGACGGCAGAGGAACTGAAACCAGAAGAGACGATAGCGGAACTCAAACCAGAAGAGACGTTAGAGAAACTCACACCAGAAGAGACGGTAGAGGAACTCAAACCAAAAGAGACGGTAGCGGAACTCAGACCAGAAGAGACGCGAGAGGAACTCAAACCAGAAGAGATGGTAGAGGAACTCAAACCAGAAGAGACGCGAAAGGAACTCAAACCAGAAGAGATGGTAGAGGAACTCAAACCAGAAGAGACGGTAGAGGAACTCAAACCAAAAGAGACGGTAGCGGAACTCAAACCAGAAGAGACGGTAGCGGAACTCAGACCAGAAGAGATGGAGGACCTCAAACCAGAAGAGACGGTAGAGGAACTCAGACCAGAAGAGACGCGAGAGGAACTCAAACCAGAAGAGACGGTACAGGAACTCAAACCAGAAGAGATGGTAGAGGAACTCAAACCAGAAGAGACGGTAGAGGAACTCAAACCAAAAGAGACGGTAGCGGAACTCAAACCAGAAAGGATGGAGGACCTCAAACCAGAAGAGACGGTAGAGGAACTCAGACCAGAAGAGACGCGAGAGGCACTCAAACCAGAAGAGACGCAAGAGGAACTCAAACCAGAAGAGACGGTAGAGGAACTCAAACCAGAAGAGACGGTAGAGGAACTCAAACCAGAAGAGACGGTAGAGGAACTCAGACCAGAAGAGACGGTAGCGGAACTCAAACCAGAAGAGACGGTAGAGGAACTCATGCCAGAAGAGGCGGTAGAGGCACTCATACCAGAAGACAGCCAACTGGAAGTCTTACTGTCAGAGATCCAGGAGGCAGCCGTAAAGAAGCAGACCTCCGCAGAAGAGACTGTGGATATTACTCTGGAGGAAACTGAAGAAACACAGTCTGTTGAAAAAGGCACCAGATCTGCTCATCTCATGGCCGCAGCGATGATAAAGAAGTTAATTCAAAAAGCCCACATGGTTCCTGACACTGAGCAGCAGATCCGTCTTGTCCAAATTCTTAGAAAAGTGGAGACTGGGGTTCGGATCCCAGAGGACAGTCAGCTCACAGACAAAGACCTCAAAGCCATCGGGAAAGCGGCCGCCAAAAGCTTACTGCAGGAGTGTGGCTCGGTCTCTGCTCTAAGCGACAATAGTTTCACTGAGGAAACAATGAAGCTGAACCTGAACCTCCAACTCAGGTATTATTTGGCCCATGGTCCTCAGACTAAGCCAAGATGCTTCTTTGCAAGGGTTTGGAAGGTCTTCAGAAGAAACCGGATCAGCTCAGGACCTTTGAGAATGTATTTGTCATCTCCCATCTACTGAACAAAACCAGTAGAGCTTAGATATGACATTATCTAAGACTGGTTGGTTGGGGTGTTTTTTGTTTGTTTGCTTTTTTTTGTTGCTTTTTTTTTTTACATTATTTTGTTTTATGCCAACTGTAATTGATATGAATTTGGATGTTTTTTTTCCAGTAGGTTTGAATTCAACCACAACTGGGAAATATCAATATTGAAGGCTGATAGGTAAAATAATAATAATATTTAAGTAACTAAAACTTCTAAATACATTTTAGTTAACATCTCAGAACCGATACAATAATATGGTTGTTTTCCTGAGACAATAGGCTTTAAAATGAAGTACAACATGCCATAGTAGCCCCTTACCATCGATACAGCAAGTTAATTGAAAATCTTTTCAGGGGCCACTAAATATTGTATCACAGCTCGCGGCCCAGGGGCCTGAGTTTGACCTGTCTGATCTAAGTCTCTAAAACTGCATTCAAAAAATAAGGACTAAAGCAGGTCTTAACCAGGACAAGATATGCGGTGCAGTGGTCTTACACTGAACTGAATATTTGTCCATCCACAATGTTTGAATTTGGCTAATTTGTCTTCACCGCAAATAATATAACAGATTTTTTGATGTGAATAAAAAAATTAAATTAAAACCCTTCCTAAATGCATGGAGTTTATTTTATGGGCATCACATAAACACATTTGTTGAAAACAGGGGTGCCCAAACTTTATCAAACCAAGATCTACAACAACCATCTTTGAAAACATGTGACCATAAGATCCAATGTTCATAATGACAGAAGAAATAAACTTGATACTACTACTGTGTGTGTGCTCCTCATTCGTACTGGTCTGTAGCCGACGATGCAACACTGACATTTCCCCGCTGTGGGACGAATAAAGGATCTCCTTATCTTAACCCTTTAATGTCAGACTGTACAACAAGTTACTTAATGACGAACTGCACTAGGACTACAAACCTTGCACTGCCATAGTCACTTTTTATTTGCACACAAGATGCCATCGATCATTTCATATGTTTTTAAATGTTTGCACATTTCCTGTCTTTTTGCACACCCCGAGTGATCTTAGGATAAATAAATAATTGCGCAGACTGTGGAATAGGTTGTGTGCATGGAAGTAGGCTGTGACAGTAGAACGAGCTGTAGTAAGAAACCTTTCACATTAGAATAAGATAATTATCCATGAGTATTGCTGAAGAAAGTCCATAAGGGTGTGACATGGGTAGTGACTCAGTAGTATGTATTTTGACAGTTCAGTCTATGGATAATACTTATTTCTTAATCGGACAAAAAACAGCTTTATGACCATACAATTATACATATTAGTCATTATTCAATTTTTATATATTTTTGTCTTATCTCAAGTGTATTTGACATAAGTTTGTATATGACTATCCACAGAACACTAGCTGTGGATAGTTCAACCCGTGTTTGTGTGTTTTGTTCACCAGTTAAATACAAATCAAAACATGTTTGTATTTAAATAATTTGTTTTTAATTGTCATTCTCTTGAGTAACGGTCCTCATGCTGGAGAATAGATTCAATAAAGCAAAATTTAAATCAGAACAACAGAAATAACACAGAACTAAACAGGTAACAATAACTGTTATTCTACATGCTATAATGTCTATGACCGGAAGTGAATTTACGTTGTTTAAGTAGCAAATAACTCAATATACATGGCATCGCTTTTATAGTTTTTTCATAGGACTGATGGGGGACAACAACAGTAATGAGAGGACAGTTTCTATACAGTACTTATAGTTATTAAACTAATTTTAGTCTTGTGTGTACAGTCTGCAGAACAGGTCTAAATCTTTCTCCCCTTCAGTTCAAGTTCCTTAAAATTTCAGAAATAGACAGATACTTTATTGATCCCCTTAGGAGAATTTAATGATGTTGTATTTTTCATTGTTTTGAGATAAGATAAACTTTTGTGTATACTTACAACAGGTATGGACCCAGATACATTTCCGTCTGTAGCAGGCAGAAGCATCCTCCAGCATCAGAAGCATCCTCAAAATGCATACAGTTGTGAAATAATCGACTTCCAGGATTTTCTTGATTTGCCGGATGTGTCCCCTTCCAGTGTGTATCTGCCGGACAGCCCACCACCTGCGTCACAAAGAAAGAGATCACACAAAGACCAACTCCTCCTGAACCACCAGAACCGTCAGCTCTGTATCAGCCAGTGCCTCAAAAAGGTACCATTCATGTCACTGTGTGTGCGTGTGTGTGTATGCTTTGTAAATAGATATGAGTTGAATGTAGGTTGGTTCATTTTGGTCATAGCAACAGTTGCTAAGGAGCTTTTTCAGGCTTTTGGAAAAAATAGTCCCTTTCCTTGTCTTTGAGAGTTTAGAGTTGATATGTTTTCATATGTTATGAGTATTTTGACCATGGTAAAAGTAGATTAAATAACTCAGAAACTCCCACTGTTTTTTATTGAATTATTATTTCTCGCTCGCTGATGCAGGAGGGTCTGACGACAGTGATGATCCGGTACATTTATGGACATTGGTCATATTGGTCATCCCGCTCCCTATGAACCAAAGTCTCCTATGTGCTTGGTTATTATTGAATACCCTGTGATCAAGCTGTTTGACTCTCTGATCTGTTGTTGGCGAATCGACAACTTTGTGAAGTTCTGCGAGACACCTGCTGTTGTGATTTAGTGCTACACAAAAATATGTTGAATTGAGTTCATTCTTACATAAATATGCTTCTCTTTCAGATACAAACTCAGCAGAATCCTCCTCAGACTCTGACCGTTTGTGAAATGTTAGTGAGCTATCCACTATACAAAAATGAATAGTCAGATGTGTTAACGTTTTTTTTTATAAAATATTGTTTTTTCCTGCAGAGACGGAAAAGTCCAATATGAGCTACAGACAGAATCCTCCACACTCACATCAAGGGTGACAAATCCGACTTATATCCACAATTAAAAACTAGGTAAAGCTAAAAACAGGTGATAAGAAAAGCCTTGTGTGTTTCAGGGCGGAGAAAAGACAGAAGAGGCCTCCACTGAAAGTTAGTTATACACTTTTGTGTTTCAAACTTTATTTTGTTGTTCTTGCATTTCTCAAACCATTGTTTCAACTTATCCCAGAGACGACCTTTGGGAACGGGCACAAAGCTCCAGGAAACATACCACCAACTGATATCAATCAAATGTTCCAGCTGACCACGCGACCAGAAGGAGTCGGGCAACTTACCTTCATTCAAGAGAAAAGCTAATAATTTAATTAATAATAAATAATTTAATTAAGTCTAATCTACTTTTTTACAGTACTTGGTGGACTACTAAGCACTAGTAGATCCAAGCTATTTTGACAATAAACGTGCTTCCTAATCCTACTAGTACTTGTCAAAAACATGATTTTATTTATACTTTTTGAACCTCAGGGATGCACTAACAATAAAGAAAATACATACATCGGCCGTGTAGCAATATAGATAGATAGATAGATGCTGTAGATTGATACTTCACTGATCCCCGTAGGAGAAATTCAGGTGTCCAGTAGCAGCAAAACATTTTTTTATCATTCTAAAAAGCTAATAATAGTATTAATCAGCCACAGGCCCTCAGGTCGCAACAGCAAAGTTGGAGTGGTCTCTGGGTGGAGCAGGACGGATCACTGTAGCAGAGGTGGAGTAGCCTCTGGATGGAGCAGGACGGGTCACAGCAGCAGAGATGGAGTAGCCTCTGGATGGAGCAGGACGGATCACTGTAGCAGAGATGGAGTAGCCTCTGGGTGGAGCAGGACGGGTCACAGCTGCAGAGATGGAGTAGCCTCTGGGTGGAGCAGGACGGGTCACAGCAGCAGAGGTGGAGTAGCCTCTGGGTGGAGCAGGACGGGTCACAGCAGCAGAGATGGAGTAGCCTCTGGATGGAGCAGGACGGATCACTGTAGCAGAGATGGAGTAGCCTCTGGGTGGAGCAGGACGGGTCACAGCAGCAGAGGTGGAGTAGCCTCTGGGTGGAGCAGGACGGGTCACAGCAGCAGAGGTGGAGTAGCCGCTGCAGGGTAGGCTGCAATATTCAAAAAAACTTTAAGTCCAGTAAATACTGTAGTTATTAATTCTTCTTCTTATTTTTGCTTTTATTTAGGGTGCACAAGAGGGCGCTCTCTTTTCTAATGTTTTGTTATTATTTATGGTTTTTATGCCTTGTATGATATTGTTCCTTATGTTGTTTTGTTAAGCACTTTGAGGTGTCTTTTATATGAACTCTGCTATACAAATAAACTTGCCTTACCATTTACTAATATAGATCATCTAATTGTTTCGGGACTTTTGCAATCAAAATGACAAAGATACAAAGGATTATTTTAGTTTGAAAAGAACATGTTAGAAATGTAATAATTAATGAGATAATTAGAGTAAATGCCAATGATTTTTCCATCATAAAACCTGTGGATTTTGGTTTACTTTTGAGTTTATAAATATCTTTCTTAAACATTCACCGTTAGTTTTAATGGTTTGCACTGATCTTGATTGAAGGTTGGAGAAACAATTTTCTCCATTTGCTGTTGGCCCAAGATCAGTGGCCTCATTGTCCTGGCTCAGAATGTGATCTTAATCTGGCCGCCTGAATACAGATTTGTTACAGGCTGAATTTTAAAAATTCATTCAACCCAGAAACACACGACAGAAAGACTATTCTATATGGAATTAAAGGGAACCAACACACACTGCATGCTCATCGTTTTTCAGTCACTTCCAGGTTGGACAAGGGTAGCAGATATGACATGGCGATTAGCACTTTCACTTCAGTGCAAGACTGTTCTGGGTTGGAATCCCAGTCGGAATGGGGCATTTCTGAGTGGACTTTGCAGGTTCTCCCCATGTCTGAAAATGTTTCCTCCAAGTGCTCTGGTTTTCCCTGTCTCTAAAAAACAGAAATAGGTTAAAAAAAATAATCTTCCAGCTCCGGTCTTGACCAAACAGAACATGATGATCTGGAGATGGGTCCCAGGTTTTGCACTACAGCTGGACCAGGCCACTAGGAGAGAGGTCAAAGCAAAATCTATATTGCCGCCTGAATTTCTACAAAAAAAAGATGCAATTCTGAATTTTTTCCGTAATTGCCAATAGCAAATAGTATTTTTTTGGCATTTGTACAGCTAAAGAGAAATCTATATGACCACTTTTACCTCCCTCGGATGGTTCACTCTCTCTATGATTTGGGAACCCTCAACATATTGGTCACTGGTCATTGGTCATTGGTTATTGGTCATTGCAAGCAGCCCAATGTGGATTCCTGTGTTAATGTATTTGAGGGTTTTTACCACACGTACCAATAATAGGCACTACTGTACACCTAAACCTTAAAGGCACACCGTGTAACTCTTGGCCACTAGGGGCGCTAGACCTGCAACTTTCACGTTTAGCGCCCCTAGTGGCCACAAGCAACTCAGCACTGTCGCAAAAGTCAACAAACAGTCAGCCGGTGTCTTTTGAGTGTGTATTCAGACAGCATGCACTGGTGTGTGTGTTCAAACTGTAGAGACATGCCTACAGATATTGAGAGACTCTGCTGTGGTCAGCCTCCAGACCGCTGCATTAGTAATCTACCACACATGGACTTCTATATCCTGGATGAGGGAGTTCTGCGTCTAGCTCGTGCTGCGTGGAATGACATCTTTGCAGTCGATGACATCCAGGAACCAGGTGAAGAGCAGCGCTCATACAGACATGCAGCTTACAGCACGATCCCTTTCGCGTTTCCTCTTTTTAGCCTCCTCCGAAGGTTTAAAATTTTTCCTTGCCTCAGCCATGACCAGGAGTCGAGCAGGTGAAAAATGAGTAGCAAAAGCCTTAGCTCCATGAGTATATCAGCGCCTGTAGCCGTAAAGCAAGTCTTTCTTCCAAGTCACGTGACCTGGTGGCAGACGGTCCGTCTGCTCGAAACTTACATGGGCGGTATTTCAAGAGGGCAGCCCCGCTCGGAGCATTGCAAGTGTCAAGCGCTGTATATTGGCCCAAGTATTCATATAAAATAACTCATGTGTCAACTCTTTAGGTCACAAAGTCCGCGGTGTGCCTTTAAGTGTGTGACCGCAGACTCCACCGTTCTCATTCCAGGAACTCAAGTAGAAATTACAGCTTCCCATGTGTTACTATAAAATACAGTATGTCTATTGCCATGATTGCTTGAGGCGACATCAGGATTTATTACGAGATTATACGCTTCCTGTGTCTGTTTATACAAAAAAGAAAAAGAAATAAAAAAGCTTGGCAATATGGATAGAGATTTATTTTGTGTCTCTCTTTGCACCCATAGTGGACGATGAAAATAAATGTGCTTTTTTTAGTTTATACCCATAGAGAAAAATAAATGTGCTTTATTTGATTTGATTGCGATTCAATCTGCCGCCCCCCTTTGATCTTTGTTCGCCCTCTATGTCATACTAGAGTGTGAACAGAGCAAACACTCACCCACACGCATTCCTCCCAAACCCCGTGGATCCCTGAATATAGCAAAAAGAACTCCACCCTTTTTAAGTATACAGTGGTTGACTTCATAAAGAGAAGGATGTCCAAATGTACCAAGGTTTGCTATCATGTCAGCCTTTTTGACACTTACAACATGTGGATCAGTTTTGGAGTTTATTAATGGCATATTTTACATACTTTGTACTATTATACAGTTGGGCATAAAGATGAACTTGCATTGCTGTTGTCGTGCACATTCATGACACAAACAGCTGTTTAAGGGTGCGTTCACACTTCCATTGAGGCAAACTCCAGAGTGCATGGGTATGATTAAGTTAATTTGTAAAGATGTGAGGGCACCCAACAAGTATCAACTTACCATCTACCATTGTAACCACCAACAGAGCAGAATTTGATGCCTTGGAAAGTCAATATCTATTTTTAGTTCTGAATAAGTCTAAATAACAACTCTAATCTGATACAAACAATAGGACCCAGTTGCAGTTATGGCCTCGGTCCTCGGTCTGTGGGCCTGAAGAGACATGGGGTGAGACAGAACATGGCTCAGGACAGAAGAGAAGGCTGGGCTCACAATGGGTCCGTGTGCAGAGTCTAATCGGTAGAGAGATAGGATCTTGTGATATCACAAGATCACCTCTATAAATATAGTGGTAAAGAGAAAATTAAAAAGTGACCATTTTTATTGTCCAAGATAGATGTATTATATCTATTCCAGTGGATGTTTTAGAGAGGTACAGTACATCCTATATATGTGTGTGTGTGTATGTACTGTATGTACAGTATGTGTAATGTGTTTGTATGTATATATATATATATATATATATATATATATATGCATGTATGTATGTATGTATGTACAGTATGTAGGTATGAATGTATGAGTATTGGTCTGTAGTGGAAGGTCTTAGCCGGTGATGACTTCCCACTCTTTAGAGCAGCTCTGCCATCTCTGACCATGAGAGAACTGGAGCCTGATGCACAGGAGGTGCTTTGGATATTTGTGCGTCACAACATAAACAAATGGGAGGGTCGAAATACCGGACCCAGGACAAGTAAGGAGTTAAAATGCTCACCTTTCATCTCTAGTTAAATGAAGTCTTTTGATGGATGTTTTAAGTGAAACACTTTCAGTGATGCTTCAGTGAGTGGACTTCATAAAGCACAGGCCTGGTGCTTCACAGCTCTGCTGTTCCACTGCGACGCAAACATGTCCAATTCTCAAAAGTCCATCTGTTTCTTTCTGACCTGTTTGGATTTCTGCAGGAAGTTCAGCAAGCGAATATAGGTGTGACTGTAGTATGATATTAATGAGTTTTGGAGAAAGGTTGCTTTCAAAATAGACCTAAGGCCCCTGAGGGAAGCTTTGCAAACTGCAGGCTGCAGGGAAGGAGAGGCATATATACATCTGAGAAGGTTGTTGCTTATATTTTAGGCAAATACAAACATAACAGGATAATTGTTCTGTTGATTAAACTCTAAGTACTTCATACGGACTGAGCATAAGATTAAAAAACTAGACATGGGCAAATAGAAGTGGACTAAAACTTTACAGACTCTGTCTTTAGAGAAGCCTGTCATTAAAGTTTGGTTTTTGGGACGAGTGTGGAGGTTGATGTGAGACGAATCTGCTCATGAGTGCGTTCTGGTTGGGAAATCGCAGAGGCCTCCGCCTGCTCGCTGCCACCGCAAATATACAGTTGTGCATGGTTAAAAAGTGCCTCAGGGAGCATATATAACGTTCATTATTGCATAGGGAAAAATAGGAGTCTGTCTTTACC